TATTTGACTAACCCTAGACTGCAAGAGCTAGTGGCGTCATTATTTGAGACTGTGGTACGTCTCCTGTAGAGCTTACAGTAATTAGACTAGCAGTAAAGAGATTATTTCTATTCTTGATCTTCAACTCTTAATTGGAAGCTTCAGACTGCTTCAAGTTATACAAATCCTCCAAGGACATTGAATTGTCCTTACTAACCAAAGCTTACTAAATTAACCAAGACATTAACTTGTCTTTGTTACCCTCTTATCTTAATTATCTAAAAACCCTATTCTACTAACCCAAGTAGCTAGTCCTTAAGCTACTAACCAAACCTTCTTACAGCCCATCTTCTAGGATTCCTTAAAAGTCCCTTGTAAACAGGCAAGTGAGGCTTTAGAGTACTCAAGCAAGATTAGTAGGTGGTCTTTGAATTAGTCCCCCACGAACACCAGGATAGCTTGGTTGAAAGGCTAACCCAGTGAACTCTGGAAAGAAAAGATTGGGAAAACCAAATCTAAGTATTCCATACTATACCCTTCTTGCTTTTAGTCTAGAACAGACCAAACTTCATTCTCTTTTATCAAGAAGTAGCCTTCTAGGATTCTTCTAGAATCTTCTTTATACCAAACCTCATTTTATTTTTACTTACTTTTCTTATCCTAACCTTTTCTTTACAACACCGTGGTGGTACGCACGTTCATGGCCTTGAGAGAGAGGAAAAGCTTGCGCTAGATGTGGTCCAACATCTGGTCCTTGATGCTGCCCTGGCAGATCAGCCAGGACACCTTCACTGCCTGCGTCTGCCCGATGCGGTGCGCGCGGGTGATTCTGTTGTCAGGTTGCATGTATTTCTTGGTGAGAACACTGATGTGGGATGTGGAGGGCAGGTGTGTACCTGTGGGTTCCGGTGTCGAGCTGCGTGAGGAGCAGGTACATCCAGAAGCATTGCACCTCGTTCATTGGCAGGGACACAGTGAGCTCCTCGTGCTGAGTGAACTGCTGATCCTTCATACTGTTTTCATTGTCAATGCTGAATGCACGGGTAATTAGGTGTCCTCGCTTGTTATCCTTGAACTCAGGCAGAAGGCTTGAGGTCAGGCTTCTGGCACGGCATCGAGGTTGCAGGGGCAGTAGGCTGGTCAATGCTGAAGGTGAACTGCATACGGTAGAGCGTGCGGTTGCGGTTCTGGTTCGCCTCCCTTTTATGCTTGCATTCGAGAGCGTGCTGCTGGATGATGTATGTCAAATGGTTGTGGCAGAATCCAGGAGCCTGAAGTTCTTCAATGCTCCTAGTCATTGTAGTCGACTTTAAACGCGCTTCCCAATGGTGGCACAGTAAGATGACTCACTGTCCTTTCTCCTTATTCAATCTATCAATCATGCATTTCGACAGCTTACGGAAGTCTCCATACGCCCGCAGATTTGTGCACTGACGTTCCAGATCTTGTGTTCCACCATTGTCCTGCGACAGGAAGGCTTGCCCGCCATCTGGTTGTTGTACAGGTCCTATAGGAGAATGAAGTCTGCGAGGGCACACAAAGGATGTTACTCCATGTACCAAAGTTGCATACACTAGCAATGTGTCTCACAGTCTGATTTGGGAGTTGGGGATTGCTTAAAATGATGTATAGATACACGATACAAAATATATTGATGATTCTGTGGGAGGGGGAAAGTGCTGGGACGCAGAATAGAGAGAGAACACGGTATGCACGTTGACCCACGGCGCACGCTGGGTCACGACGGCGTCTAGATAACAGAGCACTTAATCTCGAGCACATCTCGACGCTCGATCTCACCTCACGAACCTATCAGGATCCCACGATCTCACCGTGAGACCCTCGCGATGCTGATCTTGATGCAATCTTGAGGCGCTTGCCTCGCGAGGCTCCTGGGAAATTTGCGACATTCGTCCGGGCTTCGCAGGTGGAGACTTTGTAGTGACCTCCTTTGCTCCGGGGGAACAGTCGATATCTGCGACAAACTCTCTTCGAGTCAAACTTCTGGTTCGATAGAATGTCAATTGCCGGTAGGCGCATATGTCTGACGACGATTCGAGTGTCCCACAGATGCCGATGTCGCACTAGGGTACCATTAGCGCTTTACCTTGGGCCTGTCGCGCGGGTGACTTACTCGTGTGTTCAGCCGCCCTTGGCCTCTCTTCGCATTTGAGGGTGCCACTGCGTAAGGTGCAACTCCATTTCCTGGCATTCTACGAGATCGCGAACTTGGCCATTCTTGGCCTCTTGAGCAGCGCATATGGGTGCCGAGACATCTTCCGCACATTCGTAGCTATACAGGTCGTCAAAGAGATGCAAAAACTAGCACACAGCAGACAAACGTACCATCGTAGCTTTAGATCTCGTGCCCATCTTCGGCCTTTCTCTTCTCTCTCTCCTCCCCAAGCAAATCGAGCCTTCGAACCTCGAGCCCGCAGTATCGATCGCTAATCTAAAGCATTTTGTGTTGATACACACTGAACCCTAGGTAAATAATTGCGCTTGCGCTCACCATCTGCTGCTGGGCCTCTGGTGTTACGCACGATGTTCTCTCATGCCACCTTCCGCACATTAGACAAATAGAATATAGGCGTCCTGCAATAGCTCAGGGGACGATCTTGGAGTGCCATCGTTTGATAGTGGGCTCTGCTCAGGCTGACAAGAGATTCCTGAATATATAATCTTAGTTAATACGATCTCTGCGGACGCTGGAGAGAACACTCACCAATTGCAGAATAACCCGCAAACTATCCATAGTACTTCAACAATCCGACCTCAAGCGTACCAATGAGCGGTTGGCTTCGCCGGTCTGGGCTGCCTCGCTGGCTGTTGTGTTTGGGAACGTATGGCGGCAACCTTGAGAGGTACAGCAACGTGTAGCTGAGTTCAAGCTCGATTAGCAGATGAACACGGCACGCGATGTCGATGAGACTCACCTTCACATCACTCGACTGCGATATTCTATGCTATGCCCTAACTCTCTGAGCTCGTCGTGCAGTACCGTCTTGCCTCCCACACGTGTGGCCGCCCGCCAGTTCGCGCTTGGCCTACTGGGCGGGCCCGGCAACGAACAAAACCATCTCGCACACGGTCGCCTCCGAGCTTGCAAGTGCAGGCGAAGCTTTTGCTGACGCCATACGACATGTCCTCGCGAACGGCAGGAGGTTGTTGTACCGAACGCCGCCGTGTCCGCCAACCGCGGGTCCAGCGTGTAGCACGTCTTATCAACACCATATTCGAATGGTTCGCGACCGAGAGCCTGGCAGTATGGGTAGTCCATGTCAGTCAGCTGGCCGTGAAGCGACGGACGGCGACGGTACTGACATCTCATGTTCCACAGCAGCTGAAATCAGCGTCAGGACCGGCTGAAACGACTCGACGTCGTACTTGAGCTTCCCAGGGATAGGATATCAGGTATTCTGGTTCGGCCCGCATTGGTAGTCACGTCGGCGGGATTGGTAGTAAGCGTAGATCGTTAGCCTGAGATACGGTCGCTCGGGAGTCAGCGCCGGGAGATTTTCATAGACATCACATGTCGTGCTTCGACGAGAGAGCGAACGGTTCACCGACTGCTGTTGCGCCGAACCTCGACTTGATGTCTGTGGACTGCAACCCTCACATTGTCGGTGTGAGCGCAGATTCCGTGCGCCCTGCGGTCTTGTTGCTCGGCTCCTTGAGACTAAGGACCTAGTCTCCAGCTCAGCCCGCGTGAGGCCACGCCGGCAGGGAGTAGTAGTGATCATATGGAGCCGCTTCCGGACATGAGTTCGATGCGGTGGGATTTGTCGGCACCGTACAGTAGGGGCTGGCCATTCTGATGACCAGGAGCTTGACGCACGGCCAGTACGCAGCGGGTTGTCTCGACCTCTTGTGCGTACCCTGAGCAGTCGAGATGGCGGAGGCCTAGATATATCAGTAAACGTCAGCTAAGTGGCATCGGTAATGCTGATACTGACGTTCCTGTCGCATACTCGCCGAGACAGCAAGGACTTGTCCGCAGGCTGAGAGCAGCTATGCGATGCCTGATAAGCACCTTATTTCGGCAATCCAGACCAACGAGAGAAAACGGGCAAGAGAGAGTGCTGCATGCAGCAGGATCCGGACGCTCGCGGAGAAGAAGAAGTATCTGCATTTGCGTGAGATCATTGGGCACTTTGGACTTTATTGCGGAATGGATACTGACGCTTGTCTGTTCAGCTTTGGCTCGCAAATGCGGTAGACGTGATCGTCGTACTGGCAATACGAAGCAAGGCGCGGCGAGAGGCCCCGAGATTAGGACGAGAGGGAAGATGTCTGCGGTGGCAGGACGTCAGCACGCACGCCGGATGGCACTGCAGGCACATACTCACCTTCTGTGATCCGGCTTCTGCCAACATTACACCTTAACACCTGGAATCAAGAATCAAGTGTATGTTGAGGCTCGTTCGGGCGCAGGCGATACTCGTCGAACGACATTGTTGAGCCCGGACGTAGCACGGAGTTTCTTGGTCTGGGACTTGGGCGTTCAGCGAGCGGTATGCGTGCATCGGACGCTGTGGTAGTGAGGTAATGGCGGTCGCCAAAAGGTGAGTGAGGCGCGAGATGGAGCGAGGGCTGCTTGCAAGCCGGCGCATGAGCGCGCGCGAGGGCGGGGAGGGCGCGTCCCATCAATGCGATCACAGCTGCCATCACATCCGGGCCCTGGGGGTCACATTAAAATATTCACGTTCGACGTCGACGTCCCCGTCATGCCATCCTGCCGCCTCGTCGTGTTCCACCACAATTCCACAAGCAAACACAGAGCGAGAATTGCGGCTCAAGAAGTCGCTCCTTGTCCTTGTAACCGCCGTATGCGCGTAGTCATCATGACGCTCCCCACCGCCGCCATACCAGCCGCGTCGACGGCGACCCTCCAGGTCAACGTTTCAATTTCAACCGTGGCTTGCTCTCGAGTCTGCCATGCCACTCCCAAAAACGTGTCTGACGCCGCCGCCGTGGAGAATGACTTCGTTGGTCTATCCAATAAGGTGAGTACTCGCGTCTCCCGCACTACCTGCTTTTCTAACTATAATCGCTGCCAGATTTTCGCATTCTGGGTCGCTTGCCAACCCAACGCTGCACCCCGTGTAGAAACCATGCATACCAACCAGTTCTCAGCGCTCAGCTCTTGCCAGGCTTTCTGCGACACTGGCTCTCTTGAATAACCTCGCTCACCGTCTGAGACTTCTCTGCTTTGAAACATCTCATTAATTCCCTCGGCAATGCCTCGCAGACGTGCAGCTCATCCAAGAAGGGAGCCCTCTCCGGTAAGCATTCGCACGGGCTCTGTATCCGACCGAGCCCATCCTTATCTAACGTAAGGCTACCGACTTTGCAGACGCCTTAGACGTCGCGATCCTTCTGGCCAGTAACTGCTACAGGGCCGTCAAGCGACTTGTAGAGCAGTGCTTGAATTCTATTTGCCACATCCTGCTCCTGCCATCGTCCGTATCCGTGACCCCCGACTGCGCGGTTTGTGGTCCCGGTCCAGGACTTCGCGCCTTTATTACACCCGAGCGTACCGCATCCCGCACCAGGCAACATTAAAGGCTACCGCGACAGAGTGCATGCGATCGGGCAGAAGCTGCGCGAAGTTTCGGCAATGCTGGCCATCGTGGCCCCTGAGTACATGGAGCAGGGCGGCGACCGGACGAGGCTCGTAAAAGACGAACAGGTACGCTTCAACTAAGCTGGTTGCACATAATCCAATACTTAGATTCTCTCAGAATCTGCTGCGCGTTGCGATAGGCCTAGACACTGAATTGTCAACACTTCATACCTTTGGACGAACACATCAGCGCAGACTGCGTCCGTTACCTGTACGCGCCGCCGATGTCACAGCCGCTCTACGAAGTGGCAGCCTGACAAAGCGTGCACCAGATCACATCGCGCGCTGCCATGAGCAGGCGTGTGCCAAGCGGCTTACTGGCTATCGCTGGAGCAAAGTTTCCTGTCTTACGTCGATAATGTGCGCATTTGCTCTTCCCGACTTTCGTATACTCACACTCTTCGTACGGCAGGCCATTGACGAGCTGCTTTGGTTCAACCAACGATACCGTGTCGGGCAGCTGCCGCGCCGGCGGCGACTCCTCATCGACATCGTCCACATCTCCGTCTCCGCCATTTTCTGCGTCGAGTAAACGCCATGCCACGTCGAAGCCGCCCACGCACCCATCTGGCGAAGCGCGCACGAGCTCGTCGGTCCGGAACAGCTCATTATCGAGCGTGTGGTTGTCCTCATCGCTGGTCACCCTCCCCCCAGACTGAGCCCCGCTGCGACCAGCGCCACGATTTCCAGCAACCCCATCAACACCTGTTCCGCTGCTGCGCCCACCACGACGCCCGCTCTCGGGCAGCTATACCGTGCCTGAACGATACGATATGTTGCTGCACCTTAATATAGACGCATTTCCTCGCTCATTGTGCTGTCGTGACACGCTTTATGAAGGCACACATATATCGATGCTGTCTGCCAAGTCTTATCGACGTTGGTACTGTTGCTAAGCATGTGCGATTGACTTGTAACATATTTTTTGCGGTTTCTTCGTGAGTCTGTCATGTTTAGCATTGGTCCGTCAGGTAATTAGGTCGAAGGTGGACATCGGCTGATTCCACGCCAGGGAGATTGCCGGTGGGCAGAACAAGGTTTGGCTCACGCTCATCTCCCCATGCGGACATGTACGCACACGTAGAATGGTTCGCACAGGTTCTCGTGTGTACTCAGCCTCAGACGACAACGACGCATTCCCCAGCAGACGCAGAATGAACTCGAACGCCAGCGGTAAAGGATCAAAGGGCAATGAGAACCTCCAGACACTTGTCGACGGCGTGGTGCTTTCCCTCAACATCGCCAAGGACGCGACGGCAGCATTTCCGCCGCTTCAGTCCGCGGTCGGAGGAGTGGCTGGTATCGTGAATGTCGTGAAGGTGAGTGGATTGATTGATGTTGCCGCGCGCTGCCGTTGAATTCATTTTGCTGCAGAAAATGGGAGCGAACGCCGAGCAGATCAAGCTGCTCGAGAAGTATACTAAACAGCTATCCACCACTCTGCAACATCCTGCCTTCAAAGATGACAAAGGATGTTCAGAGGATCTGCGGCAGCGCATCGACACCCTAGAGAAGTAAGGCCTGATCCGCTCTATTGCTAAATGATATACTCAGTCTCACGTAGACAGCTGACGGAAACGACGGAGAAGATCCGCGCGCTGGCCTCTCGGTCTAGGTTGACCCGATTGCTCGGCTCGGACTCGCACGCTGGAGCTATCGACGAGTATATCCGACAGATATCTTGGGCCATAAACGACTTCGTGGTAAGTCTGGTATGCGATAGCAGAGATCTCAAGTTTACTCCCTACCTAACTCGTGCAGATCGGAGGAACTATTAGTCTCGAGCTTGCTGTTGGCGTACGCGACTCCACACTATGTCATGTCTGATGTATGTTGGATGTTTACCAAGCCTATCTCAGCAACTGTCCGTGAAGCTGGACAAAGGTTTCGACAGGATGGACCAGCGGTTTGATAATGTGATAGATGAAGTCCAAGGGCTAGGCAGTCAATTGCTGGCTGGCAGCTGTAAGCATCCCGCAACACTTCTTGTTCAACAGCATAGCATGACCCTATCCGACAGCTGGTCCTACCCCTCCATACGTTGATGCCGCCCGCTTCGACTACCCTAGCCAACGCTCGGTTTGCGAAGGCCAAACACGATCAGAGACTCTGAACACCGTCTACCAATGGTTCCTTCCAGACCAGGCTGAACTACGAATTCCCGAGGTCGTGCTGCAGCTGCCGAAAGTCGATGCGCGGGTGTTCTTGCTCAGCGGCGTGGCCGGAAGCGGCAAGTCGACCATCGCGCAGAGCGTGGCCCAATGGTGCTCGGAGCGCGGGTATCTCGGCGCGAGCTTCTTCTGTTCTAGGGATAATAGAGCATGCAGTGATATTCAGATGATATTCCCCACGATCGCCTACCAGCTTGGTCTGTTCTTTCCCGAATTCCAGCACAAGACCGCAGAGGCCATGAAGCGGGAACCTCACATCCAGACAACTCTCGTCTCTCATCAACTCAAGCGTCTGATTGTCGATCCTCTGCGAGAGTTGCCAGCATTCCCACCCTGCGCGGTCGTCATTGACGCATTGGACGAGTGCAAGGACGATCACGCAACGTCTCTCATTGTCCGTGCTCTGTCCGAGTGTATCTCCGACCTGGCTCCCTTGAAGATATTCCTCACCAGCCGCCCCGTCCGGAACATCACCCATGGCTTCCGTTCAACCGGCCTACTCGACACAACCCAGCACATCATCCTTCACGAGGTACCACCAGCCACCACCGAGCGCGACATTGGCATCTTTATACAGAAGAGGATGGCAGATGTCCGAGAGAGATATGGCTTGGACAGGTCATGGCCTTCGGCAGAACAGGCGGAGCGACTAGTCGAGCTCTCGAGTGGGCTGTTCATATATGCCGCCACGGTTATACGCTATGTTGAGGATACCAGTGCCAGTGACCCAAAGGGTCGTCTTCGATCACTGCTCGAGGGCCAAGGGATGTCGTCTGCGGATACAACAGCCCCCTCTCATCAGCTGGACAACCTGTATCTCCAAGTTATCAAGAGCGCACACCCGGACACTACTCGAGAGCTCAAGTTCAAGTTGCGGTTGAAGATTATCCTCGGCACACTTGTCCTCATCCGCGATCGCTTATCGCCGAATGCCATTGACAAGCTCTTGCTCCTCGAGCATGGAACGACTCGGACTACACTGACACATCTCCAATCAGTCGTCCTGATTCCAGACGATGACAATGCCACCATCAGCCTCATCCACCCATCGTTCCAAGATTTCCTTACTGACAGAAATCGATGCCGCGACCCTGATCTGTTGGTCAACCCAGCAATTCAACATAGACTCATTGCCCAGCGGTGCCTCGAGATCATGATTGGCGGTCTGCGGACGGACATCTGCAACATCGGGCAAAGCATGCTGAACTCGGAGGTGCCCAGGCTTCCGGAGCTTGTGGCGGAGCACATTTCTTCATCCATGCAGTATGCCTCTCTTCACTGGACACACCATGTGTTCTGTGGCGAAGTTGACAACAAGCTGCTCGATTTGCTTACCAAGCTCGGCTCGAGCTATTTGCTGAACTGGCTGGAGGTTCTGAGCCTGCTTGGACAATTAGGTGGTGCAGTCCCAGCACTGCAGACACTGCGCAAAAGGTTATTGGTACGTACCGGCTCTGCTCTTATTGACGCCATCACTGATCATATTGCTACACCCAGGACTTACCTCTTCCACACTCTGACATTATTGCATTGCTATATGATTGCCAACGAGCCATTCAGCAATCATTTTCAGGCCTCAGCACCTCTTGTCTTCAGGCATATTCTGGCCTTGTCCCTTTCTGTCCTACATCTAGTAAACTCCAAGAACATTACTCCGGAGCTGGGCAAGGGATTGGATGGCCAAAGGCACTCAGTGGACTCCAGCAGTATTGGGATCCATGCACCCTCACTATTGAAGGTCATTTAGTCTCTGTAACTGCTGTATGTTTCTCACCTGATGGCCGGCGCATTGTCTCGGCATCTATGGACAAGACAGTCAAGCTGTGGGATGCTGTCACAGGCTCCCATCTTACCACTCTAGAAGGACATGAGGACACAGTCCAATGTGTGGCATTCTCATCCGATAGTAAATATATTGCTTCGGGCTCCCGTGACAAGACCATCATTATTTGGGATGCCACTATCGGCCAACATCTCCACACTCTGACAGGTCGCACTGATTGGGTCACGGCTGTAAACTTCTCCCTGGACGGAGATGTCACAGTTCTCGCCTCCGGCTCGGAAGACCACTCAATACGAATCTGGGACCTCAACAACGACATCGGCTCGTCCAGGACCCTATCTCCCGCACACACATCTGGTGTCAAAAGTGTCAGGTTCTCCCAATCTGGATCACTGCTGGTTTCGTGCGGCCAGGATGGTGCATGCAAGGTCTGGAGATCAGGCGCTTGGACGTGTATTGCACAATTCACCCATCCTGAACATACCGCTATACTTTCCGTCGCCATCTCGCCCGACGAAGCCATCTTTGCTTCGGGACAAGGACACATACCCAACGATATTCTTTTACATTCCACTGCTGACGGCCGCTGCTTTCGCACACTCCAAGGCCACACATCAAGGGTGTGGTCTCTCGACTTCTCTCCTGATTGCGCCACACTTGCATCCGGCTCTGCGGACCGTACCATCACCCTGTGGGATGTGGCGAGTGGTTCCACCCTCCGCACTTTGAAAGGGCACTCCGACGAGGTGTACAGCCTCAGATACTCCCCCGATGGCCAGCGGATAGCCAGCTGTGGCGCTGACCATAGCATCCGAATCTGGGACCTGTCTCTGTTGTCGACCGAGAGGGTGCGCGAGTCCGCGAGGAAGAAGCTGAAGGAGAGATTGACCCGGGGCCATGGGTCGGGCATGCACAGAAGTGCTGGCGCCGAGCCTCAACATTTGTCGAATGTACGCTCCGTGACGTTCTCACCTGACGGACGGGTCCTTGCCACCGGGTCGGGAAACACTACAATTCGTCTATGGGATACTGCGAGCGGCGCTCAGTTGCAAGTACTCGAAGGTCATCAAAGTCTTGTCTCGTACCTATCGTTCTCTCCCGACGGAAAGAAGCTAGTCTCGTCAGAATACAAACCCGACTCGCCCGAGCCGGCTCTCCGTTTGTGGGACGTGGAGAGCGGTCGATGTGAGCAGACATTCACCGGGCATGAAGACAACGTAAACCAGGCAAAGTTCTTTCCCGACGGGAAGCGAGTGATCTCGTGTTCGGACGATGGCAGCATCCGCGCTTGGGAGGTCGGCCAGTCGAGGACGCGCAGCGTGGAATCACGCGTCGCCTACCAAGACCGAAGCCTCGATATATACTCCGTTTCTGTCTCTCCTGATGCCAGTCTGGCGGCGTTTGGCTGCTGGAGCGATGAACCGGATGACCACACACTTGGGCTAGTCAGCCTGACAACGCCGCAAGCAGCGCGCTTGGTGCCTTATGAGCGTGCGTACGGCGTGCCCACAACACTCGCATTTTCCAAGGACGGCAGCCGTCTCCTGGTCGCCTCCAGTGCAGAGCTCGCCGTTACTCTTTGGAATATCCAAGCAGGCGGTCCGACCGGCTCAACATCCATCGACGTCGCACCAGAAGCGACATTCCTGGATTGCTATGACGGAGGGGATTGGGCGGAGAACATCGCGTTCTCGTCTACTGAGACGTCCTTCATCACGGACGCCACCATGGGTGTCATCTCGCCCCACCACCGGCCCCGCTCAGCCTCGCAGGACGACAGTCCGGACCACGCAGAGTATGCATTCTGCTTAGCCGATAGCTGGCTGTGGTATGTGTCTGCCACCGAGAGGCGCAGGCTATGCTGGGTCCCGGCCGCCTTCCGACTTGCGCGCAATCTCAATATCACTTACCGAGGATCCGTTGCGGTGCATCGCAATTTTGTAGCCTTTGGTACGGAAGGTGGTCGAGTTGTCATCTTGGACATGACTCCTTGCTTGCCTTCCGCTTGCTGAGGGATGATAGGACATGTTTTTGGCTGTGGGAATATGATGATTTCGCTATGGACTGAGCTTGCGTCTCGCATTACATTTAGAAGCACACATAGGAATGCGGCATGTATGTACACTTTACACCCAGATGCATAAGCGACTCCAAGAACGGGACAGCCATGTGAGTGGACTGGGAAACACGGAAGAGCAGAAACATCCAATAATCGTCCTCAATCAAACGGCGAGATCGACAGCCTGTCCTGCCAACTTCAGACCCAGTGCTCGCACTCACGAAGGAGGCGCTCGTCGGCGAGCTCTGCGACGACGGCGCCGAGCCGAGCCCCTCGGCCGATTCGTCAGAAGACCGGTAATGCAGTGTCTGTGAGTGTCCAACGGCGTGGAGAAGGCAACGGCGGCGGCGAGTGCTTCGAAGTCGGGGGGGGGGGCGAGCGCAGCACCCAAGGCGCCATTCGCAGCGTCTTGTGCTTCGTCCAGACGTTCGCTCCTATCAAAATAGTGCTCATGAACGATAGACCATCGTGCGAGGGCACAGGCAATGCGCGAAACGTCGGCCAGGAGCCGTTTGCGGCCAGTGTCGGACGCAAACGCAGGTGAGGTTTGGCGGTGAGCGACGGGGACAAGAACGTCGATGATGTCAATGTATGTCGTCACGAAGAGATCTATTTCGTTGTTCGGCTCGCCCGTCTACCAGCCATCGAGGTCCCCGATAAGAAACTCGGCCTGACCTCCAGCTTTGAAGCTCGACCCGTCCTGCGACGCGGCGCGGCCACGAACTGGCGCAGCGCAAGTGCGACCATCATCGCTGGCAGGTGGAGCGAACCCGAGGGTAGCAGTGCCAAACACGAGAGAAATTTGGAACTTTTTGGTCGCAAAAAATATGCGAAAACAGCCTGAAAAAATAAGTAAGAAAATGCCATATTTTTCCTCCCGGTATCCGGCGGCCCGGCGACTCGGCAACCCGGCAGCTGAGCCGATTGTCCGCCGGGTGCCGCAGCCACGGGCGCTTTGACAATGGCCTGGCGGACAATCGGCTCGGCTGCCGGGTTGCCGAGTCGCCGGGCCGCCGGATACCGGGAGGAAAAATATGGCATTTTCTTACTTATTTTTTCAGGCTGTTTTCGCATATTTTTTGTAACAAAAAAGTTCCAAATTTCTCTCGTGAAAGTAGTAGCGGCACGCATTCGGGGGTAGGGCTGGCCTTCGTCAGGGACAACCGGGAGGGCGTGGTCCGGGCCGAGGGCACGACAGGCCCTCCGGGATCGTCTATGGGGCGTGCAAGAGCTCGTTGGTCTGGAGCAGCTCGTTATTGCGTGTTCAGTCGTGCTCGCCGTCGTGCTCCCCCAGCTCGAGTTCTGCCTCAAAGCAGCACGTCGGCTTCGAACATTGCCACCAGCTCCTCTTCTCATCTCGCACCGATCCCAGCGAGTAGCCTCAGGCAAATACGCGCAAACGTTGGGATCACGACGTCACTGGCGCTTGTCGACGAGAGCGCGCGCAGGTCTCCCTGGTGCAGACCTGCTCACATGGACGACAGCCGCCCCCATTTCTGAACGTTCCATCGGCCTGCTGGGAAGACGAGGATGGCCACTGTACAATCAAACTAGTCAGCTCGTCAATGCGACAGGCGATCCACCTGATGCCTTACGAGCCCACATCTGGCGCGCCCGCAACGCCCGCGTTTCCCAAGGATGGCGGATGTCTCCTGGCTGCCTCTTCCGATAAGCCCGGCACCACACTTTGGGATGTCCAAGCAGGTAGTCGAGCCAGCTGGACGCTTGCATGTGCTGTGTCAGAGTCGACGTTCTTGCGCCGTGGTGGCGGCGGGTACTCTTCAGTGGACGTCACGTTCTCGCCCAGTCGAAGGTTTTTGGTCACGGACGCCACGATGGGAGCTGTTTTCGCTGGAGTGAGAGCCGCACGGGACATTGTAGGGTGATAGTCCCAACCCCGCAGAATATACATCCTTCCTTGCCGACGGCTGGCTCTGGAATGCGTTTGTTACCGAGAGATGTAGGCTATGCTCGGTACCGTATTCCTTTTAACTTGTATATCCACACGGGGACCAGAATAAGGCGACATAGTGGTGCGCCGTAATGTGGTAGCCTTCGGTGCAGAGTCTGTTCGGGTCATCTCAGGTATGTTGCCTCCGGATCATTGAGGGTTGACAGTTCACAGCACATTGTTGGTTGCATGCATCATCGTCAACGCTCCCTCTCGATCGAATTGCTCGTGTCTCACGCGATGTACGGTAGTGCGCCTAGAAATAAAGCTTTATTATCTAGGCGCATTCGCATATCCCAGGAATATAGTGGCGGCACACAAGCGTATAGGACGCAGTAAATATACAGGAAAAAATCTCAGCGAAGACGACCCCACGACCCAACAGCTGAACAGAAAGAAGTAAGGAAACATTCCATATACGCGTCACTAATGAAACGACAAACCCGTTAGGCCGTGCTTGTCACTTTCAGACCCAGCGCTCGCAAAGGACGCGTCTGAAATATTCCGCAACGTCGGCGCCAAGCCAGGGCTTGCACCAGGTCTTCACAGAACCGCGGGCATATCACTGCGCAGAAGTGACTGTGACAATGGTGGAGGCCGTTTCACACTACAGAGGGGTAGGTGCCAGCGCAGCGTTAGAGGCGCCGCCCAGCATCTTGTACCTGACGTTCAGGCAGCCATGCGGCTCATGCACGCTTTGCTCCTCGTGCGACTTGACGAGAGCGTCGGCCTCGAGTGCCTCGTGAGGGTCGTACCCGTTGCACTCAGCGCCGCCGCTCGCGATGCTCTCGATGTAGAACATGCGGTTCAAAAAACTCCAGCTCGCTGTGATGAGAGGGTCCCCCAAAAGAGTGTTTGTTGCCCTTAGACTCGTAGAGGCTTGCTGCCCACCGACCGGACGCTCTCAAGTCACTCCAGCACTGGCGTGAATCCTTCGTGCGAGGCACAAGTGACATGCGCGACGTTAGCTGGGAGCCGTTGGGGGAAGTGGGTAGGTGTGAACGCGGGAGGACGAGGCGTTGGTGATCTCGGTGTACGTCGTCGGGTAGAAGCCCGCCCTGTCGCTTCGCTCACCCGTCCACCAGTCATCAAGGCCCTTATCGAGCACATTGTTTTGATTTCTCGCCTTGAAACCCAGCTCATCCTGCGACGCGGCTCTTTAGTCGTGCTGTGGTACTAGTCTCCTTCGCCGGCAGACGCAAGATGCGTAGAATCGGTAATGAGCGCGGGTTCGACGTCATCTTGGCCATCGTCCAAATTTCACAAGGGCTCTTCTGCGATCTGTATGTTGGACAGGTAGTCGAGGACTGCGACAGGCTCTTCTCCAGACAGATTTATGACATTCTCCGGCAGAACGTTGGTCGTTAATGAGTGAACGTGGTCGTGAACGGTGCGAGTATTCTAAATCTAACAATGTCGCACTATGGCGTCGTGAGCATTTTGTTCCGAGTGTGTTGCATAGGCTGCTTACTCGTTCATCCAACCGCCTTTGATCTCCCGCTGTGCCTGTCAATACTGCTCTACGAGGTGTAACTCTGCGTCCAAGGCTTTTCGCGATGCGAAACTGGTCGATCTCGGCCTTTTGAATGACGTACATGCGCGTCCAGATATTTTCCATGCATTCTCCACTGCGCAGATCATCAGCGAGATATCAACATAATAGGCAGACAGAAGACTTACTATTGTGGCCAGAAAAACCTCGTATCTGTCTTCGCCTCCTTCCCTCTCGTTCTCTCCCTTATTATCTTGAACTTTTTTCAGCTTTGAGCCCGTAGCGTTGAAGAGCAGCAGCCTAGATCACATCGGATTAGCATGCGCTGAGACATACGTAAATAGTATTACTTACAGTCTGCTATCGAGCTTCTCGCTTTGCGCTCGGCATTCTTTCATATCGTCTCCCGCACATTGAACGGACGAGAGACTGTTTGCATGTAACAATACAGAGAGCAGCTCTTGCAGTGCCCCTGCTAGGCAACAAGGAATGTCCTGAGTATATCTTAGTCGACGTCACCTCAGCGGGTACTCAAGAGAACACCCACAAGTTGCAGAATCTTCACTAGATTCCTCTATGCGATAACAATGCAATCCATACCGTGTTAGCAGTCGGTATATCTCGCTGGTTCAGACCACTTCGAATATCGTCTTTTTGATAAAGCATGATGGTAATCTTGAGAAGTACGGTAGCGTGCAATCTTGTGCAACCTCGGTTAGCATCGAACGAACACAGCGCGTGGGGTTGATGGGACTCGCCTCCATAGTTCGTGGCCTGCGAACTTCTACGTCGCGCTCCATCTCTCCGAACCCTCCATATAATACTGTCTCGTCTCACAGTTGGCGCCGACGTCGGGACGCCCTCAATGAGCCGGAGCATTTTGACGCAGTGATTGAGCTTTCCGCAACAGAGGTCCCAAGCACCCTGAATCGGCTCGTGTCGAGAGTCGCGCCTTCAGGCTTGATAGTAAATACAAGCTGTCCGAAATGGTCGCTCGCGGGTCGGCACGGGGATTTTCACCGATAATATACATCGTGTTTCGACAACGGAGCGAATGGTTTATTGGCAGCCGCCGCGACGAACCTTGACTTGACCACAGCCTGCACATCGTCGGTGCCGGCGTAAGTCCCGCGTGCCCCACAATATTGTCTCTGGGCTTCCTACGACCAAGGTCCCAGCCTCCCGAGTTGGCTCGCGTTTGGCTGTGTCGACAGCGAGCGAAGGCGATCGTGTCCAGCCACGCCCAAACTCAGAGGTCCAGCACAACGGGTTTTGCCGATACCATACATCGCGGTCTAATGGACGAAAGCTGGTCAGTCTACCGACGGCGGCTGCACCCGACTCTCAGCCCAGGCCCGTGTGTCCGCTGACCGAGGGTTTGATGCGCAGTCAGCACTCGACGGCTCGTCTTGACATTAGTGAGTACGCCCTGCGACAGAGATGGCGGTAATCTGAATAGCAAAAATCGGTTTTCTGATCGCGCACGCGTCGATGAGAATGGTACTAACATTCCAGCCTGCAGACTTGGCGAGACGGCACAACGCACGTCTGTCGACTGAGGACAGCTGTGGGATGCCCCATAAGCACCTTGATTTGGCGATGTAACAAAATTATTCACCAGAAAATAAGCTAATATGTACGGCAACAAATCTGGATGTTCCCGGAGCAGAGGAGTGCCACTTTCGCATGAGGTCAGTATGCACTTTGACTACTGGAGTGAAGTGAATACTCACATTCTGTTGTTCAGGCCTAGCCGATAGTTTCGGCAGATGCGCTTGTCGCCCTGGTAGCACAGGAGGACCAACCACGAGAAGCAGTGTGAAAAACCAAGATTAGGATGGGAGGAGGAGTATCTGCGTTCGCGGAGCGTCAGCACGTACGCTGGATGGCACTGCGAGCGCGTACTCACCTTCCGTATCCCGATTTCCACTAGTACTAATGGCCTAAAATTCGGAGTCAAGCGTACGCTTGGGTCCGTCAGCGCACACGCGATACTCGTTGAGTAGCATGTCGAGTTTGGACGCAGTAGTTGTGCGGTTTCATGGCCTGATATTTCGGCGTCCGACGAGCGGCGATCGTAAGAGGCTTCGAGAGAGCCAATGACCACTTGCTAGCAGGAGGTGCGCACCCGAGGCACGAGATGGAGCGAGGACTAGCTGCAGCTAGCGCACGCACTGTGCGGCCGTCACAGTGAGGGCACGCCGAACTTGGCACGCGCGATCAGTCCATCAAAGCCGCCATCATCGGCGGGCTGCGGCGATGGCCGGAAGTCTAGACCTGGGCCTGTCTTCCCATTGTCTTTGCGCTCTCTCCCCACCTTCGTCCTCGTGGCCATCGTGACCACCCTACCACCCTGGCCTGCTGCCGCCATGCCAGCGTGGGCAGTCTTGATTCTGTATCACACAGACGAGACGCCAAGCACGAGCCAAAGAGCTTTCGCGTAACTGCGTTTCCAGCATGCAACGGATACCCTAAGAGCAGGGACGGTGTCGCCCAGCTGTGGGGTCTTTTGCTACTTGCCGCTGCGATTAGGTACGTGTGTCGTGCCCATCTACTGTTGCACATATTGACTGCGGCATACAGGCCTAGTGTTTTGCCAAACGGCACCACACGCCTATCGAGGTCCCGCCTCCTAGAATCCTCCCTTGGGCTTTCAAGATCTCACGCCTCTAATCCCTGATGCACTCTCCAAGCTGGCCTATTCACACGACCTGCTCCCCCAGAATCCGCATGCTCTCGGACCTCTCTCTGATTCCCCCTCCGACACTCACGCCCGTACCCTGCCAGCACAAAAGAGAGTCTATCTCAACAACCCTCGCGCAAGCCTAGCACTCGATAGGGCTCGCCCCGCTAGACCACAAGATTGCTAGCCCCACAGACGCATGAGACGCGACGATCGCAGCCCTCCTGTCCAGCAACCGCTACAAAATCCTCGAGCAAATCCTCGGGTGGGTCCAAGTTTCTATCTTTGCCACATTCCGCGTGCGCACCCGAGACCATACCCTCCATTGCTGCGCTGCAGGACACCGACGTGCCGCATATGCCCCCATCATGCGTTGCGGCATGGGCCTCTCGCTTTCCTCGCTCAAGAACACTCCACATGCGGCATCGGGCGACACCGAAGGCGGCGGCCAGACAGGATTCTTTGGAGATAGGGTATGTACGCTCAACCAGACCGCGCCAATTGCGATGCTGACTGTCGCTCAGAGCTTGTTGCGTCTTACGACAGGTTCACCGGGCTGACGATATCCCATGCCTTGTGGGCGCCGGAACACAACGATCACCACTGCGTCCGGTACCTCTCCACGCTGTCTAACTCGTAGTCTCCCCGCGAAGTGACCGTGTACCGGAGCGCATACGGTCTGTAAGTCCACGTACGTCGTCATCGGTGCGACGGACGCTTTACCGGCTATGGTGCAAACGAGGTTGGCCAGTTATTGGAGATGTATCGAGAAGACGATAAACGTGAAAGCGACAAGTATGAAGATGAGGCCGGGCAAGAAGAGGTTAGTCACTACTCCAGCTGCCTGTCCTTGTAGTGCGCGGCTGGCCGCACATCTCGTAGCAGGAATATAACCTGGCTTTACTCCAACTACGAGAGCGAAGCGCGCCCGCGGTGCGCTTCCAAGTGAACACATGCAGCGATTCAAATTGACTCCGCGCCGACAAGTCCTTGGCTTTCTGTGACGACCTCGTTTGGAACAGCTAGAGCGTCAGCCGCGGCAACACTCCCTGTCTACTTCCTCCCTCCGTCGCCGCCTTTGCCATCGAAGAAGCCGTACGAGAGCTCTATACCACACCCGTCTCCTCCACTTCCATCGTCTAGTAAGGCTCACACGAGCCCGATCCGGCTATCGTACCGCTGCGCCCCAACTTCTTCGCTCCCAACCGAGGGACTCCGTCCCAGCTGGGTCAGTCCCTCGTCCTCAAGGGCCCAGAGATTAACGTCATCTCCCACGTCGTTTCGTCCTCAAGTGCGTCCAACTCAAGCTCTGCCGCAAGCGACGCTACTGTTAGCACCATCTCCACCATCACGCCGGCCCTGATGCCTAGCCTCGCACAGCCATACACAGACGAACGCGGCGCTACTGAGGCCTAGCGCTTGCGAGGGAACATCGACGGTATTTCTGCCCTCGTACGAATGCAACCTCTTTACCCCGGCATTGTCCTGGTGCGCATGCAGGCGCGCACAGAAGTACTATCTTCGTCTCTGCACCATCCGAGTGTCACTTGTATGCTTGCTGTAATGAGTTGCGAGATGTATTTATGCTGCCCTGGCCGTGCTCCGTCTATGTCGATGATGCTTGTCAACTGTGTGCAACTAGCTTATGGCACATGTTTTGGAAATTCACCTATCGTTTTTCAGCTGGTTCTTGAGTCGAGTGGAAGGTAAGCATTGACCCGACGTCGCGCTAGAGCGATTGCAATGCCGGCAGGTACGACAAGGTTCACGAATCCATCTTGCCATGTGACCATGCACGCACGGTGCATTACCTCCTTGACCGAGGTTGTCCCACGTCCTCAACCTCAGACGACGACGACGACGACGACGCACCCGTGAGCAGACACAGAATGAGCTCGAACACCCGCAATGCAAGATCGGAGACCTCAAATGAGAACCTTCACACACTCCTTGACGGCGTGGTCATTACCTTGAATATTGCCAAGGACGCGACTGCGGCATTTCCGCCCCTCCAGTCCGCGGTCGGAGGAGTTGTCGGAATCATCGGTGTCGTGAAGGTGAGCGAGCTGTTCGAGGCCGCTGCGTGCTCACTTCTCATCTGTTTCGCTTCAGAAAATGGGAGCAAATATCGGCCAGGTCAAGCTCCTCGAGCAATATGCCAGTCAGCTGTCCACCACTCTGCAAAACCCTATCTTCAAGAATCAGGAGGCGTGCCCGGAAGATTTGCGCCGGCGTATTGATATCCTCGAGAGGTGAGATTATTGTTCAGTTTGACTGATTTGTCCAGCGTACTCACTTTCGCGCAGGCAGCTGAATGAGACGACGAAGGAGATCCGCAAGTTGGCCTCCCGCTCCAAACTCAGGCGATTGTTCAGGTCAGATACGCACGCTGGGATCATAGACGAACACACCACGAAGATCTCTCGGGCCTTCGAGGTGTTCCTGGTGAGTCTGACTTACGAAAGTAGAGACGCTGTAATATTCACTATCATCGCGCACAGATCGGGGGGATAATGAACGTCGAGGTTGGTGTGAACGTGAGTAGTCGTATGCAGTCCCTGCACATGCGCACGGCCCAATGAGTATATCGCAGGAGATATTGAGCCGCCTCGACAAAGTCGACATACGGCCCCCCGATAAGAGTCAAGCATTCGCTGGTAGGCATTGTCACTTCACGTTCAATCGCACGATCTGACTCCGAGGTGTCCAATCAATCGTAGGCCATAGTATCCCGCGCTACGCCGTTGCTGCCCGTTTTGACCACCCTAGCCAACGCGCTACCTGCGAGGGACGAACACGATCGGAGACTCTGAACACCATCTACTACTGGTTCCTCCCGAACCAGGCTGGAGGACGGATACCCGAGGACATTCTGCAGCCACCGAGGGTAGACGCGCGACTATTCTTGCTTACCGGGCAGGCCGGATCGGGCAAGTTGACCATCGCACAGACCGTGGCGGCATGGTGCTCAGAGCTCGGGTACCTTGGCGCGAGCTTCTTCTGTTCTAGGGACAACCAAGAATGCAGTGATATTCAAATGATATTCCCTACAATTGCCTACCAGCTTGGTCTGCGTGACCGCAGATTCCCGGAGAAGATTGCAGAGGTCATGAGGCAGGACCCCGACATCCAGACATCTCTTGTCTCCCGCCAGCTCAAGCGTTTGATTGTTGACCCCCTGCGAGAGCTGCCGACATTCCCAGATTGTGCAGTTGTCATCGACGCACTAGACGAGTGTAAGGACGCTGAGACGACGTCTCTCATTGTCCGGGCGCTGTCAGACCATGTCTCTGGCCTGGCTCCCTTGAAGATTTTCCTGACCAGCCGCCCCGTCCTGAACATTACTTATGGCTTCCATTCAACCGGCCTACTCAACGCGACGCAGCACATCATTCTCCATGAGGTGCCGCCAGACACCACCGAGCGCGACATTGAGATCTTCCTGCAGAAGAAGATGACCGACGTCCGGGAGAGATACGGCTTGGACAGGTCTTGGCCTACAGCAGAATGGGTGGTGCGACTAGTCAAGCTTTCGAACAGAGTGTTCATATATGCCGCTACTGCTATACACTTCATCGAGGACGCCAATGCCAGCAACCCAGATGGTCGTCTTCGATCACTGCTCGAGGGCCAAGGAGAGTCATCCACAAGTGTAGCAATGCCCTTCTACCAGCTGGACAAGCTGTACCTCCAAGTTCTGAAAAGTGCATATCCGGATATCACCCAAGAACTCAAATTGCGGTTGAAGATCATTCTCGGCACACTCGTCCTCATCCGTGATCGCCTGTCGCCGAATGCTATCGATATGCTCATGCACCTCAAACGTGGAACGACTCGGACTACACTGACTCACCTTCAGTCGGTCGTCATGGTTCCCGATGACAATAACGCCGTGATCAGCCTTATCCACCCTTCATTCCATGACTTCCTTACTGACGGAAATCGATGCCGCGACCCCGATCTGTTGGTCAATCTTTCAATCCAACATGGACTCATTGCACAGCGGTGCCTCGAAATCATGATCGGCGGGCTGCGGATGGACATTTGCAAGATCGGGCGAAGTGTACTGAACTCGGAGGTGCCTGGGCTTCCGGAGCTTGTGGCGGAGCACATCCCCCCGGCCCCGGAGTATGCCTGTAGTTACTGGACACACCATGCCTTCCATGGTGAAGTCGACAACAAGCTGCTTGGCTTGCTCATCAAGTTTAGCGAGAGTCACTTGCCGAACTGGCTGGAAGTAATGAGCCTCCTTGGCGGCTCGAAGTTAAGCAGTGCGGTCTCAGCATTGCAGATGCTCCACAAGAGATTGCTTGTACGCAGTAGCTTTGCCTTCACTAATATTAATGTCCTCACTGATCATGTTGTTTCACTCAGGGCTTATCCCTCCCACACTCTGACCTCACCGCATTGTTGTATGATTGCCTACGAGCCACACAGCAATCATTCCCAGGCCTCAGTATTTCATGTCTCCAAGCACACTCTGGCCTCATCCCTTTCTGTCCCACATCTAGCAAACTCAGGGAGTACTACACTGTGCAAGGAATTGGACATCCAAAGGTGCTCAGTGGACTCCAGCAGCATTGGGATCCATGCATCCTCACTATCGAAGGCCATTTAACATTCTCAGTGAATGCTGTGTGTTTCTCATCTGATGGCCGGCACATTGCCTCTGCAGGCTCTGACAAGACAGTCAAGTTATGGGATGCTGCCACAGGCTCCCATCTTCACACCCTAGAAGGACATGAGGACACGGTCCAATGTGTGGCATTCTCACCCAATGACCAACATATTGCTTCGGGCTCTGATGACAAGACTATCATTATTTGGGATGCCGCTATCGGCCAACACCTCCACACTCTGACAGGTCACACCAATATTGTCACGGCTGTAGACTTCTCTCTGGGCGGGGACGTTGCAGTTCTCGCCTCTGGCTCCCATGACCACTCGACACGGATCTGGGACCTCAACAACAACATCGGCTTGTCGAGGACCCTGTCTCCCACACACACATCTTATGTCAAAAGTGTCAGGTTCTCCCGATCTGGATCACTGCTGGTTTCGTGCAGCCTGGACGGTGCATGCAAAGTCTGGAGATCAGGTGCTTGGACATGCGTCGCACAATTCAACCATCCTGAACACACCGCCATACTTTCCCTTGTCATCTCGCCCGATGAAGCTATCTTTGCTTCGGGACAAGGACACCCAGCCAAGGACATTCTTTTACATTCTACTGCTGACGGCCGCTGCTTCTGCACACTCCAAGGCCACACATCCGACGTGTGGTCTCTCGACTTCTCTCCCGACAGCACTACCCTTGCCTCCGGCTCAGAAGACCGTACCATCATTCTGTGGGATGTGGCCAGTGGTTCCACCCTCCGCACTTTGAAAGGGCACTCCAGCCAGGTGTACAGCCTCAGATACTCCCCCGATGGCCAGCGGATAGCCAGCTGTGGCTATGACCATAGCATCCGAATCTGGGACCTGTCTCTGTTGTCGACCGAGAGGGTGCGCGAGTCCGCGAGGAAGAAGCTGAAGGAGAGATTGACCCGGGGCCATGGGTCGGGGATGCACAGGAGTGCTGGCGCCGAGCCTCAACATTTGTCGAATGTACGCTCTGCGACGTTCTCACCTGACGGACGGATCCTTGCCACCGGGTCGCGAGACACTACGATTCGTCTATGGGATACTGCGAGCGGCGCTCAGTTGCGAGTACTCGAAGGTCATCAAGGCGTTGTCTCGTACCTATCATTCTCCCCCGACGAAAAGACGCTACTCTCGTCAGAATACGAGCCCTACTACTCGTCCGAGGTGGCTCTCCGTTTATGGGATGTAAAGAGCGGTCGATGTGAGCAGACGTTCACTGGGCATGAGCGGAACGTGGTCCAGGCGAAGTTCTTTCCCGACGGGAAGCGAGTGATCTCGTGTTCGGACGATGGCAGCATCCGCGCTTGGGAGGTCGGCCAGTCGAGGACGCGCAGCGTGGAATCGCGCGTCGTCTACCAAGACCGAAGCCTCAGTATATACTCCGTCGCTGTCTCTCCTGATGCCAGCCTGGTGGCGTTTGGCTGCTGGAGTGACGAACCGGATGACCATACACTTGGGCTAGTCAGCCTGACGACGCCACAAGCGGTCCGCTTGGTGCGGTATGAGCGTGCGCACGGCGCGCCCACAGCACTCGCATTTTCCAAGGACGGCAGTCGTCTCCTGGTTGCCTCCAGTGGCGGTACAGTGAAGCCTACCGTTACTCTTTGGGGCATCCATGCAGGGAGTCGAGCCAGCCCGGCGGCCGTTGACACCACATTGGAAGCGACCTTCCTGGATTGCTATGACGGTGAGGACTGGGCGGAGAATATCGCGTTTTCATCTACTGAGACGTCTTTCGTCACGGACGCCACCATGGGTGTCATCTCGCCCCAGCACCGGCCCCGCTCAGCCTCGCAGGATGACAGTTTGGACCCTGCAGAGTACGCATTCTGCCTAGCCGATAACTGGCTGTGGTATGTATCTGCTACCGAGAGGCGCAGGCTATGCTGGGTCCCGGCCGCCTTCCGACTTGTGCGGCAGCTCGATATCGCTTACCGAGGATCCATTGCGGTGTATCGTGATGTTGTAGCCTTTGGTACGGAAAGTGGTCGAGTTGTCATCTTGGACATGACTCCTTGCTTGCCTCGCACTTGCTGAGGGATAATAGGACATGTATTTGGCTATGGGCATATGATCATTTTCAATATGGACCAAGCTTGCGTCTCGCGTTACGTTCAGTAGCACACACAGGAATACGACATGTATGTATAGTTTACACCCAGATGCATGAGCGACTCCAAGAACGGGACAACCATATGAGCAGACCGGGAAACACAGAAGAGCAGAGTCATCCAATAAGCGTCCTCGGTCAGATAGCGAGCTCGACAGCCCGTCCTCCCAACTTCAGACCGGAAGCTTGCGCTCATGAAGGAGGCACTCGTCATCGTGCTCTGCGACGATGGCGCCGAGCCGAGCCCCTCCACCAATTTGTCAGAGAATTGTTGATGCAGTGTCTGAGCGTCGAGCGGCACGGGGGAGGCAACGGCGGCAGCGGCGAGCGCTTCGAAGTTGAGGGACAAGCGCAGCACCGGAGGCGCCACTCGCAGCATCTTGTACTTCGTCTAAACGTCCGCTCCTATTGAGATAGTGCTTGTGCACGATAGATCATTGTGCGAAGGCATAGGCAATGCGCGAAACGGTGGCTGGAAATGTTTGTGGCGAATGTTGGGTGCAGATGCAGGTGCCGTTCGGGGGTGAGCGACGGGGACAAGACGTCGATGATTTCGATGTACATCGTCACGAAGAGACTTATCTTGCCGTTCAGCTCGTCCGTCCACCAGCCATCGAGGTCCCCGATAAGTTCCTCGGCCTGATCTCTAGCCTTGACGCTCAACTCGCCCTGCGACACGGCCAGGGATTGGTGCAGCACAAGTGCGACCATCATCGTTGGTAGGCGGATCGAGCCCGATGGCAGCAGTGCCAAGATAGTACCAGCGACGCATCCGGGGCAGGGTTAGCCTTCGTTGGGGACGAGCGGGAGGACGTGGTTCGGTGCCATGCCTTCCGCGTGCATCGACGGGCTTGTCTTTCTCCCTGCAGATTTCGCTTCACGCCCAGCCTTTGAATTACGCGTTTGTCCGTCTCCCGCCCTATCCTCGTCTTTGCTCGTCCCAACGCTTGCGGCACTGATGGCTCGTTTCCATTCGTCGCGAATGCCGGGCGTAGGCCTTGAGCGGCGATTGATCGGATGTCCGAGTGGTCTTGTGCGAGGAAGGCACTACTCGCGTCGGTCGACACGGCAGTAGCACGAGGACGATACCGGTGGTGAAGACGGCGATGACATTACAACCGTCATCCACGCGTGCTCGTTCGTCAGGACAGAGAGAGCTTGTGAGACGCTCAACAGCCAGGTCAAGGCATGTGAGACCGTGGTCTTATCTGCGAAGGCAGTGAGCTTCAGTCGTACTCGATGTGACCGGTGAAAAGATAGACTTACCGTCGTTCGGCGGACTCGCAGGACTAGTCGCCAGTATCGAGGCTGGAGTCGCTCCTTGACTGTCGTTCAGCACGTTTTCTCCTCCTCAAAGCCAGCGGACCGACGGCGTCTATGGCGGTTTCAAAGGTATTCATCGTAGACGACCGTTACGGTATTCCAGGGAAGTCCTTGTCCAACTGGAACGCCACGATGCGGCTTTCTTCAGCACTGGCCGTGCCAATGAGACGCATAGGATGGTGAGGGCGGCGCGTTCTCGCTGCTGGCCGTATTGGCGGCGCTGGCAGTGTCGTTGTCCTCCCCTTCCTCTCTCAGCACCAGCTGACGATCCATCATACTTCCGATGAACGGCCCCGCACTTTGGCCTCTTCCGCCTTGCCTACATTGCCCTGCGCGCGTCCAACATATCAGCCAAGAGCCTGTAGCCAAAGGCGCATGTCACCACGTACCCCTCAACTGATCCACCACGATCTCGAAGTGCTTTCCAGTCCCGGGTCCATCGACTGCCGTGAAGGGCGTTCGCGCGGTCCGGCACTGGTAGCACCGCGGCCTTGCGGGAGAACTGGTCTCGTCTCTGTGCTTCTGCATGTGCCGCGGGACGGGGCGATGAGCGAAGAAATGCGGCTGTACGTGGGCGCAATCGCCTCTAAGTGCTCTTGCCAGCAAGACTAGTCGGGACTGTGATGATGGTACGCGCAAGACTGTGCGAGACTGAACGTCGGTAAGGGCATGTTGATGAGGTTCGAAGGTGCCGGTGATGGTGCTGCTCGTGACAGGACTCGAACTAGGAGGGAGCGCCTGGAAACGAGGACGAGGATCCCGTGTGCAGCAACTTCGGTAACGGAGGCGATTCGGGCGAGGGAGGGAGATATGGCTGTCGCCATGGAGTTGCTGTGACCCGCGCTGCTTCACGAGGTCTTGAGAGATCGTCGAATAAGTGGAAGAACTCGCCAACACAGCTGGAGCTGTGCGTTCAGCGCCATCACACTCGCCGTCATGCGGGTCGTGACGCCGGGCAGGTCAGTTTCGCGCTGCCCCTCATGCTTCTGGCTTGCTCTCTCTCCTCCACATCTCCCGCCATCCCGCCGCAAGAACCACGCGGCACATAAATGTCGTTGGACGAGCCGGCCCTTCCGACGTTCGCTCTTGCATTCTCCGTGGCTGCAGGAATCCACAACGCCCCCCGCTGCCGCTATCCCAGCGTGCTCAGTCTCCGCGTCAAGCTCGATACCGCCCAGGACAGGATGTTCTTCAAGTATCGACCAAGCTTTCGACGACAAGACCGGCGATGCAGTGTCTGAGCGTCCAACGAGGCGGTGATGGCGAGTGCCCCACAGTGGTGGGCCAAGGCGAGGGCAGCGCCAGGGTCTCGTACTCGCCGCCCAGACGTCCGCTCTTATTGAGATGATGTGCGCGTGAGCCAGGCCATCGCGCGAGGCCCACAGGCAGCGCGCAGTACGGCGGCCGGGAGTATCGTGGTTGATGGCGAGATGAGAGACGGGGACAAAGCGCCAACGATCTCGGTTTGCATAATCAGAAGGAGGTGCATCTTGTTGGAGAAGGACCTTGGTAAGCAGACCTTCCTCACGAATGGGCGGGTCAAACGTAAGGGCAGGAGTGGCGAGGTAACAGTGGCGATGCATTTCGGGTGGAATTAGCATTCGTTGGGGATGAGCGGGAAGACGTGTTCCGGTGTTGCGCCAAGCGTGTCCTTCTCTGGTAGCTTTCGCTTCACGCCCAGCTCTTCACTGTGAAACGCCCCCGCCTATCCTCGTCGCCGTTCGTTCGTATCAGCCGACATGACAGTAGCGTGAGGATGGTACCAGTGGCGAAGATGATGGCGGGATGACGACAAGAAGGAGAGCGCCTGCAAAGCGTTCAGCACCCAGGTCGAGGTGTGTGCGCCCATGATCTTATCTGCGAAGACAGTTAAGTTCAGCGATGCTCAATATTTCCGGGGAACAGATGGACTTGCCATCGCTCGGAGTGCTTACGGAACCAGTCGCGGTATCGAGGCTGCGACTGCTCCCCAAGCGTCATTCGGTGCCGGAGGTTCAACGGCATGTGTACGGTGAAGACGACAGACTGGTGCAGGTATACGCCTATAACCGTTTTGGTGGTGCCCGTAGGCGACGGCTTCGACGCTCCAGGAAAATTCTTGGCCAACTGGAAGCCCACGACGCGATTTCCTTTGGCACTGTTCGTGCCGACAACGGTGAGGAGGACGTGTGGGATGGCGAGGGCGAGAATGGCGCATAGGGTGGCGAGGGCGGTAGATTCTCTGCCGCTCGTGCTCGCAATGCTGATCTTGTCGTTGTCCATTCACTTCCTCTACCGACACTCGCCAACGATCCACTATACCCCCAAGAGCCGACTCTTGATCTTAGACCTCGGTTTTGTTCTCTTTGCCTGCGGCGCCCTGCACGATATCAGCCATAAGCCAACGGTTACGAGCGCATATCATGACGTACTCCGTAACTTGCCCACCGCAATCTTGAAATGCTTCCAATTGCGGGTACACCGATCGCCGTGGAGGGTGTATGTGATAGCCTTGAGCGTACAAAAGGACGCTGTAGTGCCGCGCAGCCTTACGCCAGAACTTGTACCATCTCTGAGCCTCCACATGCGCCCTGGGGCGGTGCAATAGGCGAGAAATACGCGGGTCGCGAAATCGTCAGGTATTCTTGCCAGTAAGGCTGCCATGGTATGCGCATGATTGCGCAGGGCTAGACGTCGGCGAGAGTATGTTGATGGGGAAGGTATTGGTGATGGCGCTGCTTGCGGCATGACTGGAGCTGCGATGCTGGACGGCACTGCGAGCGCATACCCAGCCTTCTACGGTGCGGTATTGGCCGGTATGATGCCTTAGGGCTCGGGGCTATGCGGACGTTCGAGCCTACCGGCGCACACACGATGTTCGTCGAGTGGCATGTCGAGTCCAGTTCCCAGCCGGCGTCTCGGCCCGTCGGTGATGGCGGCTCTGACGACAGTGATCCTGGCGTGCGCCCTCTTCGTGCTCGCGCTCACGGCTCGCGCGTCCATCCTAGTCTCGTCCCCAGCCATTCTAGCGCGCCCGGACTTCGCCGGTCGGAGACTGCGTCGGACATCAATGGTGATGTGCAGTCTCTCGCTAGAATGTCTGGTCCACTTGGATCATCCGGGGGGGCCTCATTCGCACGTGATCTACACGCTCCCTGAGGAAGTGACCGCCTGCGCACCGCCAAGTTGCTGGTGATGAGTAAGGCGTTCGTGTATGCAGTCAGACATATATGTAAAAGTGCCTCTGATATATTCTTGAGTACATTTGTGTTTTTATAAGCCCCCTGCAACGGAGAGTACCACTGCAGCCCAAATAGCCGCCAACGGCAGGCTACGGGCGCGGTATGTGTGCGCGTCAGTCACGTGCGGACGAGACCCCCCGGATGATCCAAGTGGACCAGACGCTCTAACGAGCCAGTGCACTTTGCTTTCAAAGTCCGATGCACTGGCCGACAGTGTTTACACGTCGGAGTTAAGAGCGGATGGAAACGAGACTACGTCCATCCCCGGATCCCACTAGCAAGTTGCCGCTCGCGCTCTCGACGGCCCCTACAGCCGTCGCTTCCGCTCGCCGGACGCCATGAAATCGCGCACTGCGCGCCTGTCTTCCCGCTCCCACCAACACTGAGCACGGCACAAAATTTGTTGTTGCTCGAGTCACTTGCGCTCCTCTCCACCCCGTATCCATTGGACGCTCCACGGTCTCCGTGTCAAGCTAGCTTGACCTTGTATCGCACTGCGCACCCAAGCATGGGCCAAGCTTTTGCGTAACTAAGCATCAGCATCCAATGGGCATCCCAAGAGCAGGAGCTGGATCGTCTGTGGGGCCTTCTGCTACTTTCCACCGCGATCAGGTATGTGTGCCGTGCCTACCTTCCGTTGCATATACCGACTGCGGTATACAGGCCTATAGACTGTTATAGTCCTTGACCCTGTAAGCTGGCTTCTTCGTATGACCAGCCCCCCCCCCCCGGAATCTGCACATGTGCTCTCGAATCTCTCTCTGCTTCCCCCTCCGACACTCATACCGTACACTGCCAATACGAAATGGGGCCTCTCTCAACAGCCCCTGCGCAAGCCCAGCGCTCGACTGGGCACATCTGCCCGGACTGCAAGACTGCAGACCCCGTGGAAGCACAAGACGCGACGATCGCGACTCTTCTGATCAGCAATCGTTACAAAGTCCTGGAGCAGATCCTTGAGCGGTTCCAAGACCCTGCCTTCGTCATAAATTCGCGTTTACATTCGAGACCGCACCCTTCGTTGCTGCGCTACGGGACATGGACGTGCTGTACATGCCCCTACTACGCTTCGCGGCGCGCACCTCTCGCCTCTCTTGCTCAAGAGCGCTCCACACGCGGCGTCGGACGACACCGAAGGCAGATGCGAGCTCAAAGCCTAACGGGACGTCGCCAACCTTTGAACCTGCAAGAAGTCCGCGCCGATGGTCGACGTTGGCTTGGTGATGAGCACAAGCTGACGTGAGATTTGTCCGCGAGGTCGCCTCCTACACGAGCGACGCTCTGCTCGCAGCGGACGAGAGCAAACTGTCGACGCCGACGCCGATTTTTGGATGAACGGCACGACGGGATAGAGGTGCGGAAGCGGTGCGATGGCTCGGCCGTGCCGTCACGCGGCGTTCGAGTACGCGAAGGCGGCGGGCCAGACAGGGGTCCCTAGAGATAGGTACGTATACTCAAACAGACCGCGTGAAAGATGACGCTAACTCTCGCTCAGAGCTCGTTGCGCCTTGCGGCAGGCTCATTCACCAAGCTGACAACATCCCACACCTCGTAGATGCCGAAACGCAACAATAACTACTGCGCCTAGTATCTCGCCATGCCGTCAAACTCGCAGTCGCTCTGCGAAGTGGCCGCATACCAGAGTACATATGAGCCGTACGTCGTCATTGGCGCGGGCGCGGGTCGCGGCGCGACGAACGCTTCACCGGCTGTGACGGAAACGAGGCTGCCTGTTTTTTTGTTTTGTTTGGAGATCAACCGAAAAGGCGACGGACGTACAAGCAACAAGTATGAAGAACAGGCCGGGCGGGAACAGGTTAGTCACTGCTCGACCTGACCGTCCTTGTACTGCGCGACTAACTGTACATCCCGTAGCGGGAGTGAGACGCGCCCGTGGTACAAATGAACAAATGTCGCGATCTAAGTTGATACCGCGCCGGCGAGGCTTTTGGACTTCTTCGACGGCCGGATTCTGGACGGAGAGAGCGGCGGCAGCGACGACCTTGCGCCGACAACCACTCCCGGTTTCTTCTGCGCAGCCTTCGCCGTCGAAGAAGCCGCACGGGAGCCTCCACACCACGTTCGTCTCCTCCTCGGTCGCTTCGCCCTCGAGCGCTCCCAGCTCGAAAGTGCGATCTTCACCGCCACGCCGGCTCTGATGTCCAGTCTCGCGCAGCTGTACTTGCGCGGCCACCGTGAACATGCGCTGCTGGCGCCCAGTGCTTACGGGGAAAAACAGGCCAGTAATTTTGCCCCCGCACAATTTTTTACCTCGGCTTTGTCCTGATGCGCGTGCGAACACGCACAGACGATCCCATCTCCATCTCTGCGACGTTCGAGTGCCGTTTATAGGCTTGCTGTGGTGATTGCGACTGCAGTGGCGAGATGTGTTCATGCTGCTCTGCCGTGCTCCGTCTCTGTCGGTGATGCATGCTAAATCCGTGCAGTTGGCTTATGGCGTTGTTTTTTTGGATGGAAATCTGTCTACCGGTTGGAAGGTAGGCATTGGCGCTAGTGAGATTGCCGATAGGTATTACAGTATTACAAGCTTGACTGAACTTGGCCTCAAGGTTAAGTTCAGTCAAGCGCGCGCCTAGTGCCTGCTCGCTCTAATCTTGGTTTCAGACTCTCAGCCCGCTATTAGAGAAATGCAGTGTGGGCTTTCGGAGCTCGCAGTTTTCCTCGTGGCGAGCTCTGCAGTAGGACTTTCAAAGCCCGCTAATTCACCATTTACAAATGGCTTGTTACCGCTGCACCTTCCTGAAACCTCGGAGACTAGCTCGCCCCGATTGAGGCTATCCTGCGTACTCAACTTCAGACGACGACGTAGCTGTTAGCAGACACAGAATGAGCTCAAACACCCGCGACACAGGCATGGAGTCCTCGAACGAGAGCCTTCACACACTCCTTGATGGCGTGGTCATTGCCCTCGACATCGTCAAGGATGCGGCTGCCGCATTTCCACCGCTTCAGTCCGCCATCGAGGGAGTAGCAGGTATTATATTGGATGTCGTGAAAGTGAGTGGGCAGTTCGAGGCTGCTGAACGCTTCTGATCCGTTTTTTGCTCAGAAAATGGGGGCGAATATTGACCAGATCAAGCTCCTCGGGCAACATGCCAGTCAACTTTCTATCACTCTTCAAAACCCCATCTTCAAAAACGAGAAGGCCTGTCCGGAGGATTTGCGCCGGCGTATCGATATTCTCGAGAGGCAAGACCATAGTCTCGATATCTACTCGTTCAGCGTACTCACTTTCGGGCAGGCAGCTGAAGGAGACGACGAAGGAGATTCGCGAGCCCTCCTCCAGCTTCGAACCCTCGCCATTGTCCAGGTCAGATACGCACGCTGGAACCATAGACGAACATATTACGAATATTTCTCGGGCCATCGAGGTGTTCCTGGTGAGTCTGACTTACGAGAGAAGAGGCGCTGTATTACTCACTACTATTGCATATAGACTGGGGGGACGATGAACGTCGAGGTCGGTGTTAACGTAAGTAGCCATATGTCGCCCCTGCACGTACGCACGACCTAATGAGCACATCGCAGGAAATATTGAGCCGCCTCGATAAGTTGCGGCTTGACGAGAAACAAGCCTTTGTCGGTAAGCATTCTCGCTTCGTGTTTTATTGCACGACCTAACTCCATAGTCCCCGCCTGATAATAGGCCCTGCCCCGCACTACGCTATTGCCGCTCGTTTCGACTACCCTAGCCAACGCGTCACTTGCGAAGGACGAACACGATCGGAGACTCTGAACGCCATCTACCAGTGGTTCCTCCTGAGCCAGGGTGAAGGACGCACACCCGAGGCCGCCCCGCAGCCACCGAGAGTAGAAGCGCGTCTGTTCTTGCTTACCGGGCAGGTCGGATCGGGCAAGTCGACCATCGCACAGACGGTGGCGGCATGGTGCTCGGAGCACGGGTGCCTTGGCGCGAGCTTCTTCTGCTCTAGGGGCAACCGAGAATGCAGTGATATTCAAATGATATTCCCTACAATCGCCTACCAGCTTGGTCAGTGGGACCGCAGATTCCAGGAGAAGACTGCAGAGGTCTTGAGGCAGGACCCCGACATCCAGACATCTCTCGTTTCCAACCAGCTGAGGCGTTTGATTGTTGACCCCCTGCGAGAGCTACCAACATTCCCGGATTGTGCAATCGTTATCGACGCACTAGACGAGTGTAAGGACTCTGAGGCGACATCTCTTATTGTCCGGGCGCTGTCAGAGCATGCTTCTGACTTGGCACCGTTGAAGATTTTCCTGACCAGCCGTCCCGTCCCGAACATTACCCACGGCTTCCATTCGACCGGCTTACTCGACGCGGCGCAGCACATCATTCTCCATGAGGTGCCGTCAGACACCACCGAGCGTGACATCGATATCTTCCTGCAGAAGAGGCTGGCCGACGTCCGGGAGAGGTACGGTTTGGACAGGTCGTGGCATTCAGCAGAACGGGCTGCGCGACTGCTCGAGCTCTCGAACAGACTGTTCATATACCCCGCTACTGCCATGCGCTTCATCGAGGACGCCAATGCCAGCGATCCAGATGGGCGTCTTCGATTACTGCTCGAGGGTCAAGGGGCTTCGCCTGCAGGTGTGGCAATGCCCTTCTACCAGCTGGACGAGCTGTACCTCCAAGTTCTGAAGAGCGCATATCCGAATATGACCCAAGAGCTCAAGTCGCGGTTGAAGATCATCCTGGGCACACTCGTCCTCATCCGTGATCGCCTGTCGCCGGATGCCATTGACAAGCTCATGCTCTTCGAACATCGAACGACTCGGACTGCACTGACTCGCCTCCAGTCAGTCGTCATGGTTCCCGATGATGATGATGCCGTCATCAGCCTCATTCACCCTTCATTCCACGACTTCCTCACTGACGACAATCGATGCCACGACCCCGATCTGTCGGTCCATCCGGCAACCCAGCATGGACTCATTGCTCAGCGGTGCCTCGAGACTATGATCGGCGGGTTGCGGACGGACATCTGCGGGATCGGACGGAGCGTACCGAACTCGGAGGTGCCTATGCTTTCGGAGCTTGTGGCGGAGCACATTCCTCCGTCCCTGCAGTACGCCTCTCTTCACTGGACACACCATGCTCTCTGCGGCGAAATCAACAACGAGCTGCTTGACGTGCTCACCAAGTTTGGCGAGAGCCACTTGCTGAACTGGCTGGAGGTTCTGAGCCTCCTTGGCGAGCTGAGCGGTGCGATCTCAGCACTGCAGATGCTCCACGACAGATTGCTCGTATGTGGTACCTTCGCCTTCACTAGTGTCATCGCTAATCACGGCATTACACATAGGGCTTACCCCTCACACACTCCAACATCATCGCGCTGCTATATGATTGCCTACGAGCCGCACAGCAATCGTTTCCGGGCCTCAGTATTTCATGTCTCCAAGCACATTCTGACCTCGTCCCTTTCTGTCCTACATCCAGCAGACTCAGAGATCATTACGCCGGGCAGGGAATTGGGCTGCCAAGGGTACTCAGCGGACTCCAGCAGCACTGGGACCCATGCACTCTCACTATCGAAGGCCATGCAAATTCCGTAACTGCCGCGTGTTTCTCGCCTAATGGCCGGCGCATTGTTTCGGCATCTGCAGACAACACAGTCAAGCTGTGGGATGCTATCACAGGCTTACATCTACACACCCTGCAAGGAGATGAAGATGTGGTCCGACTCGGATGCGCGGCGTTCTCATCCAACGGCAGATACATTGCTTCAAGCTCCGACGTTAAGACTATCATTATCTGGGATGCCACTACCGGCCAACACCTCCGCACTGTCAAAGGTCACACAGATTGGATCACAGCTGTAGACTTCTCTCTAGATGGCGACGTTGCGATTCTCGCCTCCGGCTCCCATGACTACTCGGTACGGATCTGGGACATCAACAGCGACGTCGTCTCGTCCAGAACCTTATCTCCCGCACACAAATCTTTCGTCAAGTGCGTCAGGTTTTCCCAAGGTGGAACACTGCTGGTTTCGTGTAGCGAGGATGGTGCATGCAAGGTCTGGAAATCAGGCGCCTGGACGTGCATCGCACAATTCGACCACCCTGAACGCACCGCCATCTTTTCCGTCGCCATCTCGCCCGACGAAACCATTTTTGCTTCGGGACAAGGGCGCACAGCTAATGACATTATTTTACATTCCACTGTCGACGGCCACTGTTTACGCACACTGCAAGGCCACACATCCAGCGTGTGGTCTCTCGACTTCTCCCCCGATGGCGCTACACTAGCCTCCGGCTCATCAGATCATACCATCATCCTGTGGGATGTGGCAGGCGGTTCCACCCTCCACACGTTGAAAGGACACTCTCGTGAGGTACTCAGCGTCAGATACTCCCCCGATGGCCAGCGGATAACCAGCTGTGGTGGTGACCAAAGCGTCCGTATCTGGGACCTGTCTCTGTTGTCGGCCGAGAGGGAACGTGAATCCACGAGGAAGGAGCTGAAGGAGAGATTGACCCAGGACCGCGAGTCGGACATGCACAGGAGTGCTGGCGCCGAGCCTCAACGTCCCTCAAATGTACGCTCCGTAACGTTCTCGTCTGACGGACAGATCCTCGCCACCGGGTCGGGAGACACTACGATTCGTCTATGGGATACTGCGAGCGGCACTCAGTTGCGAGTACTCGAAGGTCATCAAGGCGTTGTCTCGTACCTATCATTCTCCCCCGACGGAAAGAAACTACTCTCATCAGAGTACAAGTCCGACGCGTCTGAGTCGGCTCTCCGTTTATGGGACGTGGAGAGCGGTTGTTGCGAACAGATTTTTACTGGGCACGAAGACGACATAAATCAGGCAAAGTTCTTTCCGGACGGGAAGCAAGTGATCTCTTGTTCGGACAATGGCAGCATCCGTGTTTGGGAAGTCGGCCAATCGAGGACACGCAGTGCGGAATCACGCGTCGTCTATCATAGTCAAAGCCTCAGCATAGTCTCTATTGCTGTCTCTCCCGACGCCAGCCTAGTAGCATTTGGCTGCTGGAGCGAGGAACCGGACGACCATATTCTTGGGCTAGTCAGCCTGACGACGTCACAAGCAGTCCACTTGGTGCGGTACGAGCGTGCATATGGCCCGCCCACGGCGCTCGCGTTTTCCACGGACAGCAGCCGTCTCCTCGTCGCCTCTGGTGCAGAGTCAAGCAGAGTCACGCTTTGGGGTGTCCAAGCAGGCGGTCCCGCCGGCTCGACCCTCGCCGATATCGCGCCCGAAGCGACCTTCCTCGACTGTTATGACGGAGGCGACTGTGCAGAGAGTATCGCGTTTTCGTCTTCCGAGAGGTCCTTCATCACTGACGCCACCATGGATGACATCTCGCCCCAGCACTGGCCTCGCTCGGCCTCACAGGACGACCACGCAGAGTATGCGTTCTGCCTAGCCGACAACTGGCTCTGGTACATATCTGCTACCGAGAGGCGTAGACTATGCTGGGTACCGTCCACCTTCCGACTCATGCGCCACTACAATATGGTTTCTCGAGGGTCCATAGCGGTACACCGTAATTTGGTGGCCTTCGGTACTGAAGGCGGTCGGGTCATCATCCTAGATATGACTCCTTGCCTATATGAGTACTCGTCTTCCTAACAGAGCATTCTAGGACATATTTAGCTGTTCGTATAACCATTTAGCTACGGACTGGACTCTTCATATCCTGTATTTAGTAGCGCACATAGGAATCTAGTCTGGTGGTATCAAGGTGTATGTAGTTGATACTTGAATACATGAGCAAACCCAAGAAAGGGGCAGCACAAGCAGGACCGGGGAACACAGGAACACAGAAGCACCTGATAAGTGCTCTCAATCAAACAATAAGTCCGACAACTCATCCTCGCTTGCCAACAAGGTGTCTGTCGACGTGCTCTGCGATGAACGGCAGCTGGAAGCTGCTAGGGAGAGTAGGCGGGCGTGAAGGAGGGCGCTGCTCGAAGATGAGAGCGAAGCGCTGACGTTCTTGGCGTACGTCGCTGGGAAGAAATCCGCTTGCCGCTTCGCTCGTCTATCTTCGTCCAGACTTCATAGGCGAGGACCCTCTGCGAGACAAGCCTCCGACGTTCTCCGAAAGAACAATAAGCGGGTGTGGTCAAGCGCAGTTCGAATGCTCTATGGATGCCAATATCGCACTAGAGTATCATTAGTACTTTGTCTCGGAATGTCACGTAGGTCACTTACTCATTTATCCAACCACCCTTGACCTCTCGCAACGCCTGGAGGCATTGTTCTACGAAGTGCAGCTCCAAATCCAAGAATGCGGTGTAAAGCCAGTCGATCTCGGCATCTCGAAAAGCTTACGTGCGCGTCCGGATATCTTCCGCACAATCTTCACTGTGTGGATCGTCAGCGAGGTACCAGCACAATAGGATAACAGAAGACTCGCCACTGTGGCCAGAAGATCGAGCACTTGCCTTCGGCCTCTCCCTTCCCCTTCCCCTTCCCATTCTCATTCTCATTCTTACCATCTCAAACTTCCTCCAGCTTCGAATTCACAGCGTTGAAGGACAGCCCAGAGCGTAACGGATAAGCATACGACAAGACGTAGATAGTTAATCGCGCTCACTATTTGTTATCAAGTTCCTTTGCTCTGCTTGATATTCTTTGACATCGTCTTCCGCCTGCATCAAAGGCCCTCGACATGCTGGAGCATTTCGACACTGCATTTGAGCATTCCGCGGCCGAAATCCCAAGCACCCTAACTTGACTCGCATTGATAATCACTCCGGCGAGCTCGACAGTAAGTACAGGCTGTCCGAAATGGCCGCGCGCGAGTCGGCGTGGGGGTGTTCGCCGACATCATGCATCGCGTTTCAACAATTGGGCGGATAGTTTACTGGCAGCCGCACAGGGTCCTGACCTGACCGTAGCCTGCAGGTCGTCAGTGTCGGCGTAAGCCTCACGCCCCCCGCGGTATTGTCTCTGGGCTTCCCGCGACTAAGGTCCTGGCCTCCCAGGTTGGTTCGCGTTTGACCGTGCCGACGGCAAGCGAAGAGAGGTCCAGCACACCGGGTTTCGCCGATACCATGCATCGCGTTCCGATGGAGGAAAGCTGGTCAATCTACCGACGGCTGCTGCACCCGACTCTCAACCCAGGCTCGTGCGTCCGACGACCGAGGGTTTCGGTGCGCGGCCAGCACTTGTCGGGTCGTCTCGATACTAGTGACTGCGCTCTGAGACAGAGATTGCGGTAACCTGGATAGCCGAGAACTGATTATCTGATCGTGCACGCGTCGATGAAAATGGCACTAACGTTCCAGCCTGCAGACTTGGCGAGACGGCACAAGGCACGTCTATCGACCGAGGACAGCTGTGGAACGCCCCATAAGCACTTCGCTTGGGCAATGCAAAATAGATACTCACAGCAGAGCAAGCTAGGATTGCTCTGCAATATATATGGATGTCCGCGAAGCAGAGGAATGCTACATTCGCATGAGGTGAGTGGGCATTATGGTCACCGGCGCGAAGTAGATATTCACACTCTGTCCTTCAAGCTCAAGCTTAAATGACAGGTTCTGCTGACACGCGGGTCGTTCTGGTAATACGAGGCGAGTCCTCACGAGAAGAGTGGTGAGAAATTTCAAGATCGAAACGAGAGGGAGGATCTGCATTCGCAAAGTGTCAGCGCGTACGCTGGATAGCACTGCGAGCGCATACTCACCTTCTGCGGTCAAGTTTCCGCCAGCACGACGCCTCAGAGCTCAGCGCTCAGGGCTGAGCGTACGCTTGGACCCGTCGGCGCATACGCGATACTCGTCAAGTAGCATATCTAGTCTAGATAGTGCGGTTTCATGGTTTGGTATTCCGGCGTCGTGAGCAGTGCGCGTGGAAACGACGATAATAAGGAATGGCGAAAGCACGAGAGTCGATTTGCTAGCAGGAAGTGTGCGCCTGGTGTATGAGAGAGCGTGAAGCGCGCGCCGAGCACGATCAATGCCGCCATCACCGCCGTCACCGCCGTCACCGCCAGGCCGGATTTCTGGTAGCGCCGGCCGTGACGCGGGGTCTGTCTCCTCTTTGCTGCGTGTCCTGTCCCACCACCACCACACACAGCGCGAAGGACGTTGCTCAACGAGTCGCGCTCCTCACCTCCCTAGTCCTCGCCGCCGCTGTAGCCAGTCGATGCTTCCTACTGCCGCCATGCGGGCGTGAGCGGTCACCACGTCGAGCTTAATCCCGCATGGACGAGACGCTGCACACTCCGGTATGGGCCAAGCTTTCACGAAAATACACTTCAGCGCGCGATAGGCCCTCCAAGAGCAGGAGCCGGATCATCTGTCGGACCTTCTGCCACTTACCGCTGCGACCAGGCATGTGTGTTGCGCTTATTACCGTTGCGCATACTGACTGCGGTACACAGGCCGATAAACTGTTACACTCAACGGCCCCACACACTTATCGAGGCCCCACCTTCCTACTGGACTCCCTTGGGCTCTCATACCAATAATTCTGGATGCACCCTGCGAGCTGGCTTCTTCCTATGACCCGCTCCCACATGCTCTCGGACCTCTCTCTACTTCCCCCTCCGACGCTCACGCCCGTACACTGCCAACACGAAAAGGAGCCTATCTCATCAGCTTTCACGCAAGCTTTGCGCTCGACTAGGCTCGTCCTGCTAGACTACAAGACTGCTGGCCTCGTGAACGTACAAGCGATCGCATTCCTCCTGCCGGCATTCGCTACAAAGCCCTCGAGCAGGTCCTCAAGTGGTACCAAGGCCCTACCGATCACACCAGCTCGGGCTGCGAGCAGCACCGCGGCGTCAAGCACTTCCACTAGCATCTTCTCCACCGCCGCTCTCACGACGTCTGGCCCCGAACGACTGTACAGTACCCGAATACTGTAGGCATGCCGCTGCTGGTGCTTGCTGGCGAAAATGAGCGGCGACTCCTTCCTCGTACAGACACATTCCTTTACCTGTTGCGCCATTGCCGTATGCTTGGGGCGCACAGACGACGGCTACCCGCATCTCTGAGCTGTTTAGCCACCGTCTTTACCCTTGCTTTGGACGTTGGTACTGCGGTCTCGAAATGCATCGTCAATGCTGTTCGCTGAGACTTGCCTATGTCAGTGATGCTGCTGGACATGTGCGACTGACCTATGACATACATTTTCGTGACCCTCTACAGTTTGTCATGCTTAGCGTTAGTTCGTAAGGTAGGCGAAAGGATGAACATCGACTCGATAAGTGCCTGGGGAGATTGCCGATAAGTGCGACAAGGTTAAGTGGGCCATGTTCGCACGCGTAGCATGCTCGGCGTAGGTGCTTTTACACGTACTCGACCTCGGACGACGACGACGACGCCGCCTCCCAAGCAGACGCAGGATGGACTTGAACACCAGCAATAAAGGATCGGAGGATAACGAGAATATTCAGGCACTTCTCGATGGCGTGGTGCTTGCCCTCAACATCGCCAAGGACGCAAGCGCAGCGTTTCCACCGCTTCAGTCCGCTGTCGGGGGAGTAGTAGGCATTGTCGGTGTTGTGAAGGTAAGTGAACTGTGCGAGGCTACTGCGCGCCGTCTTCTCATCCGTTTCGGTCCAGAAAATGCGAGCGAATGCCGAGCAGATCAAGCTTTTCGAGAAATATGTCACTCAGCTCTCCACCACTCTCCAACACCCTATCTTCAAGGACAGGGGAAATTGCCCCGAAGACCTACGTCGGCGCATTGATATCCTCGTGGGGTGAGAATCGATCTGCTCTACTGTTGATTCGGTCACTCAACTCCGTGTAGGCAGCTGAGCGAGGTGGCGAAGGAGGTTCGCAAGCTCAACTTTCGATCCAAATTCTCCCGACTTCTCAGCTCAGACTCGCATGCCGGAACAATAGACGACTGCATCAGGCAGATGTCATGGGCCATTAACAACTTCCTTGTAAGTCTGATTTGCAATCTGGCGAGTAGGATCCTAATTCGTTATTGCTGCACGTAGGTTGGAGGAGCGATGAATATCGAGCTTGCCGTTAGTGTGCGTGACTATACACTATGCCTATACATGTGCGAGGCTTACGGGGCGCATCTCAGAAATTGTCCGTGACAGTGGAGAAGGGCTTCGACAGGGTGACCGATGAAATCCGGGGACTGGGCAGTCAAATCGCGGCTGGCAGCTGTAAGCGTTCTTGCTTCATGTTTGATGGCATAGCCCAATTTAGTCCTATAGCTAGTCCTATCCCTCGATACGTTGATGCCGCCCGCTTCGACTACCCTAGCCAACGCTCCGTCTGCGAAGGTCAAACGCGATCAGAGACTCTGAACACCGTCTACCAGTGGTTCCTTCCGGATCAGGCAGGACTACGGATGCCTGAGGTCGTTCTGCAGCTGCCGAGAGCAGATGCACGGGTGTTCTTGCTCAGCGGCGTGGCCGGTAGCGGCAAGTCGACCATCGCACAGACTGTGGCGCAGTGGTGCTCAGAACGCGGGTATCTCGGCGCAAGCTTCTTCTGTTCTAGGGACAACCGAGAATGCAGTGATTTCCAGATGATATTCCCTACGATCGCCTACCAGCTTGGTCTGTTTTTTCCCGAGTTCCAGCACAAGATCGTGGAGGTCATGAAGCGGGAGCCTCACATCCAGACAACTCTCGTCTCCCATCAGCTCAAGCGTCTGATTGTCGATCCTCTGCGAAAGTTGCCGACATTCCCACCCTGCGTAGTTGTCATTGACGCATTGGACGAGTGCAAGGACGATCATGCAACATCTCTCATTGTCCGCGCGCTGTCCGAGCATGTCTCCAGCCTGCTTCCCTTGAAGATTCTCCTCACAAGCCGCCCTACACCAAACATTACCTATGGCTTCCGCTCCACCGGCCTGCTCAACACCACCCAACACATCATTCTTCACGAGGTGCCGCCGAACACCACCGAGCGCGACATTGGCATCTTCCTGCAAAAGAGGATGGCCGATATCCGGGAGAGATATGGTTTGGGCAGGTCGTGGCCTTCGGCGAAACAGGTGGCACGACTAGTCAAGCTCTCGGATAAGCTGTTCATATATGCCGCTACCGTCATACGCTATATTGAGGATACCAGTGCCAGTGACCCAGATGGTCGTCTTCGATTACTACTCGAGGGTCAAGGGATGTTGTCCGCAGGTGCGGCAATTCCCTTCCACCAGCTGGACAACCTGTACCTCCAGGTTCTGAAGAGTGCGCACCCAGACACTACTCGAGAGCTCAAGTTGCGATTGAAGATCACCCTGGGCACGCTCGTCCTCATCCGCGATCGTTTGTCGCTAAATGCGATTGACAAGCTCATGCTCCTCGAACATGGAGCGGCTCGGACTACGCTGACTCACCTCCAGTCGATCGTCGTGATTCCCGACGATGACAATGCTGTCATCAGCCTCATCCACCACTCATTCCAGGACTTTCTCACTGACGCCACTCGATGTCACGACCCCGATCTGTTGGTCAACCCGGCACTCCAGCATAGGTTTATCGCCCAGCGGTGCCTCGAGACCATGATCGGCGGACTGCGGACGGACATTTGCAACATTGGGCGGATCATGCCGAACTCGGAAGTGCCTGGACTTCCGGAGCTTGTGGCGGAGCACATTCCTCCGTCCCTGCAATACTCCTGTTTTCATTGGACACACCATATGTTCCGTGGCGAAGTTGACAACGAGCTGTTCGACTTACTGATCAAGTTCGGCTCGAGCTACTTGCTGAACTGGCTGGAGGTTCTGAGCCTCCTTGGGGAATTAGGCGGTGCAGTTTCAGCACTGCAGACACTTCGCAAAAGGTTACTGGTATGTAGCGGCTTCGTTCTCACTGACATTATCACTGATCATACTGTGACATCCAGGAGTTACCCCTCCCACGCTCCGACGTCGTCGTATTGTTGTATGATTGCCAGCGAGCCATACAGCAGTCATTCCCAGGCCTCAGTGTTTCTTGTCTCCAAGCATATTCTGGCCTCATCCCTTTCTGTCCTACATCCAGCAAGCTCCGAGAGCATTACGCCAGGGCAGGACAAGGAATTGGACTTCCAAGGGTGCTCAGTGGACTCTCGCAGCAATGGGACACATGTACTCTCACTATCGAAGGCCATTCGAGCTCAGTAATCGCAGTGTGTTTCTCAGCTGACGGACACCGCATTGTCTCGGCATCTGCGGACAAGACAGTCAGGCTGTGGGATGCCATCACAGGCTCTCATCTACACACTCTAGAAGGACACAACGGCCCAGTCAGATGTATATCGTTCTCACCCGATAACAAATATATTGCTTCAGGCTCCGAAGACGAGACCATCATCATTTGGGATGCCATTACTGGCGGACACCTTCGCACTCTCAATAATCACACTGACGAGGTCAGCACCGTAGACTTCCCTCTGGATGGGGACATCGCCGTCTTTGCCTCTGGCTCCAACGACCACTCGATACGGATTTGGGACGTTAACAGCGAGTTTGGCTCGTACATCAAGCTGTCTCCCGCACACGAATCATTCGTCAAGAGTGTCAGTTTTTCCCGATCTGGAAGACTCCTGGTTGTGGGCGCGCCATACGCACGCTCGTAAGGCATCAGACTGACTCTTCGTGGCGTAATAAGGCTGGCTAACCCAAGTGTATGATCGTTCTTGTTATCCCAGCAGCCAAATGCCACCAGGCTGGCGTCAGGAGAGACAGTAACAGAGGGTATGCTGAGGTTACTGCTATGGTAGATGACGCGTATTTCTGTACTGCCCGTCCCTGACTGGCCGACCTTCCATACACGGATGCTGTGATCGAATGAACACGAAACCACTCGTTTCCCGTCCGCAAAGAACTTCGCCGTCCGTACGCCGTCTTCGTGTCCGGTGAAGGTCTGTTCGCAACGACCACTCTCCACATCCCACAGATGAAGAGTGGTATTCCTAGGCGTGCTGAGCTGATATTCTGATGAAAGCAGTTTCTTTCCATCGGGAGAGAGTGATAGGTACGAGACCACGCCTTGATGACCTTCGAGTACTCGCAACTGAGCACCGTTCGCTGTATCCCATAGACGAATCGTAGTGTCTCGCGAGCCGGTAGCAAGAATGCGTCCGTCAGGTGTGAACGCCACGGAGCGTACAACCGAGGAATGTTGAGGCTCGGCCGCGCCAGCTCTTCTGCCCGACCCGTGGCCCCAACTCAGCCTCTCCTTCAGCTTTGCCTTCTTGGGCTCGTGCTTCCTCTCAGCCGATAAAAGAGACAGGTCCCAGACGCGGATGCTATGGTCCTTGCCACAGCTGGCTATCTGCTGGCCATCGGGGGAGTATCTAAGGCCGTACACCTCGTTGGAGTGTCCTTTCAAGGTGTGGAGCGTGGAACCACTCGCCACATCCCACAGGATGATGGTATAGTCTGCTGAGCCGGATGCAAGTGTAGTAGTGTCGGGAGAGAAATCAAGAGACCGCACCTTTGACGTGTGGCCACACAGTGTGCGCAAAGAGCGGCCGTCGACAGTGGAATGCAATAGAATGTCCTTAGCTGCGCCTCCTTGCCCAGAAGCAAAGACGGTTTCGTCGGGCGAGATGGCGACGGAAAGTATGGGGTTCCGTCCAGGATGGTTGAATTGAGCAATGCATGTCCAGGCGCCTGATCTCCGAGTCCAGCCTTTACATACACCGTCAAGACTGCACGAAGCGCTCGCATTCTCCAAGGACGGCAGCCGTCTCCTGGTCGCCTCAGGCACGGCGTCCAGGATCACGCTTTGGGATATCCAAGCAGGCAGCCAAGCCGGCTCGATCCTTGTCGACATTGCGCCGAATGCGACCTTCCTCGGTGGCTATGACGGAGGCGATCGTGCGGAGAACATTGCATTCTCGTCTACCGAGAGGTTCTTTGTCACGGACGCCACCATGGGTGCCATCTCGTCACAGCGCCGATCCCGCTCGGCCTCGCAGGGATAGTCCGCACCACGCAGAGTACGCATTCTGCTTAGCCGACAACTGGCTCTGGTACATATCTGCTACCGAGAGGTGTAGGCTGTGCTGGGTGCCGACCTCTTTCCGACTTGTGCGTTCGCATGCAACGACCTTCCGAGGATCCATGGCGGTGTATCGTAATGTGGTAGCCTTTGGTACAGAAGGTGGTCAGGTTGTTATCTTGAACATGACTCCTTGCCTGCCTCAGGCTTGCTGAGGGACAATGGGACTTAATTAGCTGTGGGCGTATGTTTATATTGAACTTGCGTCAATAGTATACATGCGTAGTGTCGAAGCGCGTATAGTTTACATCCGAGTCCTACTGCATGAGCGTCCCCAAGAAGGGAAATACAGAAATACATGCGTTCTTCTCGAGACGGTGGTCCAACGACATGACGAGGATGACGGACCGCTGCGAGTACACGCCTGTGGCGGTCTCGGCGGCGCTCATCGTAGATGATCGCTACAGGTTTTAAGGAAAGTCCTTGACCAACTGGAACACCACGACTTGGCTTTCTTCAGCGCCGGTCGTGCCAACGACTCCTCAGAGATGCACAGAACGACGAGAGCGGCGTGTCCTCATTGCTGCTTGTATTGGCAATGTTGGCCGTGTCATTGTCCTTCTCCTCCCTCTCTCTCGGCACCAGCTGATGGTCCACCATACCCCTGATGAACGGTTCCGGACCTTAGTCTCTTCCGCCTTGTTTATATTTATATTATCCTGCATGTGTCTAGTATATTAGTCAAGAGCCTACAGCTACAAGCGTATGTCATCACGTCCACCTCAACTTGTCCACCGCGATCTCGAGGCGGTATCACACAGCCTTGCGCCAGAACTAGTCTCATTACATGCTCCCGTTGGCATGGTTAGCGGGGGCTGGTACGCATACGACTGCGAGGCTGGACGTCGGCAAAGACGAAGGTAGTCAGCGACGGTGCTGCTTGCGACAGAGCCAGAGCCAGAGCCAGAGCCAGAGCCAGAGCCAGAGCCAGAGCCAGGGCTTGAAGGGCTTGGAAATGAGGTGATCGAGGGCTGCCAACTTAGAGGCTAGATCTGCCACTCCTGGCCGAAAAAAAGTTTATATGTAACGTTTTCGACGACGGAGGCGACTCAGGCAAGGGAGAGGGATTTGGTAGTCGCCGTGGAGTTGTTAAGACTTGCACTTAGCTGCTAATTCATGTGCATGAAGAATCGTCGAAAAGTGGAAGAGCTCGCCAGCAAGCGAGCAGTCGAGTCTGCGATGCGAGCAGAGCAGAGCAGGAGTGGGGCGTTGGGCAGCGGGCACGCAATGCCATCATTCGCCATCAACATCGGGCCGCAGCGCCGACTCGCCGCCGTGGATGCAGCACGGGCAAAGTCGACAAAGACGACCCGTTGTGTATGGGGGGAAAGCGTAGAAATACTTGACAAGCATCGTCAACGACACCGGATCCGTTGACCCGTACTTGCCACCTTCAGGCCCGATGCTCACAAAGGTCGATGTGCTTTGCGGCGCTGGAGCTTTCACCATGTCTCCACAGAAGCGGAGGCGTATTTCTTTAGCACTGAAATTGGGCTGAAATTGGGCTGCTACATGAGGAGCAACTCCGTTTCAAAGGCTTTACGTGATGCGAAGCAGGTCGAACTCGGCCCCTTGGATAGCGTACACGCGTGTCCAGACATCGTTCGCGCGTTCTTCACTATGTATACCATCAGCGAGATACCAGCACGGCAGGCAGAAAGAAGGCTCACTATTGTGGTTAGAAAATCTCGCATCCGTCTTCCGCCTTTCCCCTCTCCGTCTCCTTCAGCTCCTTGTTCTCTTCAGCTTCGAACCCGCGGCGCCGAAGGAGGTATGGATTGGCACACGTCAAGAGATACGTTAATAATTGCGCTCAGTGTCTGATATGAAGCCTCTTTGCATGCTTTGCGATTGAGTCCGCGAACGGATGGTAATCAGGCATGGGACAGCCGAAAATGACACCCTACCATGCCTTCCAAATACGGATGCATCGCGAGATGCCGACGAAAAGTGATATCATCTTGCAACTCCAGCCTTTGAACCTCGCTTTGCACTCTCACCACGAAAACATGGAGGCTTTCGACACCTACCAGACGCCGCTTGCCAGGTGGGCCTCCCCCGGGATACATGTCCACGAACTTAGGACTGAGGCAGGGCGAGGGCAGCCGTTATGCAAGTAAGGAGATGGCGCATCTCTTCTCCCCGGCGGTATGCTGCACGCCAGGTTGCTTAGAGCAATAACGATCGACAGATCCAACTATTACTAGAATCGCTTCTACACATGGCGGAAGCTCTGGCTCAACCTCGCCGTTGCGGAAAAGCAGCTCGGCCTACCCATCTCGGACGAGGCCATCGAGCAGATGAAAGCGAACCTGGTGCGTGCCTGTTACAGCGTTCGACCGGACGTGATATGCTCATCGGCGGATGCAGCATCTGGATGAGAAGCAATTTGAAACTGCTGCGGTGGAGGAGAAGAAACGGCGTCACGATGTCATGGCGCATGTGCATACTTTTGGTCAGGTCGCGCCCGCTGCTGCAGGCATAATCCAGTGCGTCTTATACTCTTTCTCTCAATATGAGCTCACCCTCACACTCCCACAGTCTTGGAGCAACCTCGTGTTATGTCACTGAGTGTGTGCTTATCCATTCCATCCGAGAGAATGTGCTGAATGACCTTGAAGCAACGCTGACCTGATCTTCATCCGCGAAGCCCTTACACTTATCATCAATAAGCTGGCCGTCGTCATTGACCGACTATCCAAGTTTGCCAAGGAGTATCGCGACCTTCCCACCCTTGGCTTTACCCACTTCCAACCCGCACAGCTGACTACTGTCGGCAAACGTGCAACCTTGTGGCTCCAGGTGCGTATGCACGTACGGCCACGGGACGAACAACATAACAGAATCCTCTCCAGGAGCTGCTCTGGGACTTGCGTAACCTCAAGCGTGCCCGCGACGACATCGGCTTCCGCGGTGTGAAAGGCACGACAGGCACGCAAGCGAGCTTTCTCGCGCTCTTCGACGGTGATCACGCCAAGGTCGAGGAGCTCGACACGCTCGTAACGGAGCTGTCTGGGTTCGTGTACGCATACCCCGTCACGTCGCAGACGTACTCGCGTAAGGTTGACATCGACGCGCTCGCGCCGCTCGCGAGCTTTGGGGCGACGGCGCACAAGATCGCGACGGACTTGCGGCTGTTGGCGAACCTGAAGGAAGTCGAGGAGCCGTTCGAGAGCACGCAGATCGGGTCGTCGGCCATGGCGTACAAGCGGAACCCGATGCGCTCAGAGCGGGTGTGCTCGCTCGCGCGGCACCTGATGGTCATCCACCAGAACGCGCTGATGACGGCGAGCGTGCAGTGGTTCGAGCGCACCCTTGACGACAGGTCTGCTTTTCCCTACTTGCGTATTCGTACTCAACACTCATGTTTTTGCGTATCTATCAGTGCCAACCGCCGCATCACGCTCCCCGAGGCGTTTTTAACTGCAGATATCGTGCTGACGACCCTACAAAATGTCTCTGAGGGCCTCGTCGTGTACCCAAAAGTCATCGCCCGCCGCATCGCTCAGGAGCTACCGTTCATGGCGACGGAGAACATCATCATGGCGATCGTCAAGAAAGGCGGGGACCGGCAAGAGGCGCACGAGAAGATCCGTGTACGTCCCCGACTCCCCTCTTTCCTGCCAATTCTGACATAAGCTGTGCCCCGCAGGTGCTCTCGCACGAGGCCGCACACCAGGTCAAGCAGCTCGGGCTCGACAACGACCTGATTGAGCGCGTGAAACAGGACGCGTACTTCGACCCAATCAAGGGCGAGCTGGACGCGCTTCTGGACCCGAGCACGTTCATTGGCCGGGCGCCGCAGCAGGTCGACAAGTTCCTTGCGGAGTGGGTCGAGCCGGCACTTGCAGACCCGGCGCTGCAAGTTGTCCTTGCAAAAGATGAAAAGGCGGAGCTCAACGTTTAAGAGGGTAAGAGCCGAAAGTGTACAAAATTGTGTGGCCTTGTTGAATGAATAGATAAATTGAGGGCTTCCTCTTACACAGATATAGAACGAAAATCAATGTATAAATTAGATTTACTACTACTCTCCCTGGCTCACGTGCATGGTCGTGGTTGGCGGGCGATCTTGGTCTGCCAAAGCAAGACGCGATCAGCCTTTCTCTGGACATAATACGCTGGGGCCATGGGTGCGGACGTTCCCATGCGCTGATAGTAGGCGTGTCTCTTGTAGCAGCGCTCACTTCAGCTTCGCATTGGTCGTTCTTTTTTCTTTGTCTCTCCGTGTTCCCTCCTGCCAGCAATTTCTGCGAGTTCTGGGCTTATATAAACTCGTAGTCAGCTAATTTCACCTCCCTGTGTCTATCTCAAACTCGTGTTTCGTGTCGCATTTAGTAGCATGCGTAGGAACATGTATAATGCCATCGCACATGTAGTTTAAGTCGCGTCCTATTAGCAGAGTAGTGGCATATGAGCATATGGAGCGCAGATAAAGTTGAGCAGGCCCAAGAAAGGCGAACACAAGTCCTGTGGTAAGCATAAGGAAAAGGAAACGAGCGACAGCAGCCCTCAGTCAAACGGCGAACCCGTCAGCCCGTCCCCGGCAACCCCAGACCCGATGCTCACAAAGGATGCGTTTGTCGACGTGCTCTGCGACGACGGCATTGAGCCGATGCCTCCGCCTGGCCTCGACGGGATCGGCGGCGCACTACCCGGGAGCGTCGCACGGCGCGGCGGCGGGGGCGGTGGTGGCGGGCGTTTCGCGGAAGAGGGCTGGCGTGACGGTAGCGCAGGTCGCACTGCACGCGGCGCCTTGGACTCATCATCCAGACGTCCGTTTCCGTGAGCGGGGTGCTGATGCGCGCCATCTTCCTCGCGCGGCTCAACGAGGCGGCGCACGCCTGCGCGGTCGTCGTGGTCGTCGTGGTCGTCGTGACCCTCATCCTCGTCGCCGCTGCTCGCGACGCTCTCGGCGTAGAACGTGCCGTTGAGCGGGCTGCGGCTCGACGCGACGAGGTGGTCCCCGAAGGGGTGTGCGCCGTCCTCGGACTCGGCGAGGCTGTCGCCCGTCGGCTGGATGCTCAGCCATTTCGGCGGGTCTCGTTGCTTCTGCTCCGGTGCGGGAGTGAGGTCCTCATGCGACGGCGCAGGCGATGCGCGCGACCCTGGCTGCGAACCGTTTGGGGTAAAAGTAGGGCGCGGGGGTAGTCGGGGCTTGGAGGTGAGTGACGAGGACGAGGCGTTGATAATCTCGGTGTACGTCGTTGGGAACAGGCCCGTCTTGCTGTTGAGCTCGCCCATCCACCAGCCGTCCAGAACCTCACTGAGCACGTTGATTTGATCCCCAGCCTTGAAGCTCAGCTCATCTTGCGACGCGGCCCGGAAGTCGTGCAGCGCGAGTGCGACCTTCTTCGCCGGCAGACGAAGCGTGCGCGAGGGCGGCAGTGGAGATGCATTCGGCGTCGTCTTCGTCTTCGTCGGAGACGAGCGTGAGGATGTGCTTTGACGCCGCGCTTTCTGAGTGCGCGCATCGTCGCTGTCGCTGTCGGTCTCGTTGTCCTGTATAAGCGCGTCGGCGTGCTTCTCCTTCTTCCCCCGGCCCGTGAGCGAGCCCATCTTGCTCGACGCCCAGTCTGCGACACTCATCCGACTGCTCTTCTCGTGCTTGTCCTTCTCCTTGTCCGTCTTGATACCCGCACCGCTTTCCACTCGCTTCCGCTCGTTGCGGGATGGCGGGCGCGAAGGCGGCTTGCTGGATGTACCAGAATCAGGCTTTCGCATACTGAGGGATTTCTTATGAGATGGTTTTGTGGATGCCTCCTCTTCAGCAGAGGAATCGTCCGAGCCTGCCGCCGCCTTGTTCGAGACGGATTTTCGGCGTTCTCGGATAGGGCGTAGCTCACTGATAGGCGGTTGCGGCCGAGAGCGACTTGAGCGCTCCATGGATGCTAATGTCGCGCTAGCTTACCGTCAGTTATTCGTCGATGGCGCGTCGTAAGGATTACCTACTCGTCTACCCAGCCCACTTTGACTTCCCTCAGTACTTCAAGATACTGCTCGACAAAGTGTAACTCCGTGTCCAAGAAGCTTGTTAGATCACGAAGTTGGTCAATCTCGGCCTCTTGAATAGCACACATACGCGCCCGGACGTCTTCTGCACACTCTTCGCTGTACATAATGTCAGCAAAATACCATCACGAAAAGCAGAAACAACACCTACTATCGTGACTTGGAGATATCATAATCGTCTTCAGCCTCCTGCTTCTCTTTCTCCTTCTCTTTCTTGCCATTTCGAACCTTCTCGAGCTTCGAACCTGCAGCGTCGAAAGCCAGTCTATAGCACGTTAGATTGGCATGCTACGAAAGGCCCACAAATGTCAAAGCTTACCGTCTGCTGTCAAGCTTCTTGCGCTGTGCTTGGTACTCTTTGATATCGTCTTCCGCACGTTGAAGGGATGCGAGATAAGTGTCTTGGAATAGGACGGAGTACGACTCTTGCAACGTTGCTATCTGACAATGGGCTCTACCCAGACTGACAAGGGATGTTCCTGTGTGTATTTCAGTTGTTGTGGTTTCGGCGAATGCCCAAAGAAAGACTCACCGAATGCAGAATCATCCCCAAACTCTTCTCCATGCTGTATCATTACAACCCCAAGCGCATCAATGGACATAAGCTTCTCGTCATGGTCTACCGCTTCGGAGACTCTCTTCTTCGATAACGCGCGACGGTAATCTTGAGAGGCAACGTGCAACCTTAGGAGAACTCAGTTAGCGGCGAACGAGCGCCGTGCATGCTGATGACGAGATTTACCTGGACAGTCCCCGCCTGCGGAGTTCCACGTCGTGTTCCAGCTCTCTAAACTCTTCCGACAACACGGTCTTGTCCCGCACGGATATAACTTCGCCTGCCCACTACAGTCGCGCCGGGAAGTCTGAGCAAGTTGGGCGTCATGGAGGTTTCGTGAAGACTGACCTGACGCAGTTTCCCGAGCTTGTCGGCCCCGAAAGCGATTGTAAATCACGGCGGTCCCACACTCGAGGAAACAGCTCACCTGCTTACTCGCCATACCGGACCTCTGTGCTGTATGTGGGTATCTCAGGCGTGTAGATGGTGGTTAAGACGAGAGACGTTGGTATGGTTCAGATCAGTGTTTCTCCGCACCCCAAGTGGCTCGATGTTTTGACCTAGATCTCCAATCTCAGATGTATCGGGAAGCTCTCGCCTGCCTTTTTCGGACCGTCTGTCACGTAGTTACTTGAGCACTAGACAGCTAGTACATGGCCATAGGCCTCTACTTCGGTTGTAGTGGCAGTTGTGTTGATTTAAAAACATTTTCTACGTTCATGTTTCCCAGGCTGTACTAACAACTTTTGACATAGATAAGGGAACACAAGTTAACCGTCGCGACCATGCTTGGCGATGGTTACTACCCTAATTTGCAATGTTTGTATGGTGTTCCAAGTATTTTGCGACGGTTGGTGATTCCTTTGTCTCTATAGGCATGTCCAGTCGTTCCGTGGGGGCAACGTGCGTCTTGACTCTTGATTGCATCCCTTTTGGGTGAAAGATGCGACGCAATAAAATGGCGTGGGGACGAGCCTATTGCCTCTAGGCCCTCTCGTCTTGCAGCCCCATGATAAAGGAAAACAGATGAGCTGGAGTTTGCTGGAAAAGCACAAGGCCCAGGCGGGCTGGACATCGAAGGGGACATACCGATGGATTCGAGTTTGTGGCAAAAATCATACCCCAACCCGGACAACGCTGAAAGACAATTCACGCAATGGTATGCAAAGTACGCGGTGTCAAGATACCACGTACTCTTCAACCAAGACAAGAGCCTCCTTGCGGATGAGGAAGAGGTATTAGCGCGAGAGTTTGGCTACAGGGGCAAATACAGACCTGTAGGGGAAACTTTGGAGGCGTTATCCGACGCTGAAGATCCGTCCGCAGATGTGGATGACTGGGGCAATCAATTGGACGAAGAACACAGATAAATGTGCGAAGCGTCATAGGGCGGTAGGAGTATAACCGTCCGAACACCGGTGGCCATACTTCACGGGGGCCACCATGATAAATGTTGTGTTAGGTTGAGTATAGGGCGAGGGTGAGGGGATCCGATAGAGGTAGGTCCACAGTTCGGTGCGGTAGAGTCCATCGACTGGCTCGGTGCTCGTGCGGAGGCCAGGGCCGTCTGGCGCGGTTCTGCGATTCCTTTGTGCCCCCGGATTTTAGATCATACCAGGTGAACCGGCACGGACCCTGTTTAGACTACAGCACAGGCCCTCAGGCCTCAGGCCTCAGGTCTCATGTAGCAGTAGTTCTACGGGCCTAGCAAAAAAAAAAAAAGACTGGGCATCGAAAGATAATATAAGCGCCTATTTCGGGTGGACTTATCAGATAACGCCGGATCAGCCTAGTCAAGGATGTCCGGCTCTGCCCACGACCACGATCACCTCGACGAACGAGAGCTCACCATCCTCTATGCAACGGAAACTGGAAACGCACAAGATGTTGCAGAACGTATTGCTAGACTGTGTCGACGTTTGCACTTTGCCGTGCGGCTGTACAGCGTAGACGAGTACCAAGTCGCGTGCTCTTCCGTTTCATACCATTAAAAATGTCTGACAAAATTCTTCTCAGGACGACATCTTTTCGATGCATCTCATTATCTTTATCGTCTCAACGACAGGCTCAGGCCGTGAGCCGCGCTCGATGACCCGCTTCTGGATGTCACTTCTTCGTGCTGACCTCCCGCACGACCTCTTCGACCACCTGGAGTTCGCAATCTTTGGTCTCGGCGACACTGCCTACGAGAAGTTTTGCTGGCCTGCTAAAATGCTTGAGCGGCGGCTTTTGACCCTTGGTGCGACCAAGGTCGTTGATAGAGGAGAGGCAGACGACCAACACCAGCTCGGGTGAGCTCTTCTCTGTGAAGCCGCTTATCTGCGCTGACGCCCTGTGTGAGCAAGATTGGACGGTGCATTAGACCCGTGGATTGAGTCCCTGTCGGATGCGCTCCTCAATTTGTTCCCACTGCCTCCCGGCCTTGAGGTCAAGCCGGGTGGTATTCCGGAGCCTCGTGTGAGCATCATTGAAGGCCAGCCGGCCGCTCTGCCGCCGGATACCGGCTTGTTCAAGGGCTACTACACGGCCACCGTCTCCAGAAACACGCGCATAACCGCTTCGGAATGGTATCAAGACGTCCGACATTTCGACCTTGACTTCGACGAAGATTTAGAGTATGTCTTTTGAGCTGCCATGCGCACTTCCCACTCATCACCTGCAGGTACTCACCAGGAGATATCGCAGTTGTAGAACCCGAAGCATTTGCACCAGATGTTGATGCCTTCCTACAATGTGTTGGCTGGCTTGACGAAGCCGACAATCCCTTCTCTGTGAAGCACGTTCTGCCAGACCAGTCGTTGCCCACTCGCCTCCCGCGAACTCTAACCTTGAGAACCCTCTTTACGCGCCATCTGGACATCAATTTTGTCCCACGACGGTCGTTCTTCGCTCTTCTACGGCATTTTACACCGGATGAACTCGAGCGGGAGAAGCTCGACGAGTTCTTGTCGCCTGAAGGCGCCGTAAGTTTTATTCACGAGTCTGATAAGCTCTTGGCAGTGCTAATCTTGGTGCAGGATGACTTGTACGACTATTGCCAAAGCGTGCGGCGCACGGTACGAGAAGTCTTCGAAGAATTCAGAAGCGCCAAGGTACCGAAAGAGTACCTCTTCGACCTCTTTCCGCCGCTGCGGCCTCGCGAGTTCTCGATAGCGAGCTCAGCACTGGTAACTTGTTTACCCTACCTGCTTTTCTATCGGAGCGCTCAACCTTTTTAAGCGGAGCCCGCGGCGCATACAACTATGTGTAGCCATCGTGAAGTACAAGACAAAGCTGAAGATACCAAGACGAGGCGTGGCCACTACGTATCTTGCAGCGTTGCAGCCAGGTACGCTTTGCCTCAACTAATGCTCCTTATCTTACTAAGCTAGCGCTGAAGGAGACAAACTTCAAATTCGCCTCAAGAAGGGTATCGTACTGCTGCCTCCTGACAAGGCCACGCCTGTAATATGCATCGGACCCGGTACTGGCATAGCACCCGTACGCGCGCTCATTGAGGAGCGTGTCGCACGGGGTGCAAAAGGTGCGTTGCCGGTTATAGTCCTGTGACACTAAGTATTAATGGCCTGCACTTGCAGCGAACACGCTTTACCAGGGCTGCCGTTCCGCGACGAAGGACCAGCATTACCGCGAGGAGTTTACCGCGCTCGCCGCTGACGAAGACAAGCAGCTCGACTACCGCGTCGCATGCTCGCGCGACGGCCCGCCTGGCGTAAAGCGCACATACGTGCAGGACCTCATCGCCGCGGACGCGGAGCGCATATGGGAGCTCATGGGCGTACGAGGCGCGTGGGTCTACATTTCTGGGTGAGCCCGCGCCTTCTACTTCGGATGGCGGGCCAACTCACTATACTTCTCCCAGGTCTTCGAACAAGATGCCAGCGGGGGTCAAAGCTGCGGTACAGGGTGCGCTCGAAGGATTTGGGCAGAAGACGGAGGCTGAGGCAAAGGAGTTTATTGCGAATATGGAGAGAGCAGGGAAGCTGATCGAAGATTGCTGGGATTGAGTTCTAGATGTTACACCTGACCGTCTGCGCGCAGAAGGAAGTACACATGCTTGTCCTTGGTCTACCTTACTCCGAAAAGGAATGTGCTCAAGAGGCACGTTTACAGTGATACGCTCGTCGGATAGTTTCTACGTAGAGCTTCAAGGACTCGGGATCCGGGACGTCCGCCGTTCGCAAGCCTCATTACCTGGGACACGCCGAAAACGCCATGCGAAATGCTACCTCTCCGTCTTTTCCGTGTATTTTCTATCGTTCATTGTGGCTCGGGAATCAGGGCCCAGAATGTGCCGCATGTACGCAACGAGGACGACCACCGCCGGGGGCTAACGCCAAGCAGCAGGCGCAGGCTGTGCTCCACCCTCGTTCAGACGACCGAGAGTTCACAGGTTTGCATATTTTCTGCAGAGCGCTGATCCGATAGAACCCCACTAGGGGACGAGAGCCTGCGCCGGAAACCGTCGATTTGATCGACAGCCGCAACCACGCGCCGGGACGCATGTCTGCAACATGTAGTGTCTCGCCGGCATATAAACACCGGGTGCACATCGAGGGTAACGCAGCATACCACCGTACCCCCAACACACCTTTACTCACTCTTTCTTACAAAGACTATCTGTTCATCACCAGCTTGAACGATGTCCGCCATCGTCGAAGCATTCAAGATCAAGCCCTTCGACCTCGAGCCAATATACGACTCATGGCCGTCTGCGCCAATATTCCACGGGAATCCGTCCAAGGACATGCCAGTTGATGACTGGCTTCAGCAGATCAAGGACGGCTGCCTCGCGCGCCGCGTGCCGAAGGAGTACTGGCACAAGGTCGCGCAGCACTACCTGGGGCCGACCGCGCGTTCACGCTTCGATGAGCTCAAGGCCGTCATGCGTACCCTCCACGGCGGCCGGTACACCTGGAACTGGAAACGCTTCAAGGTGGCAATGCGCAACATGGGATGTACGTCATGATCTGCGTCATGTAGCTGTGAGCTCTTGGCTGACGTGTGGGCCACATATAGGGGAGATCGACGCTCGGAAGACGGAGGAGATCAAGGTCGAGAGTAAACCTTCCGGCATATGGTGGATCGTCGGCGGGCGCCGCGAGCGTGAGGAGAAGGACAGCGACACCGCCAGCATTGCAAGCACGAGCAGCAGCGTCAACAAGGATCTGCCGCCACCACCTTCGTATGCGTCGTCCGAGACCTTGTCGCCACGGCCTACACCGAAGAAGACCATGTCGTGGGACTTCCAGTCTCTCAAGAACTTCCCCGGAATGCCGAAGCGGTCGTCGACGATGAGCACTGTCGATACCGTCGCGAGTGTATACTCGCAGCAGTCAGCGTCTTCGGCGTGCGCGCGCCACCCGGCCCCCGCCTCTGAGAAGGAGAAGAGCACGCCGAATAACAGTCGGAGAGCAACTGCGGCTTCGATTCCGGTGGCTGCACCTGTGCCTGCGCCTACGCCTACGCCTGCGGGCGTGCCGAGCGATGGTAAGTCCATCTTTGCCCAGACACAGTGAGCGCCCCTGACCTTCACTACCTTACAGACAAGACTACCGTCGCCCACGCCCCAACCTGGTTGTTGAACGCCTCGCAGGCGCTCTCCTTCTTGGCGACCGAGCACCCGAAGACAATGACCGCGATCTCTGCGGTACTCGTCACCATCGGCACTATCCCCGCGCTCCCCGCCATCTCTGCTGGCGCGGGTGGTGCGTTCCTTGCAAGCGGAACCGCGCAGGCGATCGGCTCCATCGCGGTTGGCGTCGGGAGCCTCATCAAGGCCGTCAGCGACTCAAAGTCCGGACAGAAAGACGAACCTCCGAAGGCATAAGGACAAACAGCATGAATGTGTGAGAGGACATAATCTATTCATAAGTATTTGCAAGGCGCCGTGCTGGACATCTTGTTACATAGGTTAGAGCTACCGACCAGAGAGCAGCGTTTGTAACATCACCTGTAACAGTAACATATAGAACGCTGGATTTTTTGGGTGCCATTATGTCGTCGGTGAACAAGCGACTCGTCCGCACGGCATGTCGGGCGTGCGCGTGAGGTGTTAAGCATGCAAATCGCGAGTTGTCCTCGTGGTGTGGCCGTGCATTTCAAATCAGTGTAGACAGCTCTTGAAGGCCCTCTGGGACAAGATGGACGGTACAACCTGCCTAAGATCTCGCCTAAATTCAAGTTCACACATCCCCCTTTGTTCTGTTTTCTTTCTTGGCGCCCCTCCGCCTCGTTTCCACCTGAGCTTATGTAAGCTTATATTCAAGCGGCTTTCATCATGTTCTTACCTCAAAGAAGCAAGTCACGGTTTTACCGTCTCACGAATATTCAGACTAAATATTATTATTCTCGGCAGACGGCTACCACTTTTGGGACTCATGATTTATTTGTTCTAATGTTTTGTGCCAGCCATCTTGGAGAGTGAGATGGTCGTCTGCTTGGACCCGAGATGGAAGATGATCACACAAATAGAAGGCACTTCTCACAGTACGGGCCTCAGTACCTCATCGCAGGAACTGGACGATCTCTCACTCGGAAAGACGGCATGGGTAGGAGTCTGGTGGTAAGTGCATTATTTTTTATTTTTATTTTTATTTTGCTTGCTAAACAAGAGCCTATGTTTAACCAGGTTCCATCCGAGAAAATTCGGACATAAAACTTCCTTTTTGCTATATTTTAGCCCCTTTTGCCCGATTTTGCACCAACTTGTACACCGATTTGGTTTTTTTCAATTTTGGCTGGGTTTCCTAGATAAAAACTGCGCTTACCGCGTGAGGCTTAAGCTTAAGTGGTCAGCTCTGTCTGTCGGTGTGCGCTCAACGTTCGACGGCGCTGTCAAAGCCGGCGGGTATCCTTAAAGTGCGATACTCACGATGAGAGATCACTCGCATCAGCAGATGGTATATGATAAGAGGTGTCGGGCCTGCACTGTGCGGTGAGCAGTGGCAGCCAATGTTGAAAATGCCTCCGAGCCTGGCGCAGTTGGTATAACTTGACACGATGTGAATTATTGGAAGCACTTCAATGCCATGCTACATCCCTAAGTGTACCACCAAACGTGACGAGCCACAGATTCAGAGTCAACGTAGAGGAGCATGCACACAACCAAATGTATTACACCCCACTGTCTCAAGATTCAGCGCGTCTGAGGCAGGCAAGAAGACATGTCGAGGATGGCGACCCGACCGCTCTCTGTGCCAAAAGCTACCATATCACCATGTACCGCGATGCTTCCCCGATAAGTCATTATGTGCGAACGTATAAGTCGGTAGGAGGATGGTACCCAACATAGCCTTCGTTTCTCAGTAGCAGACGCGTACCAAAGCCAGCTGTCGGCGAGGAAGAATGCATACTCTGTGCGGTCGTGACGGTCGTCCTGCGAGGCTGAGCGCGACTGATGCTGAATTGAGATGGCGCCAAAGCCAGCATCGGTTACGAAGAATTTTTCGGTAGGCGAAAATGTGATGCTCTCTGCAACGTCCTCGCTATAATAATAACGCAAGAAGTTTGCTTGGGGTGCGATTTCGGTGAGCGTCGAGCCTGCCTGAACGTCCCAGAGTGTGATGCTTGGCGCTTTACTGGAGGCGACCAGGAGACGGCTGCCGTCCTTGGAGAACGAGAGGGCCGTGGGGGCGCCGTACGCATTGTCGTAAGGCACCAACTTGGAGTGGGTTGGCTGTGGCGTAGTCAGTCTGACTAGCCCAAGTATATGGTCATGCGCATCTCCGGAACCGCCAAACGCAATCAGGCTGTCATCGGCAGAGACAGCAACGGAGAGGATAAGGCTTCGCTGCTGGTAAACGATGCGTGATTCTAGGCTGCGTGCGCTCGACTGGCCAATTTCCCAAGTGCGAACGCTACCATCAAATGAGCACGAGACAACATGCTCTCCGCCTGGAAAGAATTTCGCCATCCGTATGATGCTATGATGCCCGGTGAGTGTATGCTCGCAACGACCACTCTTCACGTCCCACACGCGAGGAGTGGCAGGTCCATCGAAGTCGGCCATAGCCTCCGAAGAGAGCAGCTTCTCTCCGTCGGGAGAGAATGTCAGGTACGAGACAACGCCTTGATGACCTTCGAGTATTCGCAGCAGAGCGCCGTTGGTGGTGTCCCATAGGCGGATCGTACTGTCTCGAGAGCCGGTGGCGAGAATGCGCCCGCTAGGTGAAAACGTTGCCGAACGTACAACGGAGGAATGATGAGGGTCAACAGCAGCACTCTTGTACTTGCTCGGTCCGCCGTCCTCTGTTAAATTCTCCATCTCGCCTGTTGGCTTCTGTTCTCCCTCGGTCAAGAGATAAGATAGGTCCCAGATGCGGACGCTGTGCTCCTTGCCACAGCTGGCCATCCGCTGGCCATCAGGAGAGTATCTGACGCTGTACACCGGGTCGGAATGCCCTCTCAATGTGTGAAGGACGGATCGTCTTGCCACATCCCACAGGGTGATGGTGTGATCGTGCGAGCCGGAAGCCAGTGTGGAGCCATCTGGAGAGAAGTCGAGAGACCACACCCTGGATGTGTGGCCTTGGAGAGTATGTGACCAAGCATCGTCGATAGTAGAACGCAACAGAATGGTCGTAGTCTCGTTTCCGAGTCCCGCGGCATAGATGGTGTCGTCGGGTGAAATGGCGACGGATATTATGGGAATGCGTTCGGGATGGTTGAACTGTGTGCGGCAGGTCCAAGCACCCGATTTCCAGACTTTGCATGCACCGTCCACGCTGCCAGAAACTAGCAGCTTTCCGGAGCGAGAAAATCTAACACCGGTAATTGCGGAAACATGTGCCGGGGATAGGGTTCTAAACGAGCCGATTTCATTGCCGAGGTTCCAAAGCTGAACTGAGTGGTCGTTTGAACCTGAGGCGAGAACTCCACTATCCGGGGATATGTCTATAGTCCTGACCCAATTGTCGTGACCCTTCAGCGTGTGGAGATGTCCGCCGGTAACAGCGTCCCAGATGATGACGGTCCGATCCGTAGAACCTGAAGCGATGTACTTGCCGTTGGGCGAAAATGCCACGCATACAACCGCTTCCAAGTGTCCCGCCAACGTGTGCAGGTGAGAGCCTGTAACAGCGTTCCATAGCCTAACCGTCCCGTCTTGGGATGCGGAGACGACGCGCCGGCCATCAGGTGAAAAACAAACACCTAATACCCGTTGCGGATGGCCTTCCATGCTGAGGATGCAGGCATGCCAACGATGTTGCAGTCCGCTGATCACCCTCGGTACATTGATTGCTTGCCCAGCGTAGCACTTGCTGAGTTTACTGGAAGCGGGACAGAAAGGGATGAGTCCGAAATATGCTTGGAGACAAGACATACTGAGGCCGAGGAATGACTGCTGTACGGCTCGTTGGCAATCGTATAATAGTGTAATGGTGTCAGAATGTGGGTCAGGTAACTCCTAGATGTGGCAACATAGTCAGTAATGATACCACTAAAAGCGAGGAAGCTTAATACCAGCAATCTCTCACGGAGTTTTTGCATTGCCGAGACGGCTTCGCCTAGTTCTCCAAGTAGGCTCAGAACTTCCAGCCAGTTCAGCAAGTAGTTCTCGCTGAACTCGACGACCAGGGAAGAGAGCTCGTTGTCGATTTCCCCACTAGAGACATGGTGTGCCCAGTGAAGACTGGCATACTGTAGGGATGGGGAAATGTGTGTCGCTATGAGGTCCGGAAGCCGGGGCACCTCCGAGTTCGGCACGCTCTGTCCGATATTGCAGATGTCCATCTGCAGCCCGCCAATCATGGTCTCGAGGCAGCGCCGGGCAATAAGTCCATGCTGATTTGCTGGATCGACCAATAAATCGGGGTCACGACATCGATTCGCGTTGGTGAGGAAGTCCTGGAACGAAGGGTGGATGAGGCTGATCATGGCATCATCTTCGTCCGGAACCATAACAACTGAGTAGAGATACGTGAGCGTGGTTCGAACCGTTCCAGGTTCGAGGAACATAAGCGTGTCGATGGCATTCGGCGAAAGGCGGTCACGGATAAGGACGAGGGTGCCCAGCACACTCTTCAATCTCAATTTGAGCTCTCGAGTGACATTCGGATGTGCGCTCTTCAAAACTTGGAGATACAGCTCGTCCAACTGATCGAAAGCTGTTCGCTCGTTCGCCGTCGCCCCTTGACCCTCAAGCAGTGATCGGAGACGACCCTTCGGGTCACAGGCATTGACATCCTCGATGTAGCGTACAGCGGTAGCAGCATATATGAACAACCTGTGCGTACGCGCAACTAGCTGTGACATCTGGTCCGCCGACGGCCATGACCTGCCCAGGTTATATCTCTGCCGAACACTAGCCATCTTCTCCTGCAGGAAGATGCCGATGTCACGCTCTGTGGTGGCCGGCGGTACTTCGTGGAGGATGATGTGCTGCGTCGCGTTCAGCAGGCCGGTCGATTGGAAGCCGTAAGTGATGTTTGGAATGGGACGGCTCGTGAGAAAAATCTTCAGGGGGGCCAGATCAGAGACGTGCTGGGAGAGAGCACGGACAATTAGAGACGTCGTCTCATCGTCCTTGCATTCGTCTAACGCATCGATGACGACTGCGCAAGGTGGAAAGTTTGGCAGTTCTTGCAGGGGGTCAACGATTAGACGTTTGAGCTGGCGGGAAACAAGGGACGTCTGGATGTCGGGGTCCTGCCTCAAGACCTCCGCGGTCTTCTCCCGGAACCTGCGGTCCCACTGACCAAGCTGGTAGGCAATTGTGGGGAATATCATCTGGACATCACTGCATTCTCGGCTGTCCCTAGAACAGAAGAAGCTCGCGCCGAGGTACCCGCGCTCCGAGCACCATTGGGCCACGCTCTGCGAGATGGTTGACTTGCCGGTGCCGGCCACGCCACTAAGCCAGAACGCCAGTGCATCTAGCCTCGGCAGCTGCAGAACGATCTCGGGTATTCGTAGTTCAGCCTGATGCGGAAGGAGCCACTGGTAGATGGTATTCAAAGTCTCTGATCGCGTTCCATCTTCGCAAGTGACGCGTTGGCTAGGGTAGTCGAAACGGGCGGCAACGGCATAGAGCGGGGTAGGGCCTACCATCGATCGGGAATTTAGAGCTGAACTGTACGATTGACATGAAGTAGGAGGTCCCACCATTGAAAGCTTGGCTCTCGTCGAGCCGCATGTCGACCTTGTCGAAGCGCTTTAACAGTTCCTATGGTGTGCTCCCTGAGCCATGCACGTGTGCGGAAGTAACGTACGGTCACTCACGTTGACACCAACTTCAACATTCATCATCCCCCCAATCTACATGCGGTAGTGGTGAATGACACGACGCCCCTGTTGTCACAAGCTACACTTACCAGAAACACCTCAATCGCTCGAGATATTTTTGTGATATGTTCGTCTATAGTCCCAGCGTGTGAATCCGATCTGAAGAAGCGCGAGAGCCTGGTTCGAGACGCCAGCTTGCGGATCTCTTTCGTCGTCTCCTTCAGCTGCCTACGCAGAAGTGAGTAAGCTGGACGGAGAGATTAAATCAGGCGATGATCTTGCCTCTCAAGGGTGTCAATACGCCGCCGCAAATCCTCCGGACAGGCTCTCTCATTCTTGAATACAGGATTTTGAAGAGTGGTGGAGAGCTGATTGGCATACTGCTCGAGAAGCTTGATCTGTTCAATATTTGCCCCCATTTTCTGAAGCGAAACGGATGAGAGGGAAATACGTGGAGCCTCGAACGGTTCGCTTACCTTCACGACATCTATGATGCCAGTCACTCCCCCAACGGCGGACTGAAGCGGCGGAAACGCCGCGGTCGCGTCCTTGGCAATAGTAAGTGCAACCACCACATCGTCGAGGAGTGTCTGGAGGTTCTCGTTGGAACCCTCCGATCTTGTATCGTGGGTGCTCAGGTTCATCTTGTGTCTGCTACGGGGTGTCGCCGCCGTCGTCTGAGGTTGAGTACGTGGAAGAGTTGATCAATTGGAGATGAACTGAACCCTGACATGCTCGCCGGCAATCTCCAAGCGCGATATCAGCACGACATTGAATTGATTTCCACCTTTTGCCTACCATGAGAACCAGTGCTGAATGCGGAGAATCATGGAGGGATTACGAAACCATATGCCATAAGTCAATTGCATAGAGCCAGAGACATCGTCAGCTGAGCAGAGCACGGCGGGCAGCATATATACATCTCGCAGCTGCAATAACAATTAACGAGCAGATATCGAGACGACATTCGAATAGTTCAGAGAGGGAAATCGATATCGTCTGTTTGATTTGATACGCGCATCAGGAGCATGCCTATACGAGGGCAAAACTGCTGCCTTGGGCCCGTCTGCAAGCATCGTGTTCAGGGCATCGCCGTGGCAGGGGGGGAACCAGGTGGTAGCCGTGCTGCTTGTGGCGGATCTGGAGCTAAATGTGCTCGAAGACGAGGAAACCGAGGGTGACGCGAGCGTAACAACGATGACAAGCTGCTGTCGAGAGAATATTCCAGCAGGGACGGAGGGGCTCTATATTGGTGCGAAGGGACTGGAACATAGCGACACAGTGACCTGGCAAGCTCTGTGTAAGAGTTAGCGTCGCATTTCGCGCGACCCGTTTGGGTGCACTTACCTGTTACTCAGAAAGCTCGTCTGGGTGCCGCCGTCATGCGCTCGAACGCTGCTTGACAGACACGGCCGAGCTTCTGCGCATATTCCGCACCGCTCTCTTCATCTCGCTGCGCTTTCCGGACGTCGGCATCAGCGTCGGTAGTTTGCTTCCGATTGTCACAAGCAGGGCACTGTTCATGCGGAGACGACTTCGCACACAGCACCATGCCAGTCCAACGCATCGCCAAGTCGATATTGAGCACCATTATAGACACCTGGCAGACGCAAAAGAGCGTGACATCCCGTCAGGTATTGAACTAGTGGCCATTTTCGATGCTGATCAACGTCGCACGTGGAGTACCCAAGAGAAAAGAGGTGTATGTCGGAGGTGTAGCGAAGGCATGCACAGTACGTCGACATCCTGCACCGCAGCTACGAAGAGCGCGATCTCAGACGCAACTGCGACAGATCTTGACGCTGTTCAAAGATCTGCTTGAAGACTCCGCACCGATTGCTGGCTACGAAGGTTGCAATTGCGATGTCTCAGACGTCCACAGGGCCAACGGGAGGTGAAGTCTTGGTAGGCGTGTAAACCATTCTGTGCATCAGTCTATAGGCATGCCGTAGTCAATACGCACAACAGCAGATGGGCACGGCACACATACCCAATCGTAGTAGGAGGTCTGGCTCTTGCTCTCAGGGTGCCCACTGTATGCCGAAGCGTTGATAGTTTGGACCAGCCTCCCATCTCAAGCGAGCCCGGGGAGACTGCTCACACCGGCGTGGCAGTGGCCATAGGGAGCATCGTGGCTACGCGTACGTGGTGGCTACGAGGACGACGATGGGGGGGACAGGAATAGCATCTTTTTTCATCCGCACGTACTGGCGGACGTGGTGGAATAGTTGAAGGGACAGTGGGCGAAGGCAGTCGATACGAAGGAGAACAGACATTCGAAGAAAGCAAAGCCTGCCGGCATCATGGCACAGAAGTGATTGCGGATCTGATGGCGCTGATCGCTCATTACATAATTTGCGCCCAGGGGCCAGCCCTCGCTCTCAACGCCCCTCGCATCGGAACTCGCCGCTTCTTCGCTACTCAGGCGGCGTCCAACGCACGCACACCGCTTGCTGTGCGCCGAAATGATGCTTTGACTCGTTGTGTATGATATAGCTGTTCGAAGCAACCGTCAGCATTAATCTTGACCTATGTGGTGGGTGTAACAGCTGTCACAGGCCAGCCCAAGGGCCAGCCACATGATAGGTATAATAGACACATTGAATAGTACACTATGGTACCACAAGCCATCGTACACGCAACAAGCAGAACTGCCTAGCATATGCGAAACTCAAATTCGAAAGCAACCTAGACATAGCATAAAATAAAACTTGCATGCATTTCGAGGACCATGAGTTAACATCGAAACTTAGAAGCACATAGCACAGTTGCACGGCGGACAGCTCGGAGACGTAGAGGGTATCACATGGGTATAATCCATGTGCGCTACACTTGCGGAAACAGCTCACTGCACAATCACTAGGTCAACACGGCCCGGGTGAGTTTAGGTTACTGCCCATTCTCGCTAGCGAGTGCGAGGAGCGCCATGTTCACTAAATTCGCGTACAGCGCCGCGAGGTTCGATATCGGGATCGGAGCAGCAGTGGGGGGCGTGCTCGCGCTGGAAGTTCTCGAAGACGAGGTAGCCGAGGAGGACGATGCAGAGGCGGACGAGGATGCAGACGACCAGACGCTTGACAAAGACGCGCTACTCCAGGTCGACGAGCTTGTGAATGCCGCGCTAGACGATGAAGGCGGGAGTGGAGGCGGTGTGGATGTCGCGTCCGGCGTCTTCGATGTCGTAGGGGGCGGAGGCGGTATGGACGAGGTCGTCGGGGCGGGATCGCCGTCGCCGACGTTCCAGCCACCGGCCCATGTGATGTCGTTATAGAAGCCGAAAAAAGTCGCTATTGCAGGCGTACAGTCGATGCCACCCTCTGGGCAGCTGGGGCACTACAACAGAAGAAATATGAGTATGCAGAATGCGTACGGGGATGGATGGCCGCAAAGTTGGAAATAGAGAAAAGAGTACCTCGTCGACAATAGTCGCCTGCGCAGTCTTTCCGTCGAGAGAAATAGTGATCTCCTGACCACACATGTGTCCGGGGATCGACTCGAATTGCTACACAGAGTTACTTGTGAGCATTTGCGTAAACAAAGCGTCGTCAGAGAGGCTCACCGGAGCGTTCAGCGCAACAACCTATGGACGCGCCGCTGTGAATATTGCATGCTTAATACTAGATAGATGCAGGACACACACCCAGTCGGTGTCTTGGTAGAGGCCTCCGCAGGCGACTTGGTTCCCGGTCTGAGGAGAGTACCTGCTAAAACGCACGTTCTGGAAAGTCTGGCCGCGCTTGAGTAGCGTCCCGTTTTGTGAGGGGTCGCGCTCGGTGTGAAGGCTGCTTATGTCGGCATGGCGGCGGCCAGGAGCACCGTGAATCTCCGCAACGACAACCGCAGCAAGAGTGAGGGTAGATAGAACTAGTTTGATGAACAACATTTTTGTTTGTTGTTACTGGTGGCAAGACAAAATACAGTGAGATACTAGCAAGTAACGACAGTAGATACGAGGAGAGAAAGTAACGATGAGGTCAGAGCGCACAACAAAAGCACAAAGGCAGGAGATTGTGTTGAGGCAGAAGAAAGAAGACGCTGCATTGGACAAACCGCGAATGACCGACGCCAAGCACGCGGCAAGTGCCTGAGCCCGATGCATGATGGTGAACCGAAGTCTGATGGTGGTTGATCATATGATCGGCGAACGCTGGGGAAAAGGTCTAGACAACCATCTCCTGGATTCGTGTTCTCTTTCGGCAGATGTGGTGCCAGCTGCATAGGCAGCCCAAAAGTCTACGTGGTAAGAGACCGGGATAGCATCAGGAGTATCTGCTGCAAAGGTGTCAATGGGTCGTTCTCAGGTCAAAAGTGAAACGTGTATAAGCGTGACACAAAACATGTAGTGCCAGGAATATCAATCTAGAACCAACGTAGATGACCATGTAGTGCAATGATGCACGCAGCCCAGCGGCATGCACAGTATCCGACTACTCCTCAGCGAGTCTGAGGCAAGCGAGGAGTCATATCTATAATGACAGTCAGACCAAGCCCCGTACTGAGGGCGACCATATTATGGTACACCACAACATTCCCTCGATAACAGAGCCCGCGCGAACGCATAGGACGGTATCCAGCGTAGTCTGTGCCTCCTGGTAGCGGAAGCGTACGGGCCGGAGCCAGGTATCAGCCAAGAACGATGTGTTCTGCGTGATTAGAACTGTCGTTCTGCGAAGACGAGTGGGGCTGATGCACAGGTAAGATAGTGTCGTCCGTGACAAGGAACCATTCGGCGACAGACGAGGATGCGATGTCCTTCACACGACTTCCTCTGGTATCACTACGCAGGGAAGTTGCTCCCGGGGAAACACCAACGAATGTCGAGCTTGCTCAACTGCTTTTGTGGACGCCCCAGAAGCGTGGTGTTGGTCTCTCCATGTTCCCATTAAATAGAGACTTACCACGATATCTTGCTTCTATGGATTCTTTTTGCGATCTAGAGCTGAGAAGCTGGAAAATGCCTGGCTACAAGGTGAACTTGTGCACTGTGCTCGTCGTCCTCTTCAGCCGTCTACACAGTAGTTAGCAACAGGGTGAGGGAGAGTCGCCAGTGCTTACTTTTCCGGGGCATTTATTCGTCGCAGTCGATCCTTTGAACAAGCTGCTTCGTCCTCAAAGGCAGAGTATCGAGCATCGCGTAGAGTGGGTTTGACTGCAGCGGCGGGAAGGCAGCAACTGCGTCATTGGCGATGCCCGGATCCAGAGTAGCGACAACGCTATTCGTAAGGGTGCCTTTCGCTGCATATGTTGAGTCCCTCGTTGGAGCTCCGAAGTTATGCGTCGCAGACTACGCGCTTCACTCCGTGTCAGCCCGTGCGTATGTACGCTGTTATGCAGCTCGCGCTTCTTCTATGGAGAAACGCGCATGAGTCGGGGCAGGCCACGAGTGTGGAGCGACGGCGGGAATCGTGTTCACAGAAATTGGAACTTATTTGCCTTCATTGATGAGCTGGGCTCGTGTAAAGATCCAACGATAGTTCCACATATTCAAGGCAAGAGAGTCGCGTCTTGCCGTCAGTAGTAGGTTGCTCGATCCCTGTGATATATGTAAGGTGAGTCTGCGGCGTGCGGGATACATAACGTTGAGTACTGATGGGCACTACTAACTTGAACATTTCAGCATCTGCTGCTCTGCTGCATCGCTGACGACAGTTGTATCCATGACGTGGACAATGCGTGGCGGGCTCGCTCAAATATCATTTACGTTTTGATCCCAGCTCGAAGCGCCTGCAAATATTATTTCTGTCCGCCGCGTCTCATCGCGAGAGACGAACAGATCGCCAAAAATCACCAACAACCCACCCACGAAGGCTAACTACTGTCACATATGGATTCGATCTATCGGGGTAGGAGAGACATTAAGAGCGTACAGCCAGGATCGAAAGGGGCATAAAACGCGAAGTACTCATAAGAGCATGAGCCCACAAGCACGCGAAGTCTACATCATACGCTGTCCAATAACACATCATTATCGCGAATGCCGTGTCCTGCTCAGACGTCCTCTCCACGGCTACGCGCTTCCGCCAGACTAAGCTCTAGTACAAACCGCAGTTCCTCGTCCTCCTCCTTGGGCACCATCACGGCCGCAACCTTCTCCGAGAGAAGCGACACATTCGGTGCGTGGGGCACGCTAAGTAAACTCGCGACAGAGCTGCCACCATGCGGGGACAAGGGACCTTCCGGGTGCGTCGCGCGCAACGGGGTGCTCCATGCGCTGCGGTACGACCCAGAACTGCCCGAGATGGAGCGCCGCGTCGGCGTGGAACTAATCGAGGGGAACTGTCGCGGATCGTCGGGTGACGGCCGCTGGCTGCTCGTGCGCGAAATGCTGCGCGAGGACGACATAGAGCCGGACAGCGAGCCGGACGTCGAGCGTGAGAGGGGGCTGCATGCAAAGCCCGCCTCCATCGGCTCCGGACGCTGACGAGGCGAGATCTGGATCTTTGCCATCGAAGAAGAGGACATGAGTTGCGCACAATCGGCGAAGCCGTAACGGTTTATGCTGCTGGCGGAGGGGGCGTCTAGGAAGCTGGATGGCGACGTGATAGGCGTCTGGACGTCCTCGTCGAATTCGCCACCGAAGACCTCAAACTCGTCCTGCATCTGCTCCAAACGGCGTCGCTCCTCCTCGTCACGGCTGAGCATCAAGACGTATTCCACTGCTTCGACTTCTGTCAAGCCCAGGTGGCCAAGGGTGGCGTTCTGCTCGCGCGCGCGACCATAAACCCTCTGAGTATGTTCGTGTTCGTGATCCAGTTCGCGCCGAGACTCCTTTATCTCCCTCGAGATCTCGACTTGTTCTGCAAGAGTGCGCTTAGCCAATGCCTTTAAGATTGGTAGGACAATACCTACGGTGCCATTTCGCGATAGCGTTCGACGCCCGGCTAGTGCCTTTACCCTTCGAAGCCTTCTGAACCTTTCCTTGCGGTTCCCCGCGCCAGGCGACGACACGATCACCGATGCTTGCAGCGAAGAAATCATGCTCGACAACAATGCCCTTTACTTGTTCTTCAACATTGTTGCGTACGGTGAAGCCGCGCATGGGAAGTAAGGTGAGCGAGTCAAAGGCCCGCAGGGTTCCAACAGAAGAACCTGTGACGATAACAGTTGACGTCCACACGAGGGAGGTGACTGCCCCACCATCGTGAGCCTGGAGTTTGCGGCCTGCAGGAATAGAGTGCTGGGCAGACGAAGACGAGGTCGGTATTCCGCCCCAGGGGAAGATGCTGACTGAACCAAGCTGGTCCCCAACAAGGACGAAACTATATTCTCCCGACTTGGAGGCAAATACAGGATACACGACGGTTATCGCGCCGGTAGTGTCATCTCCGTACGACGTCTGTAGCACTATTGCCGTAGGAAGACTGACGGCGCTGCGGATTAAGCGAGATTGACCCTTGTACGAAGCGAGGAGCGAGACTTGACTGGGCGTTTCGCAGAACATGTGGAAAGATGTGATCACCGCATTCGCAGTTGAGGCATCCGTGTAGGGACCCGGCGCATTGCTGTTCTTTGGTGCAGGTATGCGAACCTCTTTGACACAGATACTGTCGATCGACTTGACGGACTCGTCGGAAAACGCTGAAAAACCCGTCCACAGCACGGATTCTCCACTCTTCAACGCCGCGGCGACTGCTTCAGCGTTAATGTCGATGGCAACTTTGACGACGGGGTCCTTCAGCACCTGACCGGGCTTCAGCTTCGACGTCCAGAGGCACGAGACGCGTTTGGCGTCCCAAATCTTGATGCGACCGTCTGCACCTCCCGTGACAAAGAATCTGGGGGCATTACCCACTTCTGTGCCCCAAGCTGCATCTTCTACCGCCCCTTCATGCGCGTCGCCGACAGGGCACCGGAGCCAACGCGCGGCAATAGCACGAGCAGCGTCCATGGCCTTCGGAGCGGTAGTCACGGCGACCGCGCCGGTGCGGAAGCCCCATAGAACTCGGGCGGTTCCTCCGTCAGCAGACATAACGCAGCGCGAGACGTCCGGAGAGAATTCGGCGTTCGGATTACCGTGTCCTATACCGTTCAGTGTTCCGGAAGCGTCTAAGAACCCGCGTAAGGTCTTGCCCTTCAGGGGGAGCGACCGGGCGACAACCCCATACCGCAGCGATGCGGTCAGTAGGGCGGGATCAGGCGATGTAGAGGGCATGAGGTGCATCTCAGCAACAGCTGAGTGGACGGGGGTGTGGCTGATCGTGGAAGGACGGATGTTCTCCCATCGTCTGCGAAAGTGTTAGGATTTACATACGCAGATACGAACTCGGCATACCTCTTGAGATTCCATCTGCGCACAAACTCTCGCTTCCAGGTGACCTCCTCTCTCCGCATCATCAAGGCCTTCCTAGGGCTGCTCGTCAGGCTGGACGACTCGTATATGTCCCCCTCAGGGGATATCCCCAGGAACTGGAAGACATAGGCCCGCCGCCAAGTGTTGTCGTCCTCTACGTGTTCATGCAGTCTCTTGTTCGTGCCGCCGAGTGCAAAGAGAGAGCTGGGATCAAGGAAAGACGTGATATGGGTGAGAGATTCGGCAGGTAGTTCAAGGAGCCTGAATCCACAAGAGTAGCCAAGATCGGAGCGTTTCGCATATCCATATTGGCTGTTGTACTTGTTGAGTGGGGTCTGTTTATGCTTGTGCGTGTCTTTGTAGTGTTGTGCTCTGGATGGGCTATTGGGCATATAACAGGCTGAGGGCGACAGGTGCTGGTGCTTTCGCAGACAGTCGGCGGTGTCTGCGACGATAGTGGTTGCGAATGAAGTCACAGATTGGAGTAAGCGCCAGGGGGCGCCGTTGCTTTAAGCTGACCCAAGCAGCCTCAACTTGGCCAGAGCGATGAGTCAGTACGCTCACGGGGCGAACGTTCACTGGAAAGGAGATGGTTATCTCCGTATCATCGTCGATGTCCGGCTTGTTCCAACACCGGAAGTTCCCTTGTCCCACCCCGGTGCAGCACGGGCGTAAGTCATTGTGATTCCGCGGGCCCTGAAGGTGAACTTTAAATGTGCGATGACTAGACTGGGATATGCGTCTGCAAGGTAGAATATTCCAGTAATTGTACAAGATTAAGCGTCCTTTATTTTTTTACACAAGTCTTCTATCCGTCATCGCCCTGACGATGCAACCAGTACCCGCAACCTCTGTCAGCTAGAGACAGGAGCCAAGTCACAACCAAACGACAAGGGATCAGACATCGCACACGTACCTTTTCGTGCCAGCCCAGGAGTACGCTTCCGCTGACGTCCCCCCATCCTGGCAAGCCCATGCCCTTGTACAGGTACTTCATAAGAGTGTCTTGCGCATCTTGCGACAGCGACCGGACAACACCAGGAATTTCGGTTGCCTTTGTGCTGTTGAGGATAGTTACAAGCGTTTGAAGATTCAAATTCTGTTGAACGGTGATGCATATCAGCGTATGCGGTCATGACATGCGTGATTTCCGACGAGGCCATTGCACACCTTTGCCTCCTCCACGTTAGGCCCGTAAGGCGTATCAGTCAAGACAAGAGTCAGAGCACCAACAATGTCTCCCCTAGCGGCATTTTGCGTTAGACAGTCGTGATTGTATGATGCAGAGCAAGTGCATACTTCGACAATGAACTGCGTACAGCAGTCGCTTTCTGCTTCGCGTCATCTAGGACTTGCGCAGGGTCTCTTGGGTCTGCTTCGTAGAGCTCGCTGTCTAGAAGAACATCCTCATCATACTGGTCCACGTCGATCTTCCTGAAGTTCACGTCCATGGTCAATGTGCGGAAAGCAGCAGTAATACTGTAACGGGCAAGGCAGCAGCGCAGCCGGAAATGGATACGTTCTTCCCACGCTTCCGACTTTATGACAGAAATCCTCAGAAGAACGAATAATAATATCGATGTAGAGTAAAGACATGTAGAATATAACTTCTTATCCCAAAGCAGGGTTCGCTTTCGCAGCGAGCCGCAAGCCCTCCTGGACTGCTACGGCCTCCTCGACCCACGGCAAGCGGAAATATTCACTACGGCGCAAGTCATCTTGCCGGACTGTTGCACCTTCACTCGGACCACTGCCGAGGATGGTCTCCAGATCCCGAGATTGCGACTCCAGCCACGTTTGGATGAATTCTTGTGGCTTGTCCGCGAAGGACTTGAGGAAAGAGCGCTTCAGATGAGAGTTTTGGAGGGACTGCATGTGCGTGGCGATCTACGGATCCGGATTAGCTGTGGGAAGTGACAGAGGGACCAGAGAGCGTACCTCATCGTCGATCCTGGTCAATTCCTTTGCGCTCTCCGAGGCCATGTTCACGGAGACATGACTGATGCGGCTCTTCATCGCCGTATCGTCCATCTTGACCTCAATGTCATATGCTATAGGCTTCTCCGGTGGGGGTATCGTCGGGTCGATTGTGTGATGCAGAACTATTGGGTCGGCCTTACCGAGGAATCGGTTAACGCGCTCAGGTATTTGCTGAAATTGGATGGCATCTGCGCCGAATATCTACGGAAAGCAGTGAGGTTGAAAGAAGAGAGCCGCAGGATGAAAGACATACACCTCGTAACTGGGCGTCGGCACGTATGAGCCGTCTGTCGACCTTGTCTTGGAGGTCTTGCAGCTTGATGTAGTTCCACAGTGCTTGAACGATACCCACCCGAGTGTCCTCCTTGATACCCAAGATATTTCCTACATTGACAGTTAGTCGCAGACTAAAAAGGTAGCAAGCTTGAACTAACCTAAGTCTGGATGAACCCTGAACACCTCAGGTTGTTGTTCAAGGTGTATGATCACCCGGATCTTCAAAGGCACGTCCCCTCGCCTTCGTACAGCAAATCCGTCGAGTGGTGGGATATTTTGTGCTGAATTCCGCACCCACTGCAGAAGAAGTTGAAAATTAAGCCACGCGCCACATCAATAGCAACGTACCTCAACAACATTGCTGTCAGGGTATTGTGCAGGATCTCTCTCCAGCTCGACAACCACGTGCTTGACGAATGTAGAGAACTTACGTGGCGGCACGCGGTCTTTTGATCGTTGGTTTGGCAGCTATCAGTAAGGAGGTCGGTACGTTAACTGTTACCAGCGAGCGAGGAATAGAGGGACATACCTCCAACAGCCGACCTTCAATCTTCAGCTGCCATGCAGGGACACCTTCGCCAGTCTCAACGTTCACCTGCACTGACTGGCCGCCCTCAGTCTGCTGCCATGGCTGACCGGACACAGTATAGCTCAGGAACACCCGCAGCGTCCGTGTGGTCTGCGGGTTCGCTTCAGAAACACCTTGAGGTTCGTGGCCGGCCCAACACGTACCGTCATCGGTCTGCTCAGCGTATCCTGCACCTCTGTCCTTTTGCGAGTGATAGTCCAATCTAGCTTTCGCTCCATGTTCACAAGGTCCCGGTACATCTGCGAGTCGACAGTGTACTCTGGCGAATGGAGCAGCGCATTCGGAATATTCTTGTCTACGAGCTTGCGCCGCTTCGCGGGTGACTTTTGCGTCTCCATATTGCGCGAGTATAACAGTAGGTCCGTATGTAAGCGAGTCTTTACGGAATTCTAGGTTGGCGAAATCTAACTATGAGAGATATGTGGAACAAGCGAGCAAGGAGCCAAGGACGCCCAGTCGCAAACACGCACGTGATACTTTCCTTACTGAGAAGGTAACAGCTTCACGGCGTGCGGAGTGACTCAACTGCCCAGCGAACCCCTCCCTAGAATCTCGCCATGACCGCTCTGCAATGTTTTGTCCAGTCTCTTATCAAAATTCGCACCCTTCGCTAAAAGCGAGGCAAGACGCCTGTGACCTTCACGGAGCGCAGCGATTGGACCTGGCCGGCGAGTCTACCTTTCCGGCTGGCTCTCTGAATAATATGTAGCGGTGATCCCTTTCAACTCGTGTTCGATTGATATCTGGGAATGATGTTGCTCAGCACTGAGAGAATATTGTAGGAGATCGATGCTGTGAGCTCACCTTCTCAGAATCTGCGAGCTGCCGCCAGCTGTCTGCAAATTCATATGCAGTACCAGGTATTCTTCTTTTCTCCCATCTTCCTCCTCTCTCCATTGATTTCGGTCGGCCATCCATATGAAAATCCTTCCTCATGTGATATCTGGCTTCAAGAACATTTGAGTTGCTTGACACAGATTGTCGGCGGGTGCTGCGTGCCCGGGGTTGTGGCGACCTTTTGAAAGCTAAACTCTGCAAATATTCTCTTGCCTGGGCAGGACTTCCACACAACTGCAGCTCAAACATTTGAAGATGTTGCGCAATTATGGTGCCATGATTAACTTGCCAGTAGCCGGGGACTGCCAGGATTTGCATCTTGCTTATATCCTGCCAGTGGAAATGTAGAGGTAAATGGAGCTGGAGATAATGCTGGAGCTCCGAATTGCCAATGTTGGAGTGTACAAAGGCAGGCATGCCATCCTTGAGCACAGCGTGGAAAAAATGCTCGAATATCGACTTGGTTCCAATCACGGCAACTATCATGGGTGGTGATTGTTTGATTGAAAGTAGGCAGCTCTCAAAAGTCTTCCAGTGCAGGTAACTGCCAATATGAAGCTGACTGCTCTTTGCCCAATTGATAGTGATACCCCAGGATTTAATGCATGCAGAGTGTATGGATCTCGATATAGGAATTGGGTGGTGGAATTGGACTCCAAAGGAGACACATAGGCTATTCTCTGGTGTGCGAGGTCGGTTCTGAGGGTAGGCAGGAGCATGCATCCAGTAGAAGTGTTCTGTTTCTTCCAATCAGACATAGTTATCTTCAGTGGGTCAGAATACGTCACTTACCATCCTCACTGATGACTATGACAGCTCTGCGGAACAATGAAGGCAGCAAGTGGCTAAATGCTCCACGGAGAGTAGCCAGGATGTCAACGTCCTCGATTTGTAGGCGTTTGCCGACATTCAAAATGGAAAGACCCAGCTTCAGCTGAGTATCGAGAGCTTCACAACCACATTCTTCCAATTCTATTGAGTGTAGCTTTCTTCCAGTTCTTGGGCGACGGCGATGCTGCCAGTCATTATCCATGATTGAGTCCAGGAATTGAAGCCTGCGAAGAGCTAAGAAGCGCAGGGTTGGGAAGCTGTCGATGACGCGAACAAGACGTAGCTCGTTGTCCAGCCGAAAGCCGTCAACAACTAAACGCTGGACGTGCAGGGTGGAAGGTGGAAGTGTGTAGGGTAGGTTTTGTCGGAGAAGTTTGGACAGTTGGTCATTGGCCGCGTCCGGCATCGTTTTTGACCATTCTCCTGGGCATTGGGTACTGCAAAGGCTGAGATCGACGCCTGAGAAGTTTGGCATTTGTTCAATGTATGAATGCAAGCGATATATCCACGAAGCATCTTGTGTTCCTAAGTTTATGCTTATGCGAAGGTGGGATATACATTCGGAGATTGGAGGATACAAAACACTAGGTAAATCGAGGAACTTGCACAGTTGAGCCGCGTCCTGACTGTCGTAAAGCTGCAAACAGTTGAACAGTGCTGGCCGAATCGACTGAGCCCAGAAGCGACAGACCAGGCTGCAAGCTGTTAAGCCCCGCTTGGGATCAGTCCCTGGTAGGCTCCCTGTCGATACGACTTCCTCAAGAATCAGGCAGACGATCTCGGGAGCTAGACCTCCCGGCGCCGCTAAAATCGGTGGCAGCATGTTTAGCAGCTCATACATGATCGCCGGGTTGAGCGACGCATGAAGCGTCCGCCTGTCAACGGGCAGGGGGGAGGGGAGGGGAGAGGAGAGGAGAGGAGGGGAGGGGAGAGGAGAGGAGGGGAGGGGAGGGGAGGGGAGAGGAGGGGAGAGGAGAGGAGAGGAGAGGAGAGGAGAGGAGAGGAGAGGAGAGGAGAGGAGAGGAGAGGAGAGGAGAGGAGGGAAGTTAGTCACCTCACGAAGATTTCCGGACGTTTGCCGTACGCAGCAATAGCAATTCAACGATATATATGGCCTGCGAATGCGTTACCTCGTATGAAGCCTCGAGTCATACATCTTGATGCACAGGTATAATGATGTCGGGTTTGAATTCACAAAGCGTTCGAGTCATTACCCAAGCTTCTACGATACACGCTGCAATCACGCGGACCCAGGCTCGTCCTGTACTAGAGGACTCCATCTTCCTGCCTCCACATCCGCCAGAATCTTCTTAATCACCTCCTCATCTGTCTGCGTCGCGAAGTAATCCGTGTCTTCTGCATACTGTTTCTCGTCCTTCGTGGAGATACGCCCGAGTGAGTTGTTACGGTACGGATAGCGACTAAACTTCCGGATAATGGGGACATGGACGACGACGAGACGCATTAGCCAGAAGAAGAAATCGTCGATCTCGCTGCCGTTGCGGATAGGTGGCTCGGTGACGACTTTAGGGAAGCCGTAAATATCCGTGAGGTCCTCCGCCATCTTCTCTCGTCCGGGATCCTTCTTTCCGACGTGCTTCTCGACATCGGAGCGGACAGCTTCCATCAAGATAAGCTGCTTCTCATGATTCTCGAGGTTCTCCGAGTGGACGAGCGGTATGTAGAACCAGAAACGAGCGACCATGGCGTAGTCGTAGCTCCATCCTTGCATCATGAGCCTCTCCATGGTGTCCGGCCGCAGGTGTGGCGGGAGAGCCAGGAGCTGCAGTGCGAGTTTCGACGCAAAAGCATCAAAGTGGCCGTATATATAACGCTCGTTCACCCCAGATAGAGTAGAGCGCGGGGCTTGGTCGAGTAGAAACAGGAGGCCAGCTGCTTTCGACGGGAAGTCGTTCGCCTCAGGTGGGGGAAGGAACTGCATCAAATCAGGCATGTTCTCCACGCCGAGCGTAGAAAGTGGCTTGAGGGCTTGGTGGAACGTAAGCCTGTAGTAATCCGCGCGGGTATCCGGCTCGCCGCCGAAGAACAACTTTGCGACGGTGGTGAAATTGAGCGGTTGGTCCTCAGGCCATGGCAGCTGCGTACGGCGGAGCGACTCAAATAGCTCTAGAGTGAGGATTTTTGAAAGGTCAATGCTCTCTGCACTTGCCTACTAGTCAGAAAAGCGCATCAGTGCTGCGTGAACGGTACTGAGCGCAACTCTCCTACCATGATCGATACTGGGGTATTCTACGGCTCAAACGGCTGCGAGCGCCATGTTTATATACCATGCATCTGCGGCCGCGGACACCAAGGCTCGCGTGAGAAGGTGTCTTCAATATCTGATCTTTGAGCATACGTGCGCAAAAAGACTGATCCGCAAATGCACACGGCACCAGCTTTGCAAAATTGCCCACTGGAGTGTCTTAGATAAGAACAGCGTTTCATAAATCCGAGATTCACTTACATCATCAGGAACAAATAACCATTCTACCCGATGCTACCCGAGCTTGGTAGTGCTCCGAGGCATCGGGTAGCATCGGTAGAATGGTCAGTGTTTCCTGATGATCAGCCTTGAGTCTGAAGGCGCTCCAAGGAATTTATTCTGCATTCATTGTACTCATCATGTTTTCGCAGGGTTTTTCTTCGTTTATTCCCGTTTTCACGCGTGATCACGCGTTATCACGCAGCACAGCCTCAATAAACACCTGCCCTACTTTGGTTTATATGAGCATTTTCGTCCTCCTTAGAACGCGTGATAACGCATGATAACGTGTAATAACGTGTAATAGCATGTTATTAGACCTCTGGACTTCGAGTCAGATAGTGTTCAACTTGTATACTCATTTGCTCTTGTCCGTGCAGCCGAGCCCGGCCCTCTTGCCTGCTGCGCGCAGCTCTCTGCACTGCCGCCGCGGGCCGTATGTTTATTCTGCTGTGGGAACCTTACCCAATGAGCGATGCCCATCGTGCGGAAGGGCATTCAAAGGAGCACGGTGTGTGTCTCCATGTCTGCTCTCTGAATGGCTGTGGAACAGTGGACAGAAGCTGGCAGCTCACAGGAAAGAAAACAGCCGGAGGACCTGTATAGTGTCTGTCACCATTGTATAAGTCTACGACTCTGCGAGCAGCCCTGTACAGGCCACTGCGGGCCGCTTACTGACATCTAAAGCCAGTGCTGGCCGGCCAGTGTCCAAAGTTATTTGTCATAACAAGCCTCTATTTATGAACAAGGCTTCTAGGGCCATCTAGTGTGACCAGCTTTTAGCGATGCGTGGCGGGCGCAGTGGCCACCAGGATGACTTGCCTGCCGAGCACCGGCCACTGCCCCGCAGCATCCCAATTAAGCAAACTACATGCCTTATGCTGGCTCCTAGAGCCCGCATAGTGTGCCGCTGCTAGGCCTGACCTGCGATCAGCCAATGAAGTACACCGATGCCGCGTTTCCGTGCATTATTGCTCGTTATCACGCGTTATTAATGGGCGCCTATCCATATTCCACCTCGCGAAACCCAAAGGCCCAAACCGTTGCAGCTGGTTGCGAAATCAGAATAAATTCTGACATTTACCTTCATACTTGAGCTTGAAGTTCGTGACTTGTGGGAAATAAACTGTCAGTATGGTGCAAGCACGAAGGCTCTGCGGTTCTCGTTCGACCTTGTTGTGATTACACGCCTTAGCGACGCCTCTAGCTGTATGCGGGCTTTATTTCATATATTTTAGGGCCATCTTACAGATATAAATATACTAGCGTTCGAGTCTAGCCAAAGGAAAGGCCCAAGGGCACGCGCAACGTGAAGAATGTAAATTGGAAGAGGATGACAAACGTCGGAGGAATCCACAACCTACTTCTCTGCGAGACCCGCCTGCTGCGCATTGAGCAACGTGCCAAGTCCGACAGCGAGGGAACCCAATGTTTGTGCGGTACCACTAGCGAGGAACGCGCCAGCAGCCCCAGCGGACACGACCGGCAAGGAAGGGATAGTACCCATAGTGATGAGAATAGCGGACCCCGCACTCATGAGAACTGGGTATTCAGCGCTGAGCACCTTCAACGTCTCTAGGAGTATGACAAGCCATTCCGGCGGGACGTGCAAGCCTTCGCAGTCTTCGCCGTTTCGTTTAGGCGCTGCATATGGTTCCATGCGAGAAGACTCACCGTCTTTAGAGGCCATCATAACAAACGTGGGCTTAGCCGTCTCTTTGGGTAGCTCCATGTTCTTGACGGTCGCCGCCTTAGGAGTGCCTACGCTGGAGCCGCTTCCGAAAGTGAACAGACTGGCAGAACGCCGGGGGTCGGGCCGCTCGGAATTTTTCTTCTGTGCGTCCCGTGCTGTGAGCGACCTCTTCAGGAGCGACTGCTTGGTCAGCGGTGGGGATGGGGGCGGAGCTGGCGCTGGTGCAATTGCCTGCAGCTGCTGCTTGATCTGCCAAGTGACCCGCTTATACCACGGGTCATTGATCAGAGTCTCCCCTGTTAATCTGGTGAGCACGTGGAGGGCGACCAGAAGATGACGAATGCTTACAAGGCACGAGAAGCATAACTTTCTTATAGCGTTTCCAGTCCCATTTGAACTTGGCTCCGAACATATTCGTGGTGGCCGCGCCGACGAAGAGCCAAGCCTTGGTTGCCCTATCGCCCATGTAATGGCGTGCAACATCGTGCCAATGTTCCTTAGGTACTTTGCGAGCCTTCAGCTCTACCTCCATCTTGGCAATCCAATTAGTGACCGGTCCGTCTCGGTCGGGAATGCCATGCCACTTGGGAGCGTCGGTCCACGACGCATACAGAGCATCGAAGTTGTATGGTTGTTTCGGCTTCAGAAATTTCGACATGAGAGACGGGTGTATTCGTGACAGTGACGGTGACGATGGCGGTGTGGGTGAGAGGGATGGTGATGTGAAGGATGGTGAGAAATCACTTTATGTACGTAGCGCAGCGGCCTGGCCTTGAGTTTTCTTCCTTATGCGTTCGCTAAACGATACCTCGTGGCCGATTATCACAGGCGATCAGGAAGGTTAGCGGCCATCAAGTGAGACACTGAAGGCTTAGACACCCGCACGCTTTTGTATCCAATTCTTACCAGTAGCAACATCAACGGCATCAGGAATATGACTGGGCCTATTACTCATTAGTGTCATTCAAGAGGCTGCGCGTATACCTCGTTCATTCTGGTTCATTCATCGCTACGTCTTTGTCTACATTTTCTCCAGTACCGGCGGACGATCTGATGCCTAAATCCATAGCATCCACCAATCTTCGTGTGCGTGCACGTACGGTCCGCTTCATCTCTTTGTGAATGACTTGCCCCGCCTCGCATGCCAGCTTGAAGATATCCGCGAACCGGTCGGCATGCAGCCGAGTTTCCATTGTGACTAGAGTGATTTTTCCTGTCTTCGGCATGATGGCGACGGTGAGGTGCGGGATGTCGTTCTCCTCCAGCGTCGTGAGATCGAGCATGGGTGACGTCGAGTGTACGCCGCCAGTCACAGCGCAAACTAGATCGAGCAGAGGGATGCCCGCGCTTACGAGAGCAAGTGTAGTGGCATTTATGCCTGCCTGCAATAAGCCCCCATCCTGCTGCAGCACGTGCACGTAGATATCAATCTGCGACCGGGGGTAGAGGTTGGTTTGGACTACTGGCTCGAACGTCGACTTAATGGCGGACGCGAATTCTAGGATTCGCCTAGGGGTGTGAAGTCAGCTACTCAGTCACGGCCGGTCTTCGTAGCAAGTCTCATATAGCAAGCTCCAAGGTCAAGGTTAGCACTCACTTATCCCCGCGATTCCTCTTCCTTCGCTCTCCCGTGCTGAATGGTGCGATGTTGACCTCCACGTTGAGTACGGCGCGATCATGAAATGTCTGCGAGCGCATCTTCGCTTCTCTTGGTCCAAAGACTGACACGAGGACCTGAGTCAAGCCGTGGGTGATCATAGCTGAGCCGTCCGCGGTTCCTCGCTGAGAAAGGTCCATGGTGATATCGCGAAGCTCGAACTGTCGCCTTCCGTCCGAACGATAGCCGTCATCGTTTAAAATCTCTACTCGAGATCCCTTTCAAAGGAGAATAAACAAGTGGAGAACCCGAAGTAGACGTGCAGACATACCATGGGTGACTACGGACGGGTGAGCTGTTTTGTGGCGGCGTGCCAGAAATAAGAAAAGCCTAAGTTCCGGCTCGAAAGCTTATCTCAGGTTTCTTACTTGAGTAAGCTGAGATAACAAGCCGTTATGGGGGTCGGTAAGCCCAGCTTACTTAACCTTTACTTATCACCACGGCGCGCGGTTACTTCCTGCTGCCCATCGCTCTCGTCCGTTTCATCTGCCACATCTAGCTACGCTTCCTCCCTACCCGTTATCTCTTTCGTCTCCTGGTCTGGTGTGCCACAAAACGATCTGTGGTTCTGATGGCCAGCTTCCGCGCTCCTCCACGTAAAGGCGAGAATTTCGAGCTTGCTGCCGACCTTAATAGTGAATACAAGGATAAACGCAAGGATGCAATCAAGCGGGTCATTGCGAACATGACCGTTCAGAAGGGTGCGTATGTCTGTATGCGTACTTAAGCTGGATGCACAAACTGAAGCTCGGATAAGATGTCAGCGGTCTATTTCCTGACGTCCTCAAGAACATGCAGACAGACGACCTCGAGCAGAAGAAGCTCGTGTATCTCTACTTAATGAACTACGCTAAGACCCAGCCGGAGCTTGTCATACTTGCTGTGAACACCTTCGTCAAGGATACTGATGATCCCAACCCACTCGTACGCGCTTTGGCGATCCGGACTATGGGCTGCCTGCGGGCGGAGAAGATTATCGACTACCTATGCGACCCCCTGCAGAAATGCCTACGAGACGAGAATCCTTACGTGCGCAAAACCGCAGCTCTCTGCGTCGCCAAGCTCTATGACCTGAAACCGGAGCTGGTCATTGAGAACGGCTTCTTGGAGACGCTGAGGGAGATGATTGCGGACAGTAATCCCATGGTGCGCGAGATATTCTTTGGCTGCTAGCTGAAAGAGCTCATTGGATTAGGTTGTTGCGAACACCGTCGCTGCGCTCACAGATATTCATAACTGTGCAGTCGCCGCCGGCTCGAACGAAGACATCTTCGTGATTACGAGTCATGTTCTCAGTAAGCTGCTCATTGCTTTGAACGAATGCTCGGAGTGGGGACGGGTCGCAATATTGAGCGCTCTGGCACGCTATGAAACCGAAAGTGACCAGGAGAGCGAGCATATATGCGAGCGAGTGGTTCCTCAATTCCAGCATGCGAATGCGGGCGTGGTGCTTGCTGCGGTGAAGGTACTTAATTGGTTATTTTTCAGCATACTCTTATTCCCACAGGCCTGAATGTCTTCTTTCATAGGTGATCATGATTCACATGCGAAATGTGCAGTCGGAAAACTTGACGAAGCAGCTCGTCCGCAAGATGGCTCCGCCTCTAGTTACCCTGCTCTCAAACCCACCAGAGGTGCAATGGGTAGCGCTTCGTAACATCAACCTTCTGCTCCAGAAACGATCAGACATTCTTTCGAACGAGATGCGCGTCTTCTTCTGCAAATACAATGATCCACTGTATGTCAAGGTGGAAAAACTCGACATCATGGTTCGGCTGGCGGGTGAGAGCAACGTTGACGCCCTTCTTAGCGAGTTGAAGGAGTATGTGAAGCATCTTCGTCCAAAATATACCTGGCCTGACCTAGAATTAGGTATGCGTCCGAAGTGGACGTCGACTTCGTCCGACGAAGTATCAAAGCCATCGGCCAGACGGCCATAAAAATCGATGAGGCAGCTGAGCGGTGCGTCAATGTGCTGCTGGAGCTCATTGGCACACGTGTCAGCTATGTTGTCCAGGAAGCTGTCGTCGTGATGAAGGTACGGGAGAATTGATAGCTACTACGGCGATCATTGACGAGTTGTAATGCAGGATATCTTCCGGAAATATCCCTCTACTTACGAAGGTGTCATCCCCACGCTATGCGCTAACCTCGACGAACTGGATGAGCCGGAAGCCAAAGCTTCACTGATATGGATCATCGGCGAGTACGCGAATAAGATCGATAATGCCGACGAGTTGCTCGGCATTTTCGTGGAATCGTTCACAGAAGAGTCTTATCCTGTAAGTACGCTCAAGTAAAGATTGTGGATTATTGTAATTCATTTACTCATTCCTGTAGGTCCAGCTGCAAACCCTAACGGCGGTCGTCAAACTGTTCTTGCGAAAGCCTGACACTTCGCAAGGGCTTGTGCAGCGTATCCTGAACACCGCGACCAAGGACTGCGACTCCCCCGATGTGCGAGATCGGGCATACATTTACTGGCGATTGCTGTCAACAGACCCAGGTGCTGCGAAGGTATGTCGCGATATGTCGTGACATCGCTTGCGTGCGCTGACCTCTTCGCAGAACGTTGTTCTTGCGCATCGACCGCCAATATCGCTACCTCGCATGACAGTGTCACCTGCGCTTCTCGAGGAGCTATTAGGCGAAATATCTTCATTAGCCAGTGTGTACCACAAGCCAGAAGAAACTTTCGTTGGGCGAGGACGCATCGGCGCTGACGCGATATCAAAGGGTGCTGGGGAGTACGTACTTCTAACCGCATGCACGTGCGACGCACTAACGTCATTCCAGCCTCAACGACGAGAAACAGGTCACTCAGAAGGCGCTGCAGACGGTTGTTGCCGGCCAACAGTCCGAAAACCTACTTAACTTCGACGACCCAACAACAGAAGAACAGCCGTCAGGGATCGCCGCGACGGCTGCACTCGCGGCCACGCCCGCCGCCGCAAACCTGCTCGCTGGCACATCGAGCAACCCACTCGATGACCTCGTGTCTATATTCGGCAACGTCAGCCTAACGAGCGCTACTGCGCCGGCACCACAGCAGAATGTCATGGGCGGCATGGGCGGCCTGTCCTTTGGCGCGACCCCCCTGGCACCGTCGCCAGCGCCCCCGCAGACACCGTCGGTGCTCCAATCCACATCACCCCCGGCACAGCCGCAGCAAGCGCAGGATGACCTGCTTGGCCTTTTCTAGGTTTTATAGAGTTCGCTTTCATCCGTTTCTGCATCGCGTTGACTGCTGGAGCTGTAGTATTATTGGTATTCAGTGCGCAAGGAGATATCATAAAGATGGACCGTACGCGTGCTTTGCTGGTCAAGCGCGAACTGGCGCATTCGCCAACTCTTCTCATCGTACAGCTTGTTTTCTCTATATTTGATCTCCTTTTGCTATACGCTTCACGCATTGATCCATCTTCATTATTGCATAAATATCATGGTCTCTGGCTAAACCCGACTGACCGATGCCGAAGGTCCTGTCGTCGCCGAGATTCAACATACTTCGCACTCATTTCGCTGTAATTGCCGCATGCCCAGTGTATTTCTCGCGGTTGCTCATTGGGTCGTGCGAATGTTTCCGCAATAACTCACACCGGCATTGTTCATGCATTTGTCACAGGTATTCGCGCTTAACAGTCAGCATTCGGAAGTGGTTTGCTGACTATCCATCAGCAGGTGCCGGCGGCGAAATATCCTCACTTATCATGGATATTATGACCATAATGACATGGGCAGAGCAAGGTGCCAAGGTGACGTACTATGCGGGCCAAGCCCGTCGACACCGCCCTGGATTTAGCGAGACGCAGATTCAAAATATGCAAGCCGATCTAACGCAGGAATCCGACGTGCAACGGATGTTCGACAGGGCGAGCAGGGCGTTTAGACACGTGCAGTTCGTTATCGCGAATTATGGGTACTGGCCCCCGGATAACGTCCCGGTCGCGCGCATGACGCTCGCCCAATGGAACGCGACAAAGCTAACGTCGCGGTTCTCCGCCATTCGGAGTAATCTCACCAGTCTCGAGCGTGCGAGCACCGCTGTGAGGGGTAGGCGGCGATCGTAACGATAAGTAGCACGGCTGGAAAGTTCGACGAGGCCAGTCGTGCCGACTATGCGGGGTGCACAAGTGGTACGGGACCTTCGCTCGCACGTCATCATTCGCAAATATCTCATGCACTACGTGCGCTTTCTGCAGTGACGACGCCGATAGATTGTGAAGATCGCACCAGAGAAGACGCGAGCTGCGCTGCACCCGGTTGGCGGCTGATATGTACGTTCTGCACCGCATACATCCCTTAATACACCCTGTCGATCCTAGGATATGTTGCCGAGCCGGGAGATGTCGCGTCAGAAGTGGTCCTGCTTTCGCCGGTCTCGATCTGGTCATGTTACTCCAAGTGATTATAGTAGGGGGTTGGAGATGTTGCCTGGGTCTAGGCTTGCAATAGGAGTAGCACCCTTAATCGCGTTGTGCGATCATACGCTATACTGCTCTGAGCATGGATGCCAACCCAGCAAAGTAATTATCTGCTCTCGCACGCTCGTCCGCGAGCATGCCAGCATCGTGGGAGGGCAAATATCTGCCCTTCGCTGTGGAAGATCTCCGGACATTGAGACTTTCACTTGCCAATGCGCCATTCATTCCCACTCAATGCACGAGCAGATTCCGAACACTGGCCGGTCACGGTGATCCGGAGTGGAGATAGGCCCAAATTTAACGCTATAGTCACAGAGGGGATGGAAAACAGGCGGTTGTAATATGCGCAGCCCAGCCCCTATATAAACTCACCAAGACCTGATCGCCCCAGACGCACTGACTACCCCACACACCCCGCACCCCACATCGCAACATCCCCCTTGCGATTATACCCCACACCATGGTGAGTGTCTCTGTCTGTCGTCGTCGTCGTGCTTGACGAGTCCGGCGCACAGGGCAACCAGGACGACCACCACGACGCTCACGTCACTAACCTCCGCGTCCTACTGGGTTCGATACTGTCTCCCGTGAGCCTCGCACTGCCTGCTTGAGCCACAGCCGCATGCGTTTTGCGTCCCTCGGACGCCTCACCGACTAAAGACACTGGTGTTAAATCCAGAAACGTGCTTCTTATACACGTTCCTCGACCTCAACGTCGGGCACCGCGAGCCCAGCTTTTCCGTCGCACCCTGGCTCCCCTGAGCTCCCTGCCTCGCGTCCGCAGACTCACCCACACGCACACGCAACCGGCGCGTCTAGCACGTCACGAGGGGCAGTGTCGGTGAGTCGCCTGATCCCGCTGCGCGCGTTCTAGCCCGTTTCTGATACGCCTGCCGTGTGCGTCTGAGCAGACTCCACCAACACTCTCCAGGGCCGATTCGTCAGCCTCAATATCCGACCATGTCAGCATGCCACGGCATTACGCCATGGCGCCCCCTCCTGCGACGAGCTCGGATGTCGAGGGGACAGCCCACAGGCCGTCGCGAGCCGACCTCCTCGGGACGCTGCAGTCGAAGAACACGGCCTGGGACGCCCTTATCCACGGTTCATTTGTTTGAGTGCCTGTGAGCGATGTGTCACATAGAGGACGGATGTCCATTGGTCTGGGACTAGTGCTTGTACTCTGCGGGATCATGTAAAAATACCATACTAGTTAACTAGTCAACTCTGTAGCTTGGTTTGTTTGAATGCGAGTGTGCTATCGCTGAAGCTCGAGCGAATGACTCCAACAAGTGTTAGCAGATGCATATGATGGTAGTCACCACGCCAGAAAGCGCACAAGGCGCAGGGCCTGGGATCCTGGAACCTTGCCGGGGCCTGTCTGGGCGGGAGAAAGCAGCACTAATCCCTATTCAGCTATCTGGTTGCGAGAGAATCTTCGCTATCACATTTGGTTCCCACAGAAAGCGACTCCTTCATGGTTGACATGGTTCCAGACCTTTCATTTGGTGGCTTCTCGGCGCGGAACAAAGCCCATGCTTCAGCCGCAGCATTTCAACACAGGCAACACCGTTCGGCGTGTGGTGGAGCAAGAAGTCAATCTCGGTTAAAGGGTACTGCAATTTTACAATACAGTAACTGGAGCTACACGAGGGTATATCCTACAACAACAGAACCAGATAGTGTAAGTGTAGGCTGTAAGCGTCCGTGGTGCACGGAGTGTGACTAGTATGTGTCCTCTATGTGGCGGTCTAGTGTGGATTGGTTGTGGGGATTGTGTTTGGGCTTGGACAATCCGAACAGCTGTGATACGTAAATCAGAACGAGGTCACCGGAAGAGAAGGAGGAGAACGCACATCTTTAAGTTCTTTCACACTCAGCTTGTGCAGCTTAACGCCGCTGCCTTCTCCGAGAGCGGCATCGGCCAGGCCGGTCTTTGTCTCTTGCAGCTTCAACATGCTGCAAAATAAACATCAGTTCTCGCCCCAGTGCATCAGTGCGCGGCACGTACCGCTCCTCAAGGGTGTCGTTGACGACGAGCCGCTTCACGAAGACTTCCTTCTCCTGGCCGAGCCTGTGCACACGATCATACGCCTGTGACTCGGAAGCATAATTCCACGAGAGGTCGAGGCTAGGGCATGAGTCAGTAGTGGTACGCGGTTAGCAGGACCCAACGCACTTGATGATACGGTTCGCAGACGTAAGATTTAAACCTACGCCGCCACACTTGGTGCTGCACGACGCCGAGATCAGCATTCATTCAGGGACACACGAGACCCGAACACAGCATACCTGATGAGAATGACCCTGGGACCACCTGGCTGCCTGAACCGCGCCAACACGTATTCACGCGCCTCACGATTCATCGATCCGTCGTATCGCAGGTTCTGGACCCCGTTGCGGATGAAGATCGACTCCACAAGGTCAAGCATCGACGTCCCTGTCCATCACATCAGCCTCGACCTCACGCCAAAGGGAAAAGATGACGCATACATTGCGAGAAGCATATTGTCTTGTCGCCCGTCGACTCCCACTCTTTGAGCAAGTCGACCAAGGCCAGCATCTTCGCACTCGGCTCGACGTTTGCGCCGCCGTGTGCCCACGTCTTGAAGATGTCCCATGACGGCTCTTGCACCTTGTTTGTGCCTGCGATGTCTTCAATTGTGATATCGGTGACCTGCTGTGCTCGCAGATCAGCATCTGGCTAACCAGCGACGCAAGCGAAATGACATACGTCGTCCTCCGAAGCCTTTTCCTTCCCTTTATTCTTCTCCTTTTGCTCCTTCTGGGGGCCACGGTAGTTCCTAAGAAGCTCTGCCGGGTCTGGGAGGTCTTCATCCGAGCTGTCACTCAGTTCAATATCAGAATCATCTATGCTGATAGCCTTCGTTTGCGGTGCCTTGCGGCTCTGCGACTGGTTCGCAGACACGCTTCCAGAGCCATTCCGCGAGGATCCTGGGTACCGCCGACGCGTGGCGGCCTGCAATTCCTCCTCGGTGGGCTTGAAGGCGCTGGAACGAAAGATGGCGCTCGGGCGGAGATCGTTCATCTTCTTGCAGGTGGGGCCTACCAAGACAGTCAATACAAGGGCCACGGGTGGAGTGAAAACGGGCACATACATGGACGAAGACCTTGTGCCGCGGCCTTCTCGAACTCCGCCTCAACGCGGAGGTTGGTCTCCTCGTCCGCCTCGCCACTAAGAAATCTTAGTACACGTTCAAGTCCTCTCAATACCTCACACTTACAATATGCCGTTATGAACAATGGGAGCACTTGCTAGCTCTCGACAGCAGTCTTTTCGGTTCCTCAGTAAAACTACGAAGACAAGTCAGTCGAGCGGCGGCTCACCGAAACAGACCTCATGGCCGCACTGAAGCACAACACCACTGTCTCCGACAAACACTTTTACGAAGATCATGTCAGTGCAACTTGCAGATGAATGATAAATCGAGCAGTCGCACGTACTTTCATCACAAACAGGGCAAGACCCGTCGTCTGCCTTGAGATCTTCGGCGTCGTAGTCTTTCAACGCCTCCTTGGCGCGGTCCAGAAACTTTTTCTTCATCTACAAACACTTGCTCGGGAAGCGGCCACAGTTCTATAACGGCAAGACGTACATTCATAGCCCATCGAACACCCATGACCTTCTTTGCTCGCTCGAACTCCTTCTCAGCAGCGGACGCCATGGCCATAGTAGGGTCACCATCGACATCATGCTGGAAGACACCGGTTAGCGACATGTTGCGATGGAGCCTCAGCAGGCGACGAACCAAGACTAGGTTTGGGTGACAACACAGCTGTCGCAAGCGAAGGATTAGGACCAGGACGGCCGAATGGCTGGTATCCGGGTACATGAGGAGGCCAGCGGTAGAATCATGGAGACAGTAACACGCACTTCTTTACGATAGTCTTCTGTCGGATGTACTTGTTGATCTGAATCTGCGCCTTCTTTTCGATATGGTCGTAGAGCTACAAATATATACTTGTGAATGCCAGACGAAGCACTGTAAGGCATGTCGTGACATTACCTGACGCTCGTCTCTGGAGAAGTCTAGTCGGATGATTTCGATGTGCTTTTCTGGCAGCTGGAGAATTGGTTCGCCTTCCTACACGTCCCAGATACCTTTAACTTAAGGTTCACAACACATCGGGGGAGATTGACAGGAACTGACAAGCTCTGCGTCCTTCGTTCGTCTTAGGAGAAGCGGCTTCAGCACCTCTTGCGCGCGGAGTCCTATGTTACAGTCATGAGACTGAAAGAAGAATAACCGTTTCACTGCAGCCTACCAGCCAATGGAGCGTCTTCGAGCTGCGTTTTCGCAATATACAAATTGAATGATTTCCAGTCACTAGTTTCGGGAGTAAGCATGACGGGCCGTCTATGGCAGTGTGTGACGCGGCATCGGACTCACTTCCACGGCCTCCAGCACCCATAACGAATAAGACCGTAGATATCCGCGCTGTCGAGACGAATATCAGCATCAGCATCAGGATATATGCCAAATATCCTCACAGTGTGTTCGTAACCGGCGTGCCCGTAAGGCACCACCTGTACTTTGCGCGAAGCATAGCGCAGGCTTTGCTGGATCGAGTTCCCCTATAACACAAGGGTATGAGCTGTACTAAGCAGTAAGCAGGTTATATGCGCACCTGTTTCTGATGAATTGGGCTTCGTCTGCAATGACGCGGTACCACTTCATGCGTGCTAGAGGGCCCCTACGCGATCATCAATCTCACGTCCACACAGACATATTTTGGTGTCCGTACCCATTGTCGAGTAACCACCTGAGTTCTTCGTCGTTCTCAATACCATCAGGCGTCGCAAAGTCCGTGTTAAGGGTTTGGTACGTGGTGATGATGACCTGAAAGAAAGGCGGAAACTTGAGATATGTTCGGAAACTAAACGAAGAACCACGCACATCCTTCTTCCTTAGCTGCTCAATCTTCTTGAGCTTCTCTCTACCATGATGGATGTGTACAGTGAAAAGGCCGTTGGTCTTGGACTCGATTTCTTCTTGCCACTGTGAACGCCATGTTCGTCAGGCCTCTACATGATGATCCGTAGCTGTGGAAAAACCTGGAGCAATAGTGCTGCTGGAACGACGATGAGAGTGGTTTTCCGCTCCTCATCATCTTCAGGCATGTTCATAGCCATGGTGGCGATCATCTGGACAGTCTTGCCTAATGAAATTGCTATCAGCCACCAGCTAGTCTGGCAACTAAGGTCTTACTCACCGAGACCCATTTCGTCACTGATATGTACATCAAAAACAGATGCAAATTGCGCAAAAATTGATACACTCACGCAAGGATACCTCCTTTATGCTCGCTTTCGCGCTCTTGTTTGAGCATCCTGGGACGAGTGGCGGGGTTACGAAAGGCGGTTCTGTCAATAGTCAAGACAACATACCAGCTTACGCCAACAACTTGGTGAGGAAGTAGGCGGACTTCTACCCCAGGCAACAAATCTTTCTTGCTGAAGACAGAGCTCGTTGTCAGCGCTTGTCGTTGAGAGTCTGAATGGACCTACTCCTTCAAGGCAAGATGTTTCATAGCATCTTGCACAGTAATGCCATGCGATGAGTTGTCAAGAGTTCTTGTAACAAATTCTGCCAGTCTAAGAAGCAGTAGGTGAGCGGTATAGAGACGCGTCCCTTGTGAAAGCACGTACTTTATAGCCTGATCTTGTCCACCGATATCGAGCTTGCTAACCGCACTCTCGTGGTCGTAGTTCAGTGAGAACTCTCTGCGTTTACGGGGTGCCCGGCTTGGCACTGGAGAAAGCCCTTCATCCTCGTCTCCAGATTCTTCGCTAGAAAAGACATCGGCACCACCGACTTTGCGGATGCACAGTTTCAGTCGACGCCATGTGGACGTACTTCTTCACGACTCACAAGAAAACGACGTGGAGGAGGCAGGCCTCTGTAATACGGCCCGTATCCCAGAACCCGTAGCTCGTCGCTTGAAGTCTGGGGATGACCCTGCACTGCTGCTGCGAGCATGCTTGTCGCCCGCAGATAGACTCGGCCCAAAGTCGTCCAGCGACATCCCAGGGTTGTCGAGCGCGGCGAGAAGCCGTGACGTCTGCCGTCCGCCGTTCGTAGGCGGCGTTGTCATTGTGGACAATCAGAAAGATACCGAGAGTGGGTGAAAGAGAGAGAGATGAATGGACGTGCAGTACACGCGCTCATTTGCTGGACCGTGTTTGGATCAAAATGTCTAAGCCATATAGGGAAATATTTGACGAAATATTTGTTTGTGGATGTTGTTCCGTGTAAAAGCTGTCCCTCGGACAGGACCTGACAAGACTTTCGCATTTCAACCTGGTTCGCCTCTTCCGCATTTTGCCCCTGGCTGGGCACACATCTTACAACAGCTCAGACCACTATAATCTATACTATATACTCGTTTAATACTTCGCTATGTCTACGCAATCTTCAGGACTGGCTGGCACCAGTCCGCGAAAGCGTATCCTTGCGCCAACACCTGTGAAGATCGTGAAGACCACCAAACGCCTTTATCCTGCTGGGGACCTGGGACTTCCTTCACGAGAGGAGTGCGAGGAAGTTATCAACGAGTACCTGCAGTCCCTTAGCATTCGCAAACGGGAGAAAGCCTTGATAACGCAGGAGATGTTCGACGACATCTGGGACGTCCTCCAGGAGCCAACAGCGAGGATACGCACGCCGCAGTTTCGTTTTTGGGTACGCAAGATGTTCAAGTTGTCTCACTCTCCCGGCGGCTCGAGGGATGCTCCCTATGTTCCGGACGACTCCGACATGGTCCCTGTTATCCTACACGAAGGTCGCCCTGTCGCAGTCAAGGAGCAGATCCATGACATCCTCTGTTTCTATCATCTGGCATCTGGACATGGTGGACGCGATAAAACTATGGCCGAAGTCCGCGACAACTATTCTTGGGTCCCCAAGGAGCTAGTCTCGCGCTTTGTCAAGGCGTGCCCTACGTGTTCGTCGAGGCGACCTGGTTATCCCTCTAGAATGTCTACCTTGGAGTCTCTGGCTGCGCGCAAGCTATCACTGAATGAGAATCACATGGTGCGCATCTCGTCTTCCGACGGCGGCTCCGACGTTTTCAGCTCGAGTGCCTCCCAAGCAGTCTCGCTCGCGTCATCTGAAGAAGGCTTTGTTACCAACCCTGCCTCGGATCCTGGATTCGCTCCCGTTCCTGCTTTCACCCTGGCTTCTTTGCTTGAATCTCGCATTCTTCCTCCCCCAGTTGTCTCCCCGATTCTACGCTCACCGCCGCTCGGCTCTCCGAATCTATCTGCGGATCCGCGCAAGTGGCTGGCAGACCTCGCAATGCAGCCTGGTCCGAACTGCGTCGGCACATCGCACAGATTCTCTCCGCTTGACCTGAGGCGGGTTGGCAGCGAGAACGATGCCGACCCGATGCATGGCCGCGTGCCGCTGCCGCCGCTCATGAAGGCGCTTTCCGATGGTATGGCGGATGGGGACCTCTACCGCCCAGCCTTTAACGTTCCGCCTGGCTTCCAGATCCCTCGACGAGATTTGCTCTCAGATCCCTATTCCGCGGACATCGCCTTGTCAGGTTCGACTGGAGGCTTGCAGTACCCTCTCAGCGACGGCAGTGACAATGCGAACATTGATCCTACGCTACTCTATAGTCAGTCAGTGGCCACGACGTACGAAGATTACTATCGAAGCCAACAAAGCACCAACTATATTGCATATACACAGCCGGTCCAACTCCAGCAAACGACGCTCGCCTCCATGAACTTTGACTTTGCGCTAGTGCAGCGGTCTGTCAGCGAGGAGTCGATATCGTCGGAAGGGTCGGCGCAGAGCCTTGGGTCTGTTATGTCTTGTGGAGAGAGTGGCGGCGAAGGGGAACAATTGACTAAAGGCATGCAGCAGAGCTCTTCGTTCGACCCGCAGGATTGGGAGAGTTCGTACTGCTTGGACGATATTTAGCTGTACGGCTGTCTCGCTGTGGAGCTTGTACACTTGCCCTCTTGTACTCTCAATTCATGGTGATGACCCAACTCATAGTCGCTGCCATCATCGTCCCGTGTTTTAAGATATATCTTCAGAGGTCCAACAGCTTCATGCCAACTTTATCAGTGTGTTTCCTTTTTCACTTGTTCGAGACTGCCATCTGAACAAGTGGACAGATTTGTGCAGATACGTAATCTTACGATTCATTCCACCGATCTCTCAGTCGGGTACGCCCGTCGCCACGCTCAAAATGGTAACTTGCAGCCTCTGATCCCAACATGGCCAAACAAGGAGCGTAAGCTCCTACGGAAGCGGCTGTGTGCCTCTCGTAACTTGTCGGAGGCGAATTTGAAAGATGGTCACTTCTGTAAGATCTCAGAGCCCGGCGCACTCCTCACACCACCATCTTGATGCCCTATCGCTCATGAAACGGACGCACAGAGAGTTCAGCACAGGAAAATCGACACTCATGCAGGTGTCTCAGCCACAAAGCTGCTTCCACAGCATGATGCAAAGTGTCTGGTACCGCTGCGCGACTGAGCAGACTTTCCTCAGCTCCCCTAGCATGAAGTTCGGCATAGATGGCATGCCGTGTTTCGTCCACCGGACCTCGCAGCCCTGGTGACATGATCCATCTGTATGTCTTTGTCATAACATCCCCACATTCACAGAGAGTAGGTATAAAAAGCTTTCGGTGACAGCGACGGAACGACAGAGTTGACCTCTCCCCCACTCTCCCTAACGTCCTCACTCTCCGCTCGGCCCGGTGCCTTTTCGCTTTCACTCGTCTCAGTTCACATTACTCTCGACATGTTCTTCATCGCAGCTCTCCTCTACGCTCTGCTCGCTGTCGTCAGTCTGGGTAACGCGGCGCCGGCGCCCGTCAACAGCGGAGACGGTAAGTACACACTGGGATTATGCGTTGAAGGATATACGAGCTGACCGCGCGGGTGTGGCGCAGGTACCTTTTTCACGCCCGGCTTAGGAGCATGTGGGTATAACAACAACGAGTCCGAGCACGTCGCCGCTGTATCGCACCAGTTCTTCGATAGCTTTGGGTGTGTAGCATGGCGTGACGCCCCTTGATAAAATATTACTGACGGCCTTTACAGCGGAGGTTCCTCAAATCCGAACGACGCCCCAATCTGCGGCAAGATGGCCACCCTTCACTGTATGCATTCTGGCATAGAACGGCGATATCGCACTCACATATTTCTCTTCTTACAGACGGCGGCAAGACTACGACAGTCCAGATCGTGGACAGGTGCGCAGGCTGCTCCGGCCCGAGCGACGTCGACATGGCACCGGCAGCCTTCAATGATCTTGCGGATCCCTCTGTAGGTCGTATCCAGATTACTTGGACGATCAACTAGATCGTGCATTCGCAGTTGGCAGTCGATTTTGGGCTATGTAGTTGCGAGAACGGTACTTACTGCATATGTACTCGAAATGTATGAAGGTTGGAGATGGACAAAAATAAGCTCGAAATAAACTTGAAATACAAGAAAACTCGACTTCAATTTGACATGTGCGCAACACCGCGCATGAGAGCGCACGAGGATGCGCGCGTATGAGCGTATATACACTGCGTACGTGCACGCTCATGCTCCCACATAAACCAAAAAAGTACCACGTCGCGGAACTGGAGGGACGAGGTGGCCTACCACCTTGAACACTTGGCCACTCGAGTTTTGGACCAAGTCAGCGAGCTCTCGATCAGTCCAAACGGAGATGAAGTTTCTGGTCAAACCAAAACCCGAGTTTTCGATCAGACGAGAGCGAGTTTTCTGTCGCTCGCAGGTTTTTATTTTATTTTATCATTTTATTCTACATATAGCAAGAATGAGCTTGTGCACAGTACAAGAACCAGTGTCCCGGCCACAGGCTGGCAGAGAGGGAGATACAAGAAATTACAGAGTGAGATCTCATATAGTTGAGTTGAGTTTGAGTCCGATACGTTGAGCTAACTTGAGTCGCGTAGCTCGCGCGAATTTAAGTTTAGGGTATGCAAGTTTGAGTACAGTTCCCATGAGTTAAAGTCTTGGCTATGCAAGTTTGAGTGTGGCTCCTGTGTGTTAAAGTCTTGGCTATGCAAGTTTGAGTGTAGTTCAAGCGAGCTTAACTCTAGGCTATGCAAGTTTGAGTTCAGGCTGTGCGAGTTTCAGTGTAGCCCACACGAGTTTAAGTAATCTAGGGTAAGCGAGATTGATTTTAGGCTATGCAGGTATGAGCATAGCTTACGCTATTTTGGGCTTGAGACTGTCGCCGTCGTGCAGTAAGCGTGCACTTTGGTGCACTTGTGCACAGGCTCAGTGCACCGTCACAGACGCCGAGCGAGTCTGACGCTCGTAACAGTGAGTTTTGACTCTACAAAGGCGGTGGTGAGTTTACTTGGACGATTGTGCACGTTAGCACACTCATCGCTCGCATCAACGCACCTAAGTATATCATTTTTCATAGCGGTGAACGGAGGCTCACGTTGATGCCCACATGATCTTCACGACGCCATGTGGCATGTCTCCTTTTTCACGCGGTCGAGACTGCCATCTGGGCAAGAGAATGATTGATTGGGCGAATACGTGATCCTACGATTCGTTCCAGTGCATATTCACAACCGTGCACGTTGTTTTCAGACAGCTGGACTTGAAGAAGTGGATGTAAGCTAAGTGATGCAAGGTTACTAGTTACTACTAGACCGTCGCCACGCTTTAAATGGCAATTTGCAGCCTTCGATCCTAACATGACCAAACAAGGAACGCTTGCTCCTGCGGATGCGGCTGTGTGCCTGACTACCTGATAGTAGCCTGTCGTAACTCGTCGGAGGCGAATTTGAAAGATGCCTACTTCAACTGTAAGTGCGACCCAAACTCGTCCGGCGCACCTTTCACACCGCCAGCTCGATGTCCTAATAATATCGCTCGTGCCAAATCATGAACCGGGCGCACGGAAAGCTGAGCATAGGAGAATTGTCATGTGGATGTCTCGGACACAAGACCGCTATGGTGCGACGTGTCCTATACCGCTGCGCAGCTGTGCAGACTTCAAGAGAACCGGCGTTCCCTCGGATGTATCTCAGCATAGTGCGAGTGACTCATACGATGACATACCGTGTTTCATCGGACCCCGCAGCCCCAGCGATACCGCTCATCTGTGCATCTTTGTTGATATAGCTCTACACCCACAAAGGGCAAATATGAAAGGGCTACGGTGACAGCGATGGAGCGACAAAGTTGACCTCTGCTCCACGCTCCCCTACGTTTTCACTCTCCCGGCCCGGTGCCCTTTCACTCACTTCATCAGTTCTCTTCGCGCTCGACATCTTCCTCATCGCAGCAGTCCTCTACACTCTGCTCGCTGTCTTCAGCCTAGGTCATGTGGTGCCGGTGCCCGTCCACAGTGGAGAAGGTAGTATACGCACATCGGCATTATTGTGCACAAGGACATACGAGCTGACCACGCAGGCACTTTTTCCAAGCCCATCTTTGGAACGTGTGGAATCACCGTCAACGACTTCAAGTACGCTGTCGCTGTGTCACACCAGTTCTTCAACAGCTTCGAGTATGTAGCACGACGCGGCGCCCCTTAATTAAATAGCGCTGACTGCCTTGAAGTTCATGGTGGAGGTCCGCCGAACTCGAGCGATGCCTCCACCTGCGGGAAGATGGTCACTGTGCACCAGATGCATCCTCATGTAGAGCAACGATCTCACACTCACGAAATTCTCTTCCTATAGACAGTGACAAGACCACGACCGTCAATATCGTGGACAGGTGCATGAGCTGCGCCGGCCCAGCCGACCTCGAGATGACACCGTCGGCCTTCGAGCAACTCGCGGGTCTCAGTGCAGGCAGCATCAGGATGACCTGGACGATCAACTAGGCGGGGCAGTCGCGGGTGGTAATCAAAGTTTGGGCTATGTGGTCGCGAGAGCAGTAAAACTTGGAATATACATGCTCACTAGCAGCCGAAACGCTGTGAACGCTGTGAACGCAAGCTTTGTGCACGGTGTGATGCGAAGAGGAAAGTCTGAATAGTGCATCGAGCAAAGCCGGAGACGTACAACAGCTATTTCGGATCTTTGATGCCGAGGAATAGCAGTCCCCTCTTCGCCTTCCCCACCTCCTCTTCCAACGCCCGTCCATCCGCGCTCGTCCACTTGATGTCACCAAGCTCCTCCGGATTCTTCCCCGAACGGATTGCTGTCTCGAACGCAGACTTACGCGCGTTAAGTTCGGCCATGTGCCTGGGATCCGAGTGTCCGGTAAAAATGATCACCGCAGTGCGCGACGGCAGAGAATCGTAGAGCTCCTTGAGCTGCGAGTCTAATGTCGCGAGGATGCCAGAGAGGTCTGGGGCAGGAGCGGGAGTGGCAGGTGCAGCCTCGACAGTAGTGTCAGCATTCGACCTATTTGTGATCCCTGAGCAGACTATCAGCAGTAGGTCCACAGATAAAAATATAAAATTGCTCACAGCCACGAGCGTCTGCTAGCGCAGTGAAGCGGCTGAACGAGAACGTATGCGAGGGTATCGCGCCCAGAAGACCTTGCAGCACCTCGCTATCGGTTTTACAAGCGATAGTTGTAGTCGCCTTCGAGCCATGCCAGTTTGCTGGGCTTCCATGATCGACGACGATTGACGACACAGCACCGTTTCGTGCCCGCGACATACGCTCGAATATCGATTCGAAATCGACCTTGAACTCGCCGAATCCAGGACCTATTGCTCAGCGCTTTAGAATTTGACTGTTTGAATCAAGCCACGCCAAACTCGCCATTGTCAGCTTTCTTCTTCAACAAGTCCAGACACGCCCTCGCGTCTTCCTCAGGGTCGTGCCCACCCTCTCCGCGATTCTGGATCTCACGCCCGCACCACTTCTTCGTCAGCCATGCAAGACCAGGCTTGAGCGGCCTGCCGCGCGGATGGTGATACGTCACCGCCGTGTCAATGCACCGTGGATGGCAGATTTTGAGAGCCTTCAGGTCGGACTCGAGCGAGTGGCCGAGGAGCACCGGTGTTGGAGAGACGGAGAGTAAGGCAAGCACGTGAGATTGTACTTCCCTGAATGTCGTAGTGACGTTTCGAAGTGCTTCTTCCGTGATACCTGACCACCTGCAGGGTGTTAACGGGAACCGCTCACAGAAGTATTGAGGCTCATACCTTGTGAGGTAGTCCGTAACTGGCTTCTGCGGTTTCACGAGCTTGTCATAGATGACCACACCTGAGGCATAGTCGATGATACAGACGCGAGCCAATTCCTTGCCATCCTCCGTTTGACACTGCAAGAAGTTCAGCATACAGGTAACACGTAGAAAACAGGATGCGTACCATCTCACAATCTATCGCAAATATGCGGAGCGACTTGTTAGTCAAAGACTCTTCCGATGGCTTGGGTGTCTCGACCCAACCTTCCGTCTTCTCGAATGTCTCCGCGATATACGAGGGGACGGGATAGTCGTTCTCCAGCATTTGCTCGGTCGTTAGCAGATATCGCAATGGCGACTTTTCTTGCGAACGCTCTGCTGAAATTCCACATCTAGTAAGCCAATTGTGTTATCCATGCAGGAAGGGCGTACAAGAAACTCTCTCCAGTATCCTTCGCTTCTTCTCCTCACCAGAGACCGGGGCCTGGAAGAATTCACTGAGCACAGAGTGCATCCTCGTCTGATCTCCCGGAGCTTGGGTTGGACAGGCGTGGCTGAAGGTCTTCGCTATAAACGGTACGCCTGTTGATGGTCCATCTGTTCTTGGCAAGGGTATCTCAAGAGGTAAGTGGGGATTCGAAGTTGCGGATGTAGGGAGGGGCGGGAGAGACAGAAGGTCCGGCGTCAGACCAGGTATTAGGAGAGCGACAACTTTTTGAACAGAACGAGGATTCTATGGGAGATCATGAAGCTGTGTTGCTTGGTGGGAGTGTATGCACGCACCTCTACGCGCACCCAGCCTGGCGGCGGCGCGTCTGCAGCAAGATGTAGAACCAAATCTCGAATATCCTAGTAACAGTTAATACTAAGTAACATTTGAGAGGTGAAGCACGCACTGATATTCCGATTGCTTCACGCCGCTTCAGAAGTTCACCCTTGTTGTACATAAACTTTGGCGGGCTCGCCTGAGGGCGTAAAAAGACTTAGCAACGCAGGAAATCAAAGCACAGCAACGCAGAAACACACACGTCAAATTTTCCTTCAACCTTCTTCATCTTTTTCGCCTTTCGCTTCTCGACCTTCGTCCATCCGTCCTCGGAGCTTCCTGTGACGTCTTGTGGGTCTTGAGTGCTAATACCACGCGATTCACGTGGTGATACCTTCAGCTTTTTCGAGGCTGGAGGCAAACTCGAGGGCGCAGCCGGCGCCGGGGATTCCTGCGACCGCTTCATAGTTGGAGGTCGTGGTGCGGGGAGTGAAGCTGCACGCGCCTAGAGTAAGCCTTGATCAAGATTAATGAGCGTCTAATATAATTATCCAAGTTCCCACGGTAAGAACCGTACGAACTCGGCACTATAGAAGGATATTTACATGTGTTTACAGTGCACCCTCCAAGGCACGGTCACCCTCGGAATTACCGCCCGCGTACGACCCTCTCGACACGATCGCGGATCGTGGCTGCTGTTAAGCGTGATGAGAAGATAGCCTCCGCATAGCGTACGAGGAACGCCTGACACTACAACGTGAGTGATCTCGCCAGTAGAATGAAGAATCAAAGACATATCCTTCCACCTATTTGTCTTCGCTCGTGCACACAATTAGAAAAGTGCACAGGTGCATTCAATTTCATGTGATCCATGTCAAAAAAAAACCCTACATTACTACTGCAGATATCCGATTGACTTCCAGTACCGCACCCCTTGCATAGTGTCCTTCGCTGTGAGCTGTGGGAGGCTCTCCTCGCTCAGCGAGGGCGCTACCTGCACTGCCTGAGCCACAGAAAGCTTCGGTAAGCCGAGTGCCTCGCGTGCCACCTCGGACGCTTCGTCACCGCCCTTCGCCCCGCCGGCAAACATTTCCTCGAAGTGCTCCACAAGCTTGAGTGCGGGGTTGCGCTGCAGCTCTTCGACCTCCTGGTCAGGCGCCATGCGCCTGGACCGCTCGCTGCTATTCCTAAGCTGTTGCAACCACACATCGTAGGCGACTGACTGCAGCTCGAGAGCCTGCGCGATCGGCGCGAATAGTGTGCGCCAATGCACGGGCCGCGGGTGCGTGAGGTGGTAAGTTGAGAAAGCGGAACCTGACGAATGGAGCATGTCGATTGTTGCGCGCGCGGCGGCGTTAACTGCAATCCAAGACGCCTCCTATGCAAGAGGTCAGAAGGGAGTCACCGGAGAAGATGGCACAGTACATACGGCGTCGAAGTCCGGGAGACATCGAAGGTACGTGCTCGATTTGACGAGCGCAGGGATCTGCTCCGTCGTGTTCCATGCTCCATTGCCCGACGAACCTGTGATTTGGCCAAGCCGGACGACAACAGTGCGCAGCGGTGTGCCAGCCTTCGCCAAGTCGTCGCCGACGTTCTCAAGGAGCGTTTCGGATACCCACTTCGACTCAGTGTATCCGCTAGCTAGCGCGATAGAGGCGTCAACAGGCTCTTCAAGGACGGGGTCCGAGCGACTAGCATCTACAAGAGCGACACATGAGGCTGCTAAATCTACCTGCGGAGACGAGAAACAACATACGGGCCAGCATTCCGATAGAGCTCACGTAAAGTAGTTGCGGAGGCGGAGAGAATGGAGATGCTAAGGAGAGGTCGACCAAGTTTCGCAGGCTACGAACGCTCGAGTCGAAGAAGCTGAGGGAAAGCTTGAAGATCACCGGCCATGCTATCAGGGGCTGTCAGCGGAAGAACATCCTCATATCTTTGCGACGTATCATTATGGAGGATGTGTGTGACGGAGGTGCGAACCTAAAAACCCTGTAAGCAATGCTCATGTCACAGACCGCGGTCTTGTACACACTTTCTCGTAACTGTCCATTTGTAGCCCAAGCTTGTCGCCGCTCGTATCTGCGTCGATAAAGACGACCTTCCCGGACTTCACAATTCGTTCTGCGTCATACCCGCGCTCCGCAAGGACTTGTCTCTGTCGCTCCTCAAGAGATTGGGGACCCTTGCGATTGAACGCATAGACCTTGCTAACTTTCGGGTCGTCAACAAGTGCAGCGAGTAGCGCAGCACCTAGGCTCCCCGTTGTGCCCGTGACAAGCACAACGCTCCGCGCCGGGCGGTCCATCTTGGGAGTATGCCTCGGCAAGTCCCTACTGTACTTTTGCACCATCACGTGCATGGCCGCGACGCGCTGCTTCTCGTCCACCATATCGTCGCTCGGCTTTTCTGTGCTGACGAGACCTGACACGTACTGCGCGAGTCCGGAGATTGACGGATGCTGGTAGTCAAAGTTACCCGGGACAGCTCTGCTATTGACCTGTGTCGTCTGCCGGAGGGCGTGCAGGATTGAGTTGCGGATCCACGTCGCTTGCAGACTATATAGGAGTTTCAGCAGTCAATTAACGAAGGTTAGTCCCCTAACACACCTGTCACATCCTTTCTGAAATATATCGTCCGTGTCCAAGATATGTCGCGTCATGACCTCCTGCACCACGCAGCGCACAAACTCGATTGCATGTGGCAAGCTCCAGGATCGTGGTGGCGGCAGGTGTGCCTGCGTGGTCTCGTTTACCGTCGCGTACAACGCCTCGATCTCGGGTTGATACTCGGTAATAATCGCCGGGCGACGTGGGGTGCCTTTGGTAGTGTATGTGAAGGGCTTTGACGGCGAAGAGACGATGATCATCTATGCCGGGCCATAGTTCGTCTAGGCAGCCGTCGACTCATAGCAAGTTGTACGTACCGCCTTGAAGAGCCGCGAATGCTGGGGCACAAAGCTGTTGACCTTCTCCACCGTCGGCCTGCGGCATGAAGGGTCAGCGACTAGTCACTCGTAGAAATTTACTAATGAGCTCACCAGATTGCGTTCCTAAATCCGGCAAGCTTCTCTTCATCGTTTATGTCGAACCTGGATTGAGGCTATGAGCACACCGGGGTTAGATTTGCCCCGCCCAAGGATGATAGCGCTTTGGATATGAGGGTCCTGGTTGAGCAAAGGCTCTGTTATAACAAAAAGATGTCAGTGCAGACGTTCTTTGGTCATCGGAGAGTGGATTTACCCAACGGCGCCGGGTTTGTCTATTCAGCTGCATTCAGGAAGATGGTCTCGAAAACATAACTTGTCATGGGACGTACCTTCTCCCCTGTGCTGTGCATAATATGCTCGTCCGAACGACCTGCTACCTTCCAGAGGCCTTTCTTCGTCGGGTGTGGCGCCAAGATGTCATTCGTATCATATGCCGGTACGCCGTCCACCATGGTATTTAGAACAGCAGGGACTTGATACTCGTTTATCTGGATTCAGTGTCAGCCGACAGCCCGTAGCGTGGCCATAAATACTGGCTCACAGTGAGGATGAGCTGGGCGTTCTCATCATCGAGCGGTACAAAGTGTGTCCCGCAGCACGACGAGAGGGAAAAGTACGCCCAGTCCATGCCGTTACCTGATTTTGTAGTGCAAAAATATGAGCACTACGTAAAGTACAGCGCGGAAGGGGCACGTCCTTGCTAAAATCTCATTGATCATGCCATACTCCGTCCTGCATATGCACCAAAATGGAGCAAAAGCACAGTGGGATGGAGGAAACTCACTCTCTCTGAAGTTGTCTACTCCTTTGCGGGCCAAGGGGTCCCCAACCTCGCTTGCGAGTGGTCCGCCACCGTAAAACTGGGGTAAATCAGGCAAGACAAGCTCGACGACGAGACGATACATACAACGCCCTGCGTCTGAGTGATCCACTCAACCTGCTCTGGGATCCTGCACCACGCCTGTGCTCCAGGTTAGTTGCACATACACACGTACCAGCAACGAACAGCGCTCACCTCGATCATGGACGGTACGCAGAAAAGCAGATCGCTCTTCGTCGCCATTGCGCCGCGCAGGATGTCGTCAGGCGCAGCCTGGCGCGCGGGAACTGTGGCTGGAACCCCGTGAGCACGAGGCCACAACCGATCGCCCAGCCGATTGCAGCAATGCCCATGGCGTGGAACATCGCAATTGCGTGACACGAGAGTCACATGCCTGCCATATCACGCTCGCGGTAGTCTGCGAGGGTCACTCAGAGAGAGAAGAAGGGGTTGAGGAGGTGAGGGCATACATGACCAGCGGGCCAATACCGTCATATTCCATTGCAGCCACTCGATGGGAAGGCGGTGGAACCTGCGTGGTATTGTCAGTCGACTGAAGGGAGCAACTCAAGGCTACGAATCGAGATTCACCGGATGAGTGGAGAATCACAGCGGCATCCTTGAAGCTGTACGTCTCCATGGATGGCAGCAGCTCGGATTTATCCATTTCGCCAGCATAGAGTTCATCCCAAAACGGCATAGACGAATCTGATGAAATCACGGGGCTGATTTTATACTATTTTACACGGATAGAGGTACAAAAACGCGCTCAGTCTGTTTCGTAAATACACTTAAGCTATTTCTCCATGGGGATGTTATCGTTTTAGTGGTAGAAAAAGATACACTGCTTTTACACCTTTTGAGGTATTAGAAGAGCCGAAATATCCTCAGGGCGAAATAATCATCATTTCTTTCTCTATATTTTCCCCGAAAAGGTTCCCTCTAGGTGAGACAAAAAGAACAAACTTATTTTGTGGTCCCCGTCTCCGCAAAATATGAGGTAGAAAAGCTGAAATTTTATCAGGGAAACTCGTATGAAAAAAACTGATATTTCTTTTCAGACATAATATTGATCGCCCACTCATGGCCCACCACCCCCCTCTCGTCGTCCGCTGTGCGCCCACTCATCGTCCTGCGCACTGATGGCCCACTTGCTAGGAAATCGCCCACACATTGCCGACACATTGCCCACTCATCGCCGAAACAGTCACGGTGGTGGTCACTTACCAACGGTAAATCGCCGCTTACAATGCACGACCACTTAAACAAAACCTCTTCTCCGCCGCGCGGCACCACCCGCTGCTCGACGGCGGGCTGCTCACGCTGCGTGCGCACTGCGATGCCACGGCGCTCGTGCGCGCGTACCGCGTGCTCTGCGGGCGCAGCCTCGACGCCGAGATCCGCAGGGCCACCGCAAGGCGGGGAGCATGCGCAGCGTCGAGGTGCGCGTCGAGGGACCCGACGTCGACGCCGGGGCTGATCATGCCTCCCTTCGTCGCGCACACGACGGGCCGCTGCACGCGCCGCGCACGGTGGCGTTCACGAGCCGCGACAGCTTCGCTCCGAGCAGCCTC